ACTTTATACCTGGTCACTTTGCAAGCAATATGTCAAGGGCACTATAATAACGGTATGCCTGTCTCGCGACTTTCTGAGCCTCACGCCTTAACTTTGTATTTAGGCTGCTTACGTCGGCTCCACGATTATATTAGGATACCCAATATGGACAGACCTCAAAAGACGCGTTCAACAGAAACGCATTGAGAGCGTTATGAAGGTTGAGTAATCGACCTGTGTGCTTGCTTTGCAGGATGATTGTATATGTTTTTGTATGATGACATCGATGTACTTTAGTGTTTCAGGTATCCAACTTGGGCCTGCAGTTGCAACAATTTGAATATTTGTTTTCAGGATTCTCAATCAAATCCGTGCATCACACCAGAACGATCTTGGCTTGCGGGAAGAGCTGTTTTCCCATTCATTCGTCAGGGGACTATCAACGATGTCTTGTCCAAATAATAATAATAATTCATCCGCTCTGTTGCCAACCACCGGGAACGTAGATATGAGACCATAAAAATCGATTCGGCGAGTCGCTCGCATTTCTCGACTTAGTCTTGAGGACATGCATATGACGAGAAATGGATATTCTGTCTAACGACGGTCTATCTCTCTGGCACCATATCTTATCACAGCAGTATGATGATCACTGATAAAGCCAAGTAGGAACGGGACATACGGTAGTTCGCTTTATTCTCTACACTGGCAAACAGAACTACACGAAAATATGGTACGACAGCGAAGCCCTAAGCGAGGTCGAGTGAGGCACAATTGGGTGGGCAAGCTCAAAACCGGAGACACTATGATAAATTGTCTTCAGGAGAACAGAAAAAGAAGATCAAGCTCAGTGGTTTCCAAATTGGCGTGCTATCCAGCTGAGGGAATTTGTGACAGCGATCCTAAAGCCTGAATGTTACCAGCGGGAATGAAGATAAGACCAGATGCAGACTTACAGACAAGGCTTCCGTACTGTCATCCGCCAGGCATCACCATCTTGCGAAACCTTTTCGTGATAGTATAAAAGCAAGACATCTTCCTACCGTCACCCAACTGAAAGAAATCATTTGAGCACCTCAGCAAATCATAACCTCAAACAAACAACGCGTTTCTTCCTCCTCATCTTCGTTGTTGCATTGACAGCATCTATAACGTTTGTCACAGCAAGGCGACCAACCTGTAGTAGACTTCAAGAGGTGTGTCAAACACCTAGCGACTGTTGCGACAGCAGAGGTTCCAACAATGGTACAAGCCGATTTGTACGCAGCAACATCCTAGTCAGTTTCTGCTTTCCGATTGGTGTTGTTGTTGATCGGGAAATGAATAGAGATGATATTGGGTGAAAGGGGGGACATGATATGAGCGTATGACGTACCTGCGTACTGTTTGGCCACGTAGTGAATATAACAAGCTCTGAGCATCAATTCTAACAGGAACGCAGACTGTTTGTCATGGGAACCTGAGTTTGGGGAGAGAATCAAAGACAATCTCGTTAATAGTTATGAACACAAGACAACACGCGCTAATCGTACCGCATTATATATCAAGGACAGAAATCTAGCTCGCTTTTGAACGAGAATTTGTTCCACAGATGAACCAACTATCAGTCCTTGAAGCGATAGCAAAGAGTGCGAGACGAGTCCGAGTCTGGCTTCCGGGATGGTTGGATAGATAAATGTACTCAAACCTAGAACGTCATCTGCGTCGGCATCGTCATCACGATCCAGCTGCTATGCCACCATGTGCCCTGACAAAGAATGCTGATGATGATTGATGACCGAGAAAATGAAGCATCATTTTTTGGGTGCTTGAGGCACGCCATGTGACGCGTCGGAGAGAGCTATGATAATGTAGGTGAGCAAACATAGTGATGCCAAGTTTTGAAAAACTCATACTGCAGGTTGTTATGAAACTCACTGTAATATACGAGTGACAGACAGTGAGAACTGAAATGAGTTCTAATTGAGGTCGTCCATTTTTGAAGCACAGCAGCGCGCGCTGATATTAGGATATGTCGAGGCGGCACATTGAACGACGCAGCTCGAAGTCTCGAAGTCCAACGCTAACAGTCATGGATAATGTATTCCAGTGGTCATTCCTCACCGAAAACGCATACCCAAGAGTACCAGATGTGTTCGAGCAAGTGCCTATGCTTGATGAATATGCGCGGCCTTGAATCAGTATGACGGAATCCTCGTGCAGCATTCTGACACTCACAATATGCCCTGGGCCGCGGGCTGCGCATACTATATCATATGGTACATTGATGATTGTGAGTACTGGAAACAAGTAGCATCCCCGCATTCGCATTGTTGAAACTCCGCAATGATGAGCGTCGAACAACATACCTGCAATGCAATATATCATTTAATTTTCTCTCATTTGCTCGTTCTCCACGGCAACACACACTCGTTCGCTAAAAACGAGAAAAATAAAATGGAATTGAGTGGGGCTAGTGCTATAAAAGCAAGTCCCTACCGTCACCAGCGTCCACCCAACTCAGAAAAAATCATTCGAGCACCTCCCTCTACTTCAAACAAACAATGCGTTTCTTCTCCCTCGCCTTTACTGTTGCATTGGCAGCATCAATAATGTCTGTCACAGCAAGGCGGCCAACCTGTAGCGCAAATCAGGATAGGTGCCAAAAGAGCAGTGACTGTTGCGATACCCAAGCTTCCTGCGATGGTACTGTGTGCGTGCCTCCCGACAATACTATTCCACTATGAGAACGAGCCGATTTGCACGGAGTAAGACCCTAGTGAGTGTTTCTGCTTTTCTATTGGTGTTGTTGTTGATCGAGCGATACGTAGAACGCTGTTGATTGAGAAGTTGTAAGAGGCGATGTTAGGTGGAAAGGAGGACATGATATGGGTGTATGAGGCATCTGCGTACTGTTTGGTCTTATGGTAAACAGAACGAGCAACGATTTCAAAAAGAACGCAAGCTATTTGCTATGGGAACCTAAGTCTGGGAGAGAACCTCGTCATGAGTACAAGCTAATCGTACCGCATATGAAGAACAGAAATATAGCCCATTTTGAACAAGAACTCGTTCCAAAGATGAACCAACTATCGGTTCTTAAAGCGGTTACCGGTAGCGAAGAGTCCGAGACGAGTCCGAGTTTGGCGGTTCGGGATGGATAGATAAATGACATATATACCCAGAACCAGAACGCGAACCTCGTCGGCGTCGTCAACAGCAAACAAGGTGCTGTGCCACTATGTGGGGTACACACACTGACGAAGAATGATATTGATGATGGAAGGCGATGAAAAAAAAATATGCGTAGTCCCTTTGAAACACTGGATACGAAAAAATGATCACTGGTAAAGCCAAGGAGGGACGAGACATACGGTAATTCGCTTTATTCTCTACACTGGCAAACATGACCACGCAAATTTGGAATCTGGATAGATCCTAGATAGTGCACGACAGCGAGGTCGAGTGAGGCACAATTTTATTGCTCTGGATGGGCAATAGGGCGCTCAAGCTCAAGACCGGAGAGCACGCTATTATAAATTGAGCTCAGTAGGACAGAAAAGGAAAAGAGAACTCAATGGTTTCCAGTAGCAGTGCTATCCAACGGAGCCGACTTGTGAGAGAGGTCCAAAAGTTTCATGGTTACCAGCAGGAATGAAGATAAAGCCAGATGCAGACATACAGACGAAGATGCTAAGTTGGGTAGGTGGTTCCGTGTGGTGTGTGATCTGAGTAACAGTACAAGCCTGTTTGACAATGGTCGCAGGGGTCGTGTGTCAATGAGAACGCCCACGTTTGATAAGGCCTGTACTAACAGTTGATAGGATATGAAGTAACTTGGATGAGAGGGTGGATTGAATGGAAAGAGAAAGGAGATAAGGCCTTACACGTGTACGTCGTTGATCGATGAGTTTATAGTTTATATGATCAATGAACAGACTAAACGGAGACAAACAAGATCAGAGCTAAGTTAGTATATCGACGCACGGGGGTGTAGACTCGCGTTCGGATATCGATGCAACATAGTCGAACGTCACTGAGGAAACCGGGTCTTTCTCAGTCTTTTTTACTTACCATGGCCCGTATCCGACTTGATTTCGACTATACGAGAAATGGAATTGGGAATGCTCCGCTCAGTGAGTCGTTCGTTGTGTTGGGTGGGTGGAGTGTCTAACTTTGCTCGTCTTTCCATTTACTCTATCACCGGTAGTTGCGCGGTGATGCGAAAGCGATCGTTGATATTGTAGGTGATAAGCAATGGGATGGGGATGGAAAGAATCCAAGAACGTTCGAGAGGCGGTGAGTGTGATCTTTTGATTCTGATGGGCGTGGTATCTCTCATACGTTCATCATCCCCGTGAATGCTTTGGCTATAGTTCGAACATGAATGAATACTATAAATACGACGTACCTTTTTATCGGTATTGGCTAGACTATTTCAGTACTACGGGTGACGCTCACTGGTTCTTTTTGATGGCCGTTCATTTGCCAGTCATAACAGGGCGCGAATATTGAACTCGTGGCCAGTCCACGTCAATTATATTCCTAAACAATCTCACCTCGCCGTGATCTTCGAGCTCACATGGATGGCCAAGCGTCGCGTCATCTTTGGCTGGCACTTCTTGATGCTTCTGAAGTGCATCAATAGAAGCAAAAGTATCCATCCATCATTATGTAATCTAAAATTAGCATGACGGCCACTCCACCCGAGTCAAAATTGGTCAGCCTGCTTTCAACCCATGTTTGTTTTAAACTAGTACTTCCCCTGAGGCCTGAGGTATGTTTGATATCGCAGCTGATATAGTTACAGAATACTGACATTACACCCAGCTAGTCTTTTCGTTCTAGGTACTTAGTGCCATAGCGTTGATTCACGCTCTCGCTGAGCTAGTCTCTCCGTTCTAGTAGCGCACATGAGCTTCCCTATTGAATGCAAGCGAATTTGTAAATGCCGAGCCATTGGCAGATAAATAAATGGTGTCTTATAATGGCACTCCGCTCTTATATATACTCAGTTTGTGAGATATCAATCTATCGCCACCATGCCTTCTACGTTCACTCACGAGTTCAACGCGCCCGCTTTCAAGGCAAAAGTTTCCTTCAACACCGGTCTCTTCATTAATGGCCAGTTCGTGGATGGATCTGACAATACCACCATCGAGTACGCTCTACACCTGTCGCCAATCGATCACTTCTTACTGACCTCAACCATTTTAGTGTCATCAATCCGAGTACGTTCTGTTGGCATTGATGTTCAATATTCAATATCTCACATGAACTCGATGCATAGCAAATGGAAAGGTAATAACGTCAGTGTCCGAGGGTACACCCAAGGATGTCGACCTCGCCGTCGATGCTGCTCATGCAGCCTTCGACACCGCCTGGGGTCTTCATACCCCCGGTGCACAACGTAGCATATTGATGTCGAAGCTCGTTGCCCTCATGGAGAAGAATGCCGACGAGCTTGCCGCTCTGGAGGCATTGGACAATGGTTAGCATCCGGGCCAATTAGCAGTTATCTATATCATTGACCGATAATCCCCAGGCAAGACTTTCAATTGGGCAAGAAATATTGATGTCGCTGGCTCCATCGATTGTATTCGCTACTATGCTGGTTGGGCTGATAAGATCACTGGTCAAGTACAAGAGGTCTGAAGCGTTTCAACAATTAACTTCACTCATTCGCTGACAATTGGGCAGACTACCGAAGACAAGCTCACCTACAGTCGCCACGAGCCCATCGGTGTCGTTGTAAGCATGGCATACTCATCTCAGCTCCCAGATCTTACTCTTATACTCGTGTAATAGGGTCAAATCATCCCATGGAATTTCCCATGTGCGTACACATCAGCCGTTTGAAGTGCCATGTACTCATTCTTTGCTTCGCAGTGCTCATGATGGCCTGGAAAATTGGTCCTGCTCTCGCATGCGGCAACACGGTGGTTCTAAAACCTTCAGAATTCACACCCCTGACCGCCATCCGAATGTGCCACCTCATCAACGAGGCTGGCTTCCCACCCGGAGTAGTCAACGTCCTCACTGGTTATGGAAACACTACCGGTAACGCTATCTCTTCACATATGAGAATAGAGAAAGTCGCCTTCACTGGCTCAACTATTGTTGGTCGCAAGATCATGGAGGCTGCTGCGAGGAGCAACCTCAAGAATGTCACCCTTGAGCTCGGTGGAAAGAGTCCAAACATCATCTTCGACGATGCAGATATCGAACAAGCTGTTAACTGGGCTATATTCGGCATCTTGTAAGTATAGCGTGCTGTCATGCAAACCGCACTTATATTTCACCAGCTGGAACCACGGTCAGACGTGTACCGCAGGTTCGCGTATCTTCGTGCAAGAAGGCATCTATGACGAATTCTTCAAGCGTTTCATGGAGAAAACTCGGTCGCTCAAGATCGGTGACCCATTTGCACCTGACACTTTCCAGGGTCCTCAGGTCTCAGAGATTCAATTCAACGTATGTCGTAAAATGTTTTCGTAACCATTCATCTGTCTAATGCAGGTTCCAGCGTATCATGTCTTACATTGAGTCCGGAAAGGCAGCTGGCGCCAAGGTTGAAATTGGTGGTGAGCGCCATGGAAGCGAGGGCTACTTCATCAAGCCCACCATCTTCACTAATGTCGACCCATCGATGAAGATTGTCCAAGAGGAGATTTTCGGTCCCGTTTGTGTTCTCATCAAGTTCAAGGATGAGGAAGATGTGATCAAGCAGGCAAATGACACGCTTTACGGTCTTGCTGCTGCTGTTTTCACCCAGGACCTGAACCGTGCCCTCAACACGGCACACAGACTCAAAGCTGGAACTGCATGGATTAACTGCGTTAACTCATTCAACTCCAATGTACCATTTGGCGGTTTCAAGCAGAGCGGTATCGGTCGTGAGTGTGGCGACTACGCCCTAACTAAGTGAGTGTTACATCAATGGTGTATTAACACAAATTCATGTGCTGCCAGCTACACTGCAGTGAAGGCTGTCCACGTCAACCTCGGCCACAAAATGTGAGCTGGAGGAAATGAAACATAACTGGGTGCAGGTTTGATCTCAATGCACGTGTAGTATCTTGTACTCTTATTGTATTTCTATCATGTTATATGTATTCTCATTAGCGGAAGAGATCAGAGAAACGAAGCATTGCAAGCGCATTCGGATAATAGAGCTTGGGCCTTGATGGCAAAACTTTGGAAATCCCTTTGATTTCGCAATTCCCGCTTTGAGTGACTGCTGTAAGTCCTATAACAGTCTGGTCACGAGCCTAGTATGTTCTATTAATCGAAGCGTGAAGAACAGCTACTCGATGAACTAACGGTAGCCTGTCACGACGCGCGCTCCCATATGGGCTTCGACTACATACCAGAAAACAACACGTCTGATACCACGATAGGCAACGAAGTAACATCTCGTTGACTCCATCACACGATAGAGATACATCGATGTCCATGAGCTAACCTTCTAGACCAACGTTTGACGAACCGATTCAAGATTGTTACATCTTCATACGACTACCCAATATCAATCATCAACAGCAACGATCGCTCATTTCGACAGCCTCTCGAACTCAAGCTGAGTAGACGACGAACAAGACTAGTCATTTCAGATAAGTTCAAGCATCCACATTGCTCGAGTAACATGAACATTTGTTCAAAACCAACTGTACTGGTTGACTCCAAAATTGAACTAGGTATTGTACCATCAATCAGGATACCAAATCGAAAGCAGAAACATGACTTACTGTTGCGAACGTGCCGCTCGAGCTGCCAGCTCAATTGTCGACATGAGGGCGGCCCAATAAAGGTCACAAGGCGCGCAGGTGAGTTACTATATGGTTGGATCCTGGTTGGACAACGACCTGCTCATATGAGTCACGTCATCATATTCACAAACCCAATCTGGGCAGCGATCTTTCATTTGATGAGCAAGTTGTCTTGCTACACGCACTGACGGACATAGATGCTGTCAAAGCGATAACAACGGCGAGGATGGAGAAACCCATTTTCGGTGCGAAGTGATATGGAATTCTTCTGAGATTGTATCGTTAATTACTGGGAATGATGACATTTTAAACACGCAGCAAGATTTGTGCAAAGGACATGCAGCCGTCACATGCTGCATGCACGCTGTATATCTTCAGGAATAAAGTTTGCAGGACGGTATATGATAGCGCTGGAAATGTAAATATATTAGTTTAGTTATTCTCTATGGGACTTACCTCGAGCTTCCTGCTTGATCGTATCAATCTGATACAGAAAGGCTTAGCATCGCAATATATAGACGTCCTTTTCACATCTATTCGAAGCGCGAGTACAATGATTCCGCTTGAAATGGATGATACGCATGTGGTAGAGCCGACGAAGATAGCCTAGCGTTGATTCGGCATGTTATGTAAACGGCTGATGTGATTTTCATACAAACAAATATTCCGAGTCCTAACCATAAATATATCAGCCTTCATAAGATTAGGCTATAAAGCATTGACATAGGAGAGCTACTAAGTAATACGCTAAAAATGCGAGAAAGAGATGAAGAGAATATCGAACCGACAAAGGAGCAAAGGAAGGGAAACATGCGAGGAGTGAGGCCGGCTGCAACGCTGAACTGAAGCGAACATGTCGGGTAGAGTCTGGGATCTTTTTGTTGTGAATGTCGTGAAGCTTGGCAATTGTGTGCAGGGTTTGGAGAAACTCAAAAAAAACCGAGTATGACTTGTCCGAAGTACCAGGAACCGATATATATATTACTAATATATAAGCATACGGCTTACAAAATACCACAAATTGCTCCTTCAAACCTGTGCAAGACCCCGAGGAGCCAATCATCATGCCTGTTACGCGAGGCAGAGATCGTAAAGGTCGAACGGCATCGCCATGCTTGAGCTTCAGCTCGCATGGTCCAGCGTCCAACTCGCGTCGCCGTTACGTTTAACAGGTTCACGCCTGAACTGCCCCATTATGGATAGATTGATAGAATACACCCATCAAAAGAGAGAAGAATATTAACGATCAGACGATATGCCCTCGACTTCATGATGATCCTCTTACTTTGCGCTATCCTCTTCGGCGTTCCGTTTGTTCGCGCTTCACCGGTTTCACTCTCGGGTCTCAACGATACCTGTATCCTTCCACTCTTTTCCAATAACTGGCAATCCTCCCCTGATGCTAGAACCTTGTGGGTCATCATATCGAGCTGTGGCTTAACCTTGTTTGCGTGCACATGGACTGCCGTCCCTCCGGACATTCCGCGTCTGGGTGAGGGGATAGTTGTTGTCACTGTCCGCCGTCTACTCCTCATGTTTGTTGCGTATTTCGCCCCCGAACTCATGGCCGCCTGGGCCGCATGGCAACTTATATGTGCTCGTCAAGTTGCCAAGGACTTCAATGATGTTCTTGGTGCGCAACGCGCGGCCGCCCAGCCCAACGGCGACCGTGAAGCCGCACCGCAGAACGGCCCGGCAGTCGTGTTACCTAATGCCATCTCAAATTCAAACGGAAGTTCAAGCGCAGGTCTGTTACTAGAACTCTTCAGTTAGACAGAAATTAATATGAAACTGATGCCTTGACAGGGTGGACAGAGACACATGGGTTCTTCGCCGGGATGGGTGGATTCCTGCTCTACGTCGATGGTAAACCGTGGGCCACTCTCACACCCGATGAACTCCTCCGGTTTGTTTGCGAGGGATCTGTGGAGATGCCCGTCATCACGAAGGCAGACATAGAAGACCGAAGTAAGGGTGATGTGCTATCCAGATGTATCACCATTTTTCAGCTGGGATGGTTCTTCATCCAGATCATCGCCCGTTACGGCCAGCACCTCCCCACCACATTGCTTGAACTCGACACTCTGGCTGTAGTTCTTCTGACCATCGATACATATGGCTTACTATGGTGGCGGAAGCCTAAGGACGTACAGCGTCCTCATATTGTTCATTGGAACTCGAATTTTCCCCCACCACGCGAGTGCTTAGCCAACGAGTACGTTGTAATCACTATTCCTTGCAGAACTTCTGATTGGCCTGTATTCTAGCAAACGACGTACCCCAATGCTTCTGTCTGTACTATTTAATCGCAAGGTTCGACGGTCTCATACCTCGGCTCGGAATATGACCACATTCCTCGCTGGAGGTGGAAGTGGGGTGCTGTTTGCAGTGATGCATACCCTGGGCTGGAATTTTGTGTTTCCGAGCCACGCGGAGCGGGTATTGTGGCGTATGTCTTTCGTTGGGAAAGCAGGTTTATCGTTAACGATGTGGTCCCTCTGGTATCTGGACACGCGGCCATCGGAGTACAAGGGATTATCGGGTAAAGCCCTATATTTCCTTTCCGTTAATCTCATGAAGATTATTGGAGTTCTTGGTGTGATATACATTCTTGCACGTCTTGCAATAATCACACTTATCATGCTGAGCTTACGATCGCTACCTCAGGGTGTATATGATACAATAGCTTGGACCAAATTTATTCCACATGTAGGTACGTAGTTTCATTACATCGCTGTAGCAGGGTACGAAGATTGAGCCGGCAGCCCGAGCGGCATATCGCGACAGTGGGTCATTCTGCTTTCGCCTTCGTATCATGGTTGATGGTGCAAGACCCAATTCGCGCTTAATCAGTGCAGCTCAAGAAATGGATGTTTGAACTTATCTGAAAATGATCGACCGTGCCTAGACTTGCTCGTGGTCCACTCAGCTTGAGTTCGAGAGGCTGTCGAAACGAGTGGTCATTGTTGTCGGATACAGCAAAGCTTGCAAGACAAGTCTAATGTTACCGTCTGTTACATTTCTTTACGTATTATAATAATTGTACTTATGATGCTGAGCTTCTCCTGGTGTATACGACACAGTAGTTTGGACCAAGTTTATTCCACATGCAAATATGTAGTTTCATTACATCGCTGTAGCAGAGTATGGTAACTTTCCTCAGACTTCATTGAAATCGGAAATACAAGTACGACCCGGTCAAGTTCTAACCTAATAATTACTTGACAGGTCGCTGTTCCACCTACACACCACACGAGCAACGCTCGATTTACTGAAAAGCTGCCACAAACAGTTCTATCGAAATGTGGCTGCGACGGCGTCTGGATGCACTGCGTGCGTGCATGCCATGGAGGGATGAAAAACGAACAGTCCTGGAATAGTCATGAACGCACATGAGCACCATACCATTCGTCAGTACCAATAGCAACGGCAGCTCGAAAGGGAACTCGGACACTCGCGCGCAGGGAAGATATGAAACAGGCATATTCTCCACCGAGGACGAATGTGACGGACAAGTCGGTCATCGAAAGCGACCGTGGTGGGAAGTTGGCTGGGTTAGCATATGTCACCGCGATAGATAGGCTTAAAGTTTGTGAGCCATAGCGCTCCCTTTCAATTTTGAATCGATATCGAGGATTATGTCTGCGCTCTGGCCGACTCAGTCAATGCTTCAAAACACATCAAGGTCAGATTAGGGGCATCTAATCTTACCTTAATGTGTTTTGAAACATCAAATGGTACACAAGCGAATTGATTTCTTGTCAATGTTTCCTTCGTTCCTCATCAGCGTATCGCATCACAGCACCACTACTAGACGCACCATGCGTGATCTCATCACCTCAAGAGTACGATATCGGGATCCCGAGTGAGAGACGGATAGACGTCAAAACTGGTGATAGTAGGCTATTATAAAGTGAGTTCGCTAGAACAGTCAAGCGATAGATAACTCAACGGTGTCCAAATAGATTTGCAGAAGTAGAGCCTCATTAAAGGCGCAGGCAATGAAGAGCATGGGTGGAGCGGTGCTATACATGAAGATACACATCATTGAAACTCACAGACAAGGCTGTGGTGCGTGTGATGCGAATGGCTCCAGTACAAATACCTTCCAGTGGCACTCTGTCCAAAGTGGATTGCACTTGTACCAAAGGTCTGTCGGATGCAAGGTAACTTGGATGAGGGGGTAGAGGTAAAGCCTGGATACGTCGTCGGGTTATATAGTGAGAAGCAATGAACGAACCAAACGTAGACAAACATCCAGGAGGATCAGGAGGAGATGGATATGATGGTGGAAAGACCAAAATTGGATCGGGGGCCGGCGTTGCAACGTCGCCTATCCGTGACTCAGTAATATTTAAGACAAACGCCCTTCCAAAACGACGTACCTCAAAACCAAGTACGAAGCCTCCCCACGTGATAATGTACGATATAAGTTGCCTTGGATCGAACAAACGTTAGTCAATGGCGTTGATAGGTACTCTACTCCTCTTAGCCATCGGACTCCTGGCCTATTCCCGCCTCACTCGTCCCCCCTTCCCCCCAGGTCCGAATCCCCTTCCCATCATAGGCAATATCCTCGATATCACTTCAAAAGAACTCTGGCTCACCGCGTTCAAATGGGCACGCACATACGGACCCGTAACACACATCCGCATATTCAATCAATCCCTCGTATTCCTCAACACCCCAAAAGCGGTCTTCGACCTCTTAGATAAACGCGGGTCTATCTATAGCGATAAACCGCACCTCATAATGGCTGGTGAACTTTGTGGCTGCGAGAATATGGCAGCGTTCACTCCCTATGGCGACCGTGCGAGGAGACAGAGGAAACTTATGCAGAAAGCGTTTGGACCTGCTGTTATTCCCAGGTATCATGGCTTAATGCAGATGGAGAGCAGACCGTTTTTGTCTAGATTGGTTACAAGTCCCCTTCAATTTCAGGAACATATCAGAAGGTTCGTGTCCTTGTCTGTCAACGACATGGTCTGACACATATCAGATACGCAGGCGGACTCACCCTGCTCGTCGTATACGGACACCAAGTAAAATCAAACGATGACCCCTTTCTAACCCTCGCAGAAGAATGTGTAGACATCCTCGCGAACCGTATCGCAAGCGGAGGTGGGATATGGCCCGTCGATATCTTTCCACTCCGTCAGTCTCCATTTCTCTTCTGTTGTCCAAACTTACCTCTTTCCTTTTTAGTCAAACACCTTCCCTTGTGGTTCCCCGGTACATCCTTCAAGCGCAACGCCCAGATCTGGAAAGCAAAAATGGAAGAATTCGTAGACCGCCCATACGAATTTGTGAAAAGCGAAATCGTACGCTCTTCCTCCCTTCCGGCTTTCAAAAAATAACACCCCCACAGAAGAAAGGAACTGCCCGTCCATCTTTCGTATCCACCCTCCTCGAACTTCCCAAACTCTCCTCTTCCCCCTTTGACACATCCTTCGACTCCTCCTCCACCACCGACGACGAGGGGTCCTCAAGCGACCGCGACTCTTCCTTCTCATCCCACGATACGGAAGTAGCCAAAGACATCATTACAGATGACCACGACCATGATATCCGATGGACAGCTAATTCCATGTATTCGGGTACGTCTGTCCTATCCCCCACGTCGCACATTCACGTTCATGTGACGCTGACCTTCGCCACTCTACAATCTCATCATTGAATACAACGCCATTCACACGGAAAACCCACTCACTTGGGATACCACGCCGAAAAGCCAGCATCGACACAACCATCACAACTCTCTCTCATTTCATCCTCGCCATGGTTCAGCACCCTCATGTCCTCCAACGCGCCCAAGCAGAGCTCGATGGTGTCCTTGGATCAAGGGGAGATGGGTTGGGATCGAGCCAATCAGTAGCAAACAGGTTACCCACATTCGAAGATCGCGCAAGGCTTCCGTACTGCGACGCGGTCTTCACGGAGACACTAAGATGGGGTGTGCCTGTTCCGCTTAGTGGGTGCTCAACTTTCTGTTGAATGTTTTCAGGGCTGATTAGCATCTTATTTCTATCCATTACATCGCCTACCCACAACGCCACCTCACGCACGCCAGGCCTTCCACACAGATTAACACAACCCGATACCTACGAAGGCATGCACATCCCACAAGGATCCCTTGTATTCGGGAATATATGGGCTATCATGCGTGATCCTGGGTTGTATCAAGACCCGGAGGTGTTTGAGCCTGAGAGGTGGTTGGCGGATGCGATCGTGGGTGGGATGGGGAATGGAATGGATGTAGATGGGAGTGGGGGTGGAGAGGAGGAGGAGGAGGCTGGGAAGGACAGAGATCCGAGAGCGTTTGTGTTTGGATTTGGGAGGCGGTGAGTGAATTTTTGATTTGATTTTAATTTTTGGTGTGACGTGGTGTTCTGTGTTTGAGTTTATTTTTGGCATGTCATCATTTTGACATTTCGTCATCTTCTCGTTCTGTTCAAAACGTTCAACCTTTTCATTCCTATCATCTCGTCCCCAAATCAAAACTAAACAAATCCACCCACCCGCAGCCGCTGCCCAGGAACACACCTCGTCGAATCTTCGGTATGGCTCTTGATAACCAGTATGCTCGCCACGCTCGATATACGCAAAGCGAGAGACGAGAAGGGCGTGGAGATCGAGCCTGTTGTCAAGTTCGAGAATGCTGTTTTTAGGTGTGTTTTCATTTTTTTTCTTGTGTCTATTTTTTTGGCGCAGGTGCGGAGTAGGTTTTATGTTGTGTTGCAGGTGGGGGAGTTTTGGTTCATTGCGTAGGCCTGCCTGTGGTCTGAGGATGTTTTTTTGCGCTTTCATATATATTTCATATTCCATGCGTTTTTGTCGTACTGCCTTTCTTGCCTTTCTTCTTTTTACCCCTCCCTCCTTCCACCTACCTCATCCCTCATTCCAACATTCACCAAACGAGCGCTAACCATTCTCTCCATCATACAGAACCCCAAGCCCGTTCGTGTGCGATATACGTCCAAGGAGCGAAGAAGCACTGAGGTTGATTATGGAGGAGGAGTAACTTGGTGTGTGGTTTTGTTGATTGTGCCTGCTTATTGTGCCGTGCTGGACTCCGCCCTGTACCGATTGAGGTGGACTACGCGTGTTCTTGCTACATTGGGCCTGGAGCCTCGTGAAAGACAGTGAAAATATATATAAGTATCATATCATGTCATTATGACACTCGTATCGTATCGTGTGCTGCAACTTACTTGGGTTTGTTTTGTGCGAAGACTAGATGATGCCACCTGTTCGAAGGGAGGCGCCAAGCATTGCCACAAGACAACCCTTTCTGTATTGACATTGCTCGAAACACCGTGACTGGAATCTTATCTCCGATGAAGCACCTGTACTGCGGATGAACCAACTCTACAGTAGCACATCGCAAACTTCTGTGCGGTCCGACTCCAGTGCCAGGTACTTAGTGGATATTGTCGCGTCCACCCAAACCCCATGACTCGGATTCTATGTCTCCGTAGTGCCGTTCCAAACCTACCCATGCAGCATCAAACCTCAGGGCAAAGATACCGTGTCACCGCCACGTCAAACTCCGCCCCCAAGGCCGCGTCAAACTTTGTCCCCAAGGCCGCGTCAAACCCCGTCCCCAATGCCGCATCAAACTCAAACTCACTCCAAGTCATGTTGCGTGCTGCCACGCCAATGTTGCTCAGTGCCGTGTCACGACCGCTTTAGATAATTTCAGCATCCTAACATTAAGTTGCTTCGATAATTTTGATTGGCAGCGGTGACTTGGGCCATCGAGATACTACTTGAGTACTTTAAACCTAATTTATTGTCCCTTGAGGTCATAGAGTCCATGTCGGACGTAGCCCTATTGTCTGGGGCTTACTGCCGCTATCCTAATGTAAGTAGGTATGTATCTGATCTAGCTCATACTTGGGTGCTACTGGGGAACGTAAATGACAAGGTTTGCGCGAATGCACCAGTGAAGGAAGGAGTGAAAAACACAACAGTGACCATCAACAGTACTTGTGAGCTGAGGCCAAGGCCTGATACAAACTTGCAACGAGACGAAAAACAGCGCGTCATAAGTACTTCAATCATATGTTATGCAGTCAAGTGTTCGAGATGTTCCTCCAACTTTGTTCGAGCGGGGTGAAATTTATTCACGGTGACAGCCTGTATAGCACTCAGGCAACTAACTGCTTACATGTTCGAGTCTTATCGTCAACCACACTAGACCAAGGTGAGAACAGAAACACGACTCACACCAACTCAGCGGGTCACTTATTGATAATGGCCACGCCATTCTGTACACAGATATATATCATCTGCCATACCGACAGTGTCAAGCTGGTGGTCGGAAGAAAATTACTCATACTCACATCCGCGACATCAAAATATCGCTAGCATGTATAGCCAGAGCAGCAAGTTAATGACTCATCGCATCTATCAGGACAGCTATTGTCATCACTGACAGCTGGCATAGACGCTGTCAACTTGAAAGCAGCAACGACGGCGAGGATGAAGGAGAGACGCATTATTTGTGAGATGTGATATGGGACTTCAAAGGTAAATCTGAAGGGGACAGTAGGAAGGTGACAGTTTGCTTTTATGCCCTGAGTAATACATTTTGCGCACCTGAAATAGCACTCCTTCTGGCAGATGACATTTGCATTGCCAGCAGACCTCAGGTTTGATCTCTTCTATCCTCGAAATTCTCTTGGCGGAAGAACGGTAGGAAATGATGGTGACATGTAAATCTACCCCATACAGCTTAGGCGACTCGGGGCTTGACAAAGTCTCGGTGGATACTGGCGGAAATTCAGAGTCTCGTCATGCATGGGAGAACTTGAACGCTAAACTCGACACCAGGAGATCAGCAGCTCTCAGGTATACTTTGTTTTCGGAATGCACACTATGCAGCCTAGTACCATTAGTGCCAGACCCCACCGTGGCCAGTGATCGGCGAGCTCCAATTTAGCCCTGAACCACTAGTACTGCCAGTCATTATACGGATCCCGATGCTGCGTCCTCCATGCTGATGGGTGAAGATAAATGCGCGGCTATGCGAATGAGCGGACGGGGGTTCCTGGTCGTTAAAAAGATATACCTGCGGCTGGAGGTAACCTCCTTGTGTATAACCATCATCAGAATCAAGGTTCTACTACTTCACGACTCGCTCACGTCAGCTTAGTAATCCTTCAAAGCTTCAACTTCAATTGAAACTCGCTAGTAGTAACTGCAGGAAATAATGAAGTATACCCAAAACCATCACCACAACGCTCCTCCCACACTTTCCGTCCAGACGGTCTACTCTAAATACATATAAGCATCCTCGACCCCATCGAACACGCATAAAAGGAATGGGATGCAAAACCCCGCATGCGCCAGTAAAATACTAGTACCCGAAGCAGTCACCACCGCAGATACTCAAGAGCACCTCTACCCGGTTTCATTACTCGCATCCCTTCAAATTCTACTCTAAACCCCAACAGGTGGGCTTATTGCTTCCAAAAGTGCACACCTGAGACCCAGCCAAATAGACGGATGCTGCTCAAATTGGGTGACATATTCGAAATCAATATATGTGAGCTCGGGATACGTGTCCATAAAACTTTCCTTAGTGAGTCTCAGATGGCAATGTCCAGTTCCCGGACGAATACGACCAGATCTCGCTCCTTGCTGGGGTATAAACCTACACATCTCTAAGCAATCTACCAACACAGCTGCGACCCCCTCAGGACCTCTCCATATCGGAAACGAGTCAGTCCCGCAGACGAAGATGCTCGCCAAAACTTGTTAGTAGCCGCTACCCAGCTCCTAGAGTTGATGAAGGACGTGCAAGACGAGTTGCCGCTGCTCAGAGCTGTGTTTAGCCCTCATGATAACCCGTCCTCGCCTATGACATGAGGAGCAAGATTGTTGAGGCTGGCAAAAAGGGCAAATGTACGTCCCTCTTTACCATATCCACTTCTCGCACTCACTCAAACAGCACTCGACCTCCAATCCCAACCCTCTTACAACCGTGGCCAGATGCACGCCTGCCTTCTAAACAGCATCATATCCAGCCAACCCCCCACACCCCGAAACCCACAGCATTCATCCACGACCACCTCTACATGGACTGCTGCACGCACCCTTCCCACCTCGTCCAGCGCGGCCAGTTCCTGAGCTGCGGCCCCAGCCCTATCGCATACGCCTTCCCGATCAGCTACCGCAGCAGCACATTGCATGCTGATATCAGGGTCCTGATTATGTCGAGTTGGGTGGAGGATGTCGAGGGTGTGAAAAAGGGGAGCTGGAGGAAGCGTAAATGGAGAAGGAGAGGGAAATGTTACTTTGGAGGGGGTTGAATGCGGGGATTCATCATAGGAATGAGAAGCCTTGGCGGCGCAGATGGGACGCTCGATGGATCTTGTTCCTTGTTCTCCTCCTTTCTACCACTCTGCATCCGAGAACTATAGACGTCTCCTTCACAGACCCTCAAAAAATCAATCGTGAACCATACGATGATGGATATGGCATTCTCTGGAGAACCGCGTCAGTGTGAGGTGGAGGAAAGGTAGGAGTGGAGGCGGGCATTAAGGAGGCTGGGAGGTACAAGCATGTCTTTGGTGTGAGTTGTCGCGTTGCTATATAGGTGTGGGTTTTACTTACGGGTTGGCAGGTGGATGTGAACGGCTGGTCGACTCGGGTCAAGAGGCCCATGAAGAGTAATTTGGTTGTGTTCAAGTCTATGGTGTATCCTGAATGGTGCGTGTCCTTTCTCTCTTTTTTTTGTCGTGTTTTAATTCTTCTCAACATTTTTTTCTCCCTCTATCCAAAAGTATCGACGAGATTCACGAGAATGAGTAGCAACTTCTCAATTTTGTCGCTACTGCAGGTTTAAATGATGAAGCGATGTCCGGAAGATTGGATCATGATACAATGGTCATAATCAATTCAATGGTACACTCCTGCAGGTTCTGGCGAAATCTCCGCCATTCCACAGCAATAACAATTCTGCCAAATCAATCAGAATCATGCCCATAAGTATATGCAGGATATAACATCTGGCCGTCGTCCTATAGTGTTTTTTCATCCTCAGAGATATCATCCGGGATTCCCCTCGCAATATTCCTTATCACCTCGCACCGAAAATGCGTTTCTCCCTCCTCACTGTTGTTGTTACTTTGACAGTGTCTATGTTTGACAGTGCCTGTTTGTCCGTGAATCAAGCTTGCACTGCGGCTTCCGAATGCTGCAGTAACTGGTGTACTTATCCCGTGAGTATGGGCAGGTCGCTGTGCAACCAGGATTCAACCACATGACTCACCTGCACGCTTTAGGGCCCTGTGGGACAAGGTACTTACTGCCTGAATCCACCAGCAGCCAGTTAAAAATTGAGCCGGCAGCCCGAGCGGCATGTCGCCACAGTGAGTCATGCTTCTGCTTTCACTTTGGCATCATGGATGATGTGTAATACCTAGCTCAACTTCGGAGCCAATCAGTACAGTTGCTTTTAGACAAATTTTCGTACTGCTCGAGCAATGTAGATGTTTGAATCTGTCTGAAAATGATCGGCTGTTCCTAGTCTTGCACTAAGTTTGTGTTTGAGAGGCTGTCAAACTACAAGCAACCATTACTATTCACTGCGGAAACGACAAAATGCCCAGACTCTATCTGGACGTGGATGAGTCGTGTATCCAGACACAAACTATACCTTGTAATGTATCTGTACACAAACCAGATTTGAGTAATTCGGAGGTCGCAGCTTTTTGACTTTGGATAAAAACGGACCCACGGTTAGAGGCGACACGATGTAAACACACCCAAACCAGACCACAGACATACATTCTTACCACCAAACCATACACGTCCAAGTAGCGTTCTAAACCAGACACTAACCAGGCTACAGGTATCCTCAAAAGATGCATCCGGACGTTGGGATAGCCCAAAGGGTCAAGTCACCACAAAAAATCGTTAAGTCCTTTTCTTTCGCATCCAAATCATGCTCATGTTCGAAGACAACACCATACGCCTTGAACTACCTCTCAAGTACCCAGAAACAATACGTGTCACGTTTATTCCAGACGTACCTGGGCCCCTCGTATGTTTTTTTTGTTATTGTCGAAAACTTAGCGTCTCATGTTGCTAGACAATCGAAATCGTACCGTCCACTTGCACAACCACGAAGTCTCCTGAGACACCCAAGGAAAAACATCCAAACTCACGAACTTTTATTGGCCCGGCAATAGATGACTCTCCTGCGAAACCATCTATCTCTAAGAATCCCGTCGGTGAAGTAATCTCTCGTCCCTCTACAACTCACATAGCTAACTTTCCCGCTCTAAATACAGATGATAGTGTGACGGAACCCGAGTCTGAAGTAGAGCAAGGAGCTCCTAATGTGGCAGACAAGGTTGGTCGTTGTCTTTTGACTTCTGGATGTTGATTAATAAGTTTCAGACCATGGTAAATACGAGCGCTGGTATCAAACGCCCGGGCAGTCCTCTCGTTTCGAACAAGTTCCGTACTACTAGATACTAGATGTTATATATATGTGATTCTGCATGATTATATCCCAGTTTATCCCAGTCGCAATTTGTCAAAGCACCGCAAAGAACATGTGAAGTGCGACGAAAAAGTCATGTGACACAAAGGAACAGCGACGCGCTTTGTCTTGGCGCGCATCCAAGTCATACCATCAAACTAATTCAAACAACATCCATGTCTAGAGATCGTAAACGTTCGGATAGCATCTAACAGGTGAGTCTCATCTCAGTATCTTGGTCAGAACTCGTTTCCTTGCCCTCGGTCTCATCAGCGTCCTTCGATTCAGAGGATTCGGACGTCGACACCATGGCCCACTCAGCCAGGTGCTACTGTGATACTCACAAGTGCAGCGGTACACTTAGGGAATGACATGGGTATACCCATGGGTATCTGTGGTGATACCCCCACCCACACCCACCAAAAACCCACACCCACCTGGTGGGTGTGGGTATATTCATGGGTACCAGGGATGGCTACCCATACCCACACCCATAGAGGGTATACCCATGGGTATGACATGAATGATTGGTACTACACACTTAGATATCTTAATGAATGTTGTAGTAGTACTGGAGACAAATATACTGCTAGTCTCACCTTGTTAATTGGCAGTCATTTGAGAGAGATATAAGCTAAATAAAAACCCAACATCAGTAAGTTTTTTACATACATACCCACCGTGTGGGTGTGGGTAGGGGTGTGGGTATCCTAAGTGCCTACCCCCACCCATACCCCTGGGTACCCACACCCACAACCCACGGTGGGTGCTAGATACCCATGACATTGCCTAGGTACACTTGTAACAGTTCACACCAAAAAATCTCATGAACGAGCCGACCTTCGCAGGAAGTCACAGAGCACCATCCACTCTGGACGCATCGTTCCCCACAAGATCACTCACCCGGAACCTGTACCATGTGAAAATCCAGTTCCTACAGCTCTTTTTGCACCAGTCTTTGATTTTCCAGACCCCCCTCCTGTCTCTCCATGTGCTGTCGAGCAGGAAATGCTTGATCATGGCATACTCACGCAGGAAGATATAGATATTCAGATTCACGGTTGCGCTCTTCCCAATCTTGGCCCAAATTTTCATACGCCCGAGGCACTTCTTGATGTGGTTGATTTTTACGATACATACCATACTGTTACCGCAGCTGGTGCCCAGCCCCTGAATCGGTATCATGCCCATTTGGTACCCAAGGATCCAGAGCAGCGTGCAATGGAACGAGAATGGGAGAAGACATTGGATGAGGGAGTGCGAGGGATGGAAACTAATGAGGAAGAAGACATGGATGTCGATGTGGACGTGGATATGGCTGATTTGAACCTTGACGAAGCCACGATGGAAGATGACACCTCTGCTGTTTTGATCCAACCCCTGGTCAATGACGAGGATTCACCCGATCCTTTCGAACCAGACGAAGATTTTTTCATGTCTAATGGTAATCGTGCCATGTCTACCCTTCCGCCCCACCTCCTCACCATATATGCGGTCACTACATGGTTACATCTGCAATGGCATCTTCCTCGTGCTGCATGTAACGCCCTTCTCTCTATCTTATCCTGTTTGCTACTGTTCTTGTCTCCTCAGCTCGAGACTCCGTTTCGCACCCTGCAGTCAGCTACACGCGTTCTAGCGCTTGATACTCCATTTTACACCCTTCCTTGTTGTCCCACGTGCCGAGAAGTATATCCGCCTGCAGGTTCTACTCACGATCAAGACACCTGCATGGCTTGCAACATCCCTCTGTTTCTACCTGATACTACGAGGCGTGGATTTACTCGCGCGAAGAAAATTCCTTATGTTAAGTATCCATATCTCCCTCTTTCAGTTCAAATTCGGTCTATCTTAATGATTCCGGGGGTCGAAGCCACACTTGATGGCTGGCGTTCAAAGCCATGAGCACCTGGTCAATATACAGATATATTCGATGGTGATATGTGTCGCCTGAAACTCAAAGCACCCGATGGAAGTCTTTTCTTTTCAAATGGTCCAAATGAATGCCAAGGACCCGACAAAGAGCTTCGCATAGGTGTCAACCTTGGAATTGACTGGTACGTACTAGCACATTTGTGTTTATATGGTGTGCTCAGACACTAGTACTCTTCAGGTTCTCATATATACGCAGTAATATCGCACCATCCCACTCGTCGTGTCCGACGTCATTTTCTATTTGTAATCTTCCCCCCGAGTATCGGTGAGTGGCGCTACACGCCTATTCACTTGATATTCACTTGAACTAATGACTTGTGTTATATAATACAGCTATCGCACATCCAATTTGTTGTGTACGAGCATCCTACCAGGTCCGAAGGAGCAGAATCCCGATCAAATCCAATGTTTTCTTTGTCCGATTGTCTCAGATCTCTTACGGCTCTGGAAGCATGGCATCAAGGTACCAACAGAATCATGTCCAGAAGGTGAGTAAGATATGAGATATGAACCGCATGAGCAGATTAACTGATAATTTGATTAAGGTCGACTTGTTCGCTTAATTCTTGTTGCCGTAGTTTGCGATAAGCCAGCTGCTCACAAGATTGGTGGCTTTGCATCGCATTCACACACTAACTTATGCACAGCCTGCTGGATCACACAAGCAGATAAAGTGAGAGCGGCTGCGTTTGTGAAAGATGATGAGTATCAAAGCTATTACTCATGATGCTCACGCCAAGTACGATTCCCAGCATTCAAGGAACGAACGAATTTGCAACAGTGCGAGTTAGGAGAACAATACCGACAACTGACCACGCCTACTGCACGCAAGAACTTTGTCAAAGACTTTGCAACACGCTATACGCAGCTTTCCAGGCTCCCATACTTCGATTTAGTCAACCAGGTTGTAATCGACCCGATGCATAATCTATTTCTCGGTACGTTCTATTTAATGTTCTATTTAATTGCTCATTCGACAATAGGTCTCGTCAAAACACATTTCTACAATATTTGGGTGCAAGGGAAAGTACTCCGTCCGAACCACGAACTGACCGCTTTTCATGACATGCTTGCCAACGTAAGTATACTTTCTTCTTGTTTCATCAGACTGATATGTCACATAGTTCACCCTACCAAGCGCATGCGGAAAGCTCCCTAAGAACATAGGCATGCCCTCAGGAGGATCGCTCACAGCCGATCAATGGCTCTTGCTTTCAACTGTTTATGGTCCAATAGTAGTAAGTTTCTTTCCCGTACATAAAGATATACTACTGGAACATCACATCAGATACCTCAACTATGGAGTGCTTGTCTCCCAAGTGCTGATAGCGACCACATCCTGCAAGATCGTGTTGCACAGATTGAGCGACTGGAAACCGAGAAGGCTCGTCAGGCAGAGAAGAAACTTGCGGATCGTAGGGCACTCGATGCAGCTAAAAAGCAAGGTAAAGAAGCTTACGCACTTGAGAGGGCTCGTATCGCCAAGGAGAAAGAATCAGAGGCTGCTGAAAGGAATGACGCAAGACTTAAAGCCGCCGCCACCAAGCAAGCAGAGAAGGCTCGACTAGCTGTGGAGAAAAAGGCTGAGAAGGCTCGACTCTCTGCAGAGAAAAAGGCAGCAAAACATCGCAAGAAGGTATGTACTGAATGTATATATTTCCTTTACTCATCTACTCTACAGGCCACAAATGATGCTATGGAGGTTCTCCCCTCCGATACTCCACCAGAACCACTCCCCTCCGCTGCTCCTGAGGTCCCCCACATGACCGACGTAGGTGATGATGGTGAAGAAGAACTTAAGTTTGGTCTGCACCCAGACGACCCAGCTAACTTCCTCAAGCTATCTGGTGCTCTTCGTATCTTGATGCAACATACTTTGTTGGACGCAGACATTGACTCCGCAGATACACTTATCCGGCAATATGTTACTGAATTACTGAAGGTATGTCTTGCTATCATTCTGTCTTATGGTATGCCTCCCAGTTTGCACTCAATATCTAGCTTTATGGTTCGAACATTATAAAACCGAACCACCACTATGCTACACATATTGCGACTTTTGCGCGCAACTTTGGGCCACTTCATGACTTCTGGACTTTTCTTTTCGAGCGCCTCAATAAAGTACTCAAGTCTTTCAAGACCAACAACCATGGAGATGGAGAACTCGAGACGACATTTTTCTCTGAGTTCCACCGAATGTGCGAGTCAAGCCGTTTGGTAGGTCTCTTACTACATCATTCAATTGAATAAAGGCTAATCGTACACTAGACTTATGCGTTACTACAAATGCCCAAGGAGTCTCTGCCATGCGAAGTGGCAGAGAATATGCTCAAAGCTTCATCTGAAGAACGTGGTACGGTCGCGGCTCTTGCGGCTCTATCTAAAGAGTTGGATGAGGTCGACGCTGATGGTAAGTAGTTTTTCTTTCTTATGCTTTCCTGATTCCTTTCATTTTATGTAGCTGGGCAGACTTATGCACTCAGTCCACGGCGTCAGAAAACATCGATGACCCTGGAGACATGTCGCCTACTTGCCAAGGCGCTTTGTTTCCGTTCGCCTCTTACCCCTGTACACTGCCGATCAGATCGTCCCGTTGTCCCTCATAGTATCCCCCTCGATCGAAAGGCGACTTTCTTTGATTATGTTGTGATCAAAGGGAAGCGATTTTATGCGTCTCGTACGGTTGGCTATAACTCTTCCTCACTTGTGCATGCTGTTATCCCCGACTCACATGGCCATGGTGAAGGGAGTCGCGACGGTTACGGGGAAGTTCTCGAGATCTTCCAGCTAGACCAAGATATTCACTTTGTAGGTCAATCAATGTGGTTTGCCCGTATGCGATGGTTTAAGCCATGGCATGGGGAGTCGAGCGTGTGTTGGGAAGACTTGTAAGCATTTGCCTTGTTCTTGGATATGTTGCTTGCATTGATTGATTTTCAGTGCGTCTCTGAGTGTCCATCTTTGGGAACTAGAAGAGTATCAAGGGTCGGACACACAAATCCCTACCATCATAGACCTTGATTGCATACACGGACACCTGGCTCGTACAACAGTCTCAATCGGCGCAGATCAGGTGAAGGTCTGGGCTACTATCAACTTGGCTAAGGAAAGTTTCTATTCATTATGTGCATAGTTCACGGAGACTGACTTTTGAAAACCGCAGTAAATTTTGTCACAATAGATGTATAATACCTTTGATAATAGTATCATAATCGACCGAGTTCATTCACATTACCCTCTGTCTTACCACTAACAGACTCGATCCTTGGATGTCAAGATTTTCATACTATTGGTGTTACTATCCCAAGTACTGGTAACTCTATTGTTCATTGCTACGTCGGGTCTATGAAAACTAATGCCCATTATCCTCTTCATCAGCATACCACTCCTCAAGCTCATCTAGATAATTCTTGTCGTCTAGCGACAAGTCTCCCTCATGAATGTTCCTGATAAAGTCCTTGAGCCACTCCGCTCCTTCAACTACTTCCACTTACTTGTGTTCGTTTAACCATGCCGTGCTTACCATTGTGTTGAACAGAACAGTCAATTTGCCTGACTTTGGGGGACGAGAGCTCATCTGGGAGGGATGGGCATCGAAGGTCGACTTATGTACGTCCTTTGGCTTTGTTATCTTGCGGCGCTTGGCTGAAGGCTCTGCAGATCTGTCCTGTTCCCCACCTCTAACCTCACCAGACTTCTTACGCCTGTAAATCTCATCTAGGACCCGAAAAAGTGCTACATACTATCAACCATAATCGTAAGTCAAGTTCCAATAATACATAGAGTCTTACCGCTGGGGATCTCCACTCCAACCCTACGGCCTTTCGACTTCCTTTGCCTTGACTCTGGTCCTTACGACACTCTGCTGAGTCAGGGCTCAGTTCACCCTCTTCATACGACACATAATCGGATCCATAATCTGTATCAATTAGCGCTACTGATCCTTGATACCCATAGGATCTTTCAAAGTCAGGAACAGCTTCACGACGATGGTTTGCAGCCTATTTTGTGTATTTGGTGAGCGATCGTCAATCTACTCTGTTCCCAATATTAACGACTTACAGTTTGACGTCTTCCTCGACGACGAGCATTTTTTTGCTTATTGGTAAGCTTCTCCGTCTTCTCAGCCGATACGTGACTGGAGATTTGCTGACTGAGGTTTCGCCAGTACGATTTAGCAATTGTGCTAATGACGGTGCGGTCGTAGTCTTCATCCTTCATCTCTCCCTTTTTCTTAGCGTCATTTCGTAACGACTAGCAGGGGAGTTAGCAGGGATCATCACAAAGTAAGTACTAGGTCCATACCGTTTCGTTATCCCATACACGCTGAACCACTTCTGCAATATATAAAGAATTTACTTTATCATCGATTTTCCCCCCCCAATGCGGCCTCCACACTTGTATTCCATCCACCATCTCATATGCATTGCCGTTTGCAAGAGGTAAGCTCTTTGCAAGCAGCTCTGTTCGATCTGCGCGGGCAGTCTTCATATCTATTCCACACAGCTCGAAAAAGATTGGTTGTATGATGGGCTACCATGGTCAGCACGCAGTATGTTGTGAATATTTGGTGTGTCGTTGCTTACTTTTAATGCAGGGTGTTGATTAGATATATTCTTCTTGCCTGCTGTGCTCTTGGCCACACCTGATGTCGTCATTGCATCAAGGCTTTCCTGCAACTCCTTCAGCATGTTCTGGCCCTGCTGCGCATGTTTGTTTAATGCTTGCTGGTTTCCGAGGATGGTCTGGTTGGAAGATTCGACGCCTGTGAGACGAGTGTTGATTTTCTGCATCTCGGTGAGTAACTGCTGAAAGCTGCTTTGAATCATATTATTCATCGAGTCGTTGCGTTGCGCAATAGGTGTATGTTGCATTGATGGGGTCGGGGGAACAGAGTATCCTTGGAGACTGGGATGGTCGCCCATCATGGGTGTAGCGGGGGGTACTGAATGCCCACGAGAGCCAGGGTCGCCGTATGGTGTCATATGTGGATTGTATCCACCAGAAGAGGGCTGGTCGAACTGGTGAGAACGCATCTGATTTAATCCTAGTCCGTTCTGCTGAGATCCACCAAAGTCATACATCCCATGCCCTCCACCATGCCCTCCACCATGCCCTCCACCGAGTCCTTCACCATACAAACCTAGACCTGATGGGTTGAAACCACTGTGGCGATTATCGGGCGCTGTGTCCATGAAAGGATCACTGGGAATGACCGGGGATGATGGAACTGGGTGCGGATTCATATTCTGAACCCCTTGAGCCGTGCTAACAGATTTTTCTGCAGGTGTCGCGGCAGCTCCTTCTGGACGGCGCTGCATGCTTAATTGGTGCTGGAACATAGCACTAGTACTGGCAGGAGGATGGGGACGACAGGGACGACGGGGATGACAGGCCTAGGGATGATGTGAGGATCGTCCAGAAGCACCTTTACAACCTGCTCCCGCGACTTCTTGCTTCTCGACCACATGGACCTTCCGCTCATCCATTCACCGGTACTACATCCTTTTCGCTAGCTTTCTGCTTGAGGTGCTGCTGCGTAGGACGATCCGCGATGTATTCTGTTGTTGCTATCTATATGCAATCTATACTCAATCTATACACAATCTATACTCTGTCCATACCTGAGGAAATATATATTCAATTCCTATCTACACATGGCCTCGAGTATGGTTTGTGTGACGGACCTCAAGCTAGACATTAGTTATTACATATAACTACAGTACAGTTACGGTCCGAATAGCGCGCCCTTTCATACATGTTTTGGACTTAGACAGACGACCTTGCCTGTATCTAGTTTGGGTATGGTTGACTGTTCTATCTATACTCAATCTGGATACGGTCATTTTCTCGTTTCCGCAGTGATTGATGATTAATACTGGGGAGTCGTACGAAGATGGAACGTACTGTACAGCTTGAATCCGATTAAAGATTTAAACTTCCGACGTGTCATCTATGGGTGGACACATGATTGAATTACCGAGCCGGCGGCTATTCGAGCTTACCATTTGGACAGCACAGCGATTGTCTCATTCTCTCGAGATGACCGGGTCATTTGTAGTATGTGGTGTATGGAGTACTGTCACTGCGAGCCTCACACAGTAGAAAGCTGAAGACATAGCTCCTGAGCTTGCGGTACGTGTTTTTGCAACTATACTTCAAAGTTACGAGCTCAACAACAGGGAAATCGACCATAGCCATCATGTATTGATCAGTACTATCAAACTCCAATGTCATGATAACCTTCCATATAACAACATAACATTTTGATGCTACAAGTCTATTGCTGTCGGCGAGGACGAGTTCCACAATGATCCGTACTTTTTCCAGGTATAACTCGTAATACCGTATTTTGCCTTGCGAAGGGTATCGATATTGACAGTAATGAACTGTCGGGCTCCCCTCAATCCTACCATTATCCAGTCCGCCTCATATTTCACAGCGTCCCTAATCATCTTTGGTTTGCCTCTTGATGAACTTCTCTATCGCTCCTCGATGCCAACTAGCAGCATATGAGGCCGTTCCGTTGCAACCACGCCTCAAGCGTAATATGTTCACGCGGTATGCAGGACCACATTCTGTCACAGTCTCCGCTGCAAGAAGGCCACAGGTGAGTAATAGATTCTATGTTTCTTATTCTGCTGTATACTGAAGGAATCCAGGATGAGCAGAGTGAAGATATTGATATTTCCAATGTCCTCAGCGCACAACATCACCGGCTATGCAAGATTCTATAAACGCATAAGCTCAACCCTTCGATCAATATGCAACTGAAGAATACATCTGTAACTACCATCAGTGGATTCATGACTCCTTGATATTGTAACCGTGGGAATTATAGAGGGATATAATTCCGCTCCTGCAAAATATAACCATCCATACTGAAAGAAATATGAGTTGTCGTTGCATTGGTATGGTAGTCTGCAAATTTAGACTACCACGAGGAGTTCGTGACAAGGTAGCGGCATCGCAGCATCAAGGCCTGCAAGGAATGGTATTGTAATGCTCACGTTCTTATCAATCATGCTCATTGTCCATCATTCATGTTTTCAATTCTAAGGCTATTCAAGACTATCTCGTGGAAAGCGGGGTTAGCACTGGTCATTTAACATATATTTGCGTGGGAGTATGTGACGGTTTGGTGACATTGGCCAAATGCAGTCAGTAAGAGATGGTATGATACTCCGACTAATCTTGTTGACGATTCCCGTTTCCCCTTGTTCGTGTTCTGGATGACAAGGCTATTAATTCCTTTTCCGTGGACAATGGCGTTCCAATTTGTCATCAAGTTTAGTATGGAGTTTCTGCAAATGCTATGGCGCTGTACCGTCGCAACCCGTAAGGGACAGTAGTTCATTTGGATCACATCAGTGAGTGACTGTAAATAATCATGACATTACTGCTGCACTGACGAGCCTTGACGTCAGCTCACTGACGCGCCAATGTAAGTGTTTCTATATGTCCTACATTCGACTCCTGGGGTTCACTCACGACACATTCCTTTGTTATTCTATACAACTAGGTACAATATTCTTCGATGAAACAATTCGGTATCAGTCAGTGAGTCTCATATCAAACTCGGACTCGGACCACCAGAATCAATAGCTAATATTCACACCCATCACACAGGGCATTGGAATGGGAGCCTTACACCTTGTATCAAAACTCGAAGGACTCATAAACGGGGTTGACGAGTCGGAAGGATGCTTGTGCAAGGGCGTGGGGGTACCTTAATGTCACTATGTGAGCAATTTTTTGTGTTTTTCACGTTGCGTTGTACCCTCTGAACGAAGCACAGTCTGAAAATATCCGTCTACGCATTGTATGCAGTCCCAACTTGAACGATAGAGAATCAGTACCGCTATGATCATCCTCGCTTCTCGTATTTGAATCACCGTTACAATATTCTGGTTTATCACATTCCTTCTAAGCTAGACACCACTCGCACTCGGACTCCCGGGATTTGGTTCATGTATATTTAACGACGTGGAATGTTTAGACAATTCAATTTAAAGTTTCATATGACAACTTGTGTGAATCAGGGGTGGTTTAAAATGATAGGAGGTCATCGTCATCGTCCTCATCCCCTTCACAGTCCTCATTTCCCTCATCTTCCAATTCCTCGTCACTTAATTCCTTCTCCTCCTCCTCCTCCTCCTCATCATCATCATCATCGCTGTATCCATCACAACTGTCACCGGCACCGTTCTCTTCATAGCCCACATCTACTTCCTCGTTAGCGCCACTTTCAATGTCCATGGTGTTGCCTGTAGACTCGAAGTCGAGACAGTCTCTGATTATCTTCCGTAGCGTTACGGGATGTCCAATGCCGAAATGGGTATAACGAATGAACATATCTCGATCAACGAAACTGATTCGTAGGTTTAGCATCAATGCACTATATTTAAGCATTACTGCACTCACATGCCCACATAATACATTTCCCAATCGTCTAGCTCCCCCCCAGGCCGCGCCAATGATTTTCCGTGGGGAAACGAGCTTGCTCCACGTCCTGAAGCAAAAGCCGGAATTAAATGTATGCCCCGAATCACTTGCCCTGGATCCAGAAAACCGAATGCATCCATGTCCGATTCCTCCACGAAGGCGACTTTGGGAAGGCGAGCATATTTCATTCCAAATTTATGGTTCCGCAGCGGGGCCAGCCATCTAACCCACAAAAATTCGAGGTGTTGCTTTACAGGCCTGCCCCCATCGTTAAGCCATGTTTCCATGTGGTAGATACCCAACACCCGGGCATACCAGTATGGATGGTTAGGCGTCGTTTCCCCCGAAAGTACCATGATGTCAGCATGTGTTCTAGGGTTAATGATATCGTACTCGCGCCTCATGTCGTAGGTAGTGTAATGTACTTGCATGGTCTGGATGGAATAGATCGTATCGTTCGGAATAATAACCGAGTTACGCTCTTCAGGCATGAAGGTGTAGTCGCAATAGCTGATGTCTAGCTTGCGTAGCCTGTATAGAACGTGATCCTTCAGTTTTGGTATGAATTTCTGATAAGTGCGGGTGAGTAAGGTGCGTTCAGAATGCAATATTGATTGTACCTTGAGAGCTGGATCATTTTCATGTTCTCGGAGGAATGTAAATAGAGCGACTGGATGGTTCTGACTAGTCGCGATATCGTGATGCTTGTTAGAGGAGGGGGGATCGGCGACTGGTGGTTGACTGATAGGGTGTAGTATAGCCCCTGCTTCTGCTACTCGTCGTAGTACACGGCGCCTGCGCTCGTGTTTCGCTAACTGTGCCGGTGTGTCTATCTTACTAGTCAACGGATAGAATGCCTTCAATGCTCGGTGTGCAAGCTCTCCCTATACAAAGACTTCATATTCATATTAGCGGAGTGCAACGGATACGTACAATCTGCGTAGTAAAAGAATCCGTGGTCCCGAAGCACTTGATGGTTCTCAAATAATCACCCATGGCGTGAAACTTATAGGTGTTTAAATTGAACCTTTTTGTTCTCGCCCCGGTTGATTCTGGAGAGGCTATATTAATTTCGGAGCATTGAGCGAGCCTAGTGCGTGCCACTGTGCGAATTGGTATAGCAACGACTGCACAGCCGAATCGTGTTCTGAAGGAAATAGCCCTTCAAAAACAGGAATAGCGCACTGGAGGGTATGTCAGCAACGATATGAAGGAAAGTTGAAGTCAGAAAATCCCGTTCGTCCCATCCGTTCTGTTTGTTCTGTCTGGCTGTTGTCAGTGGCGGATGCATTGCTAAATAGGTGAGGCTGACGGCAATGTTTGAAGGAGGGATTTCAAGATCCTGATGGTATGTAGACAGAATGGAGGTACGTCTTCGGGTGATGGTATTCTGCATCCGAACGACATTGTCAACCTTCTGCGTCACGATGCGCTCCACGTCTTCAGCAAGCTAAGAGAGAGCAGCATTCGCGACAGGCGGCCAACACCATGTAGGGATTTAGGACATCTTCCGCTCCGGTCCTGGCGAGAGTAACCGCTGGCACTCGATATGGATGGGACAAACAGACGGGACAAACAGATGGGCGGGACAAACAGGGCTTTCAAAAATTCCGGTGTATGGAAAACCAGATAATGATGTAAACAAACCTGTAGAATGTCCTCAAAGTCGCGGGCTGCTAATCTTTTCATTTCAGAGGTATTGTTAGCGAACTTGCGAATTACCCCGTTTCCAAATGTTGGGACCTGGCGAAATCTAAGGCACGATTGAGAAGTTGACAACTCGTTAGCAAGTAATGATAACTGCATATGAAATTTGCGTACCTACTATCGAGGGTCGCGACAAGCTGAGCACCTCCGGGAAGTGCATACAGAAGTCTAATTAGGTGAGTAAATAGCGCCTTCCACGTACCCAATTCGCATTCATGCATGAGATCAACAACAAGCATGCGAAATGGGTCAAGGCCGAGTGGGCCGAGCTTTTCGGCGAATTGATTCTGTGAACACTAGCTTGAGTGATCATGACTAGCATAGAACCGGCCGCACTCACTAAAATTGGTACCCACGAGCCTGCTCCAAGAATGTCTCCAACCCTTGCACCATCAACAGTATTTCCCCACTGGAAGATGAACTGACAAGCCTGGACAACCTTCGTCAAAGCATACACTCGAAGGTTGGCAATGCGGCTTCTCATGTCCTTCGCGAGACCAAGACAATCAAATAAGGCTTTTGGTATGAGGCAGCGAGGGCACGCGCATGCGCCCATATCCTTAATAGTCGCGATTAGAGCCCTAGAAACTTATGAGCCATACAATATTTTGAACAAACAAATGGAAAATGTACTTCTCTGGATAATCAGCCGAATACGTGAAGATTCGGGGGTATATTCTCCGCATGACGCCATCGGCGCACTTCAGAACTATACCATGGCGATACACATACAAAAATTCTTCGTCCAGCAAGATCATCCAGCACGCATGAAACAATTCCCTGCGGCAATGGGCATGAAGGGACGCCATGCCCGTTTTTGAAATGCGAGGCAATTTGCTCAGAATGTCTTTGATAGCGTCGGGAAGCTGCAAATGGGCATTAATAGCGGTCGACGAACACACAATTGGCAAGAGGGCTCACCGAGGGTAAGAATCCTATTAGGTGACATGATCCAGAAGTAGGTGAGGAACGTACGTATTTTGTTAGGTTTCCGAAGTATGCATAAAGCGGCCAAGCTTTGGCAGTTCCAAAGTTCGCCAAGTGAGTGGCATCGGAAAAGAACATTAGACCGGCGATGACACGTTCTAATGAACATCCAGACTCCTTTGGCAGCTTATGGAGGTCGTCCTGAGCTTCCAGCCAGGCATCTGAGGTGTAGAGCTCGTCGTATATTCGCTCTTGATGGTCGTCGAGAGGGTCCTTCCATATGCGCTTGAATGGTAATAAATGAAATGCCCTCGCTTGAGCGTCTGCGAAGGCTGCGCGTATTACCTCAACAAGGGGGCGATAGTGGAATCCAGGGATGGTGTAAGGCCTGGGGCTATCTTCCCTTGCCTTGGTTGGAATGTCAATGGTGACAGTCGTCTCAATCCAGTCATCTGGAAAAACGATCCTCTTCCCGCTCTCATCTTTATCTAGCTCTCGCAGGCTCTGCCTCACCGAGAACTTCTGAAGGTGCTCCTGGTCGAAATCCTCTGCGAGCATGACATCTTTGACGAGGGCCGCGACTTTAGTTTCCGATATCCGACTACTACCAGAATTCATCCAAGATATTAGTCGATATGTAGTCATATTAGGAAAGGGCCACGGTGGAGCAAAGACCCTGGGCAGAGAATCAGTCTCTTGAGCAGCAGCCGGACATGTTCTCGCAAGCAACGAAGACGGAACAAATGTATCCGGCTCGAACGAAGGGCGGCGAGGATATATTCTGCAGAGACCAAACGAGTTGAAGGTGGTCTGAAGTGTGTCTCTGAGCGTCAGAAGAACACGTCGGATTCTGGATTGGGCGGGCAGGGCGGCCGAATTTTGAGTAGATGGAATTTGAACATCAGCATTATCGGGGTAATTGAGATCCTCTTCTAAGGGCTCGATGTCGTTGAACGGTCTCGGGATTCGTCTCATAGGGTGTGTCCCTAACAAGTTCAGTGATCAGAAACCTTATAGTAGACAGCCGCTGTTCCAAAGGTACAAACCAAGGACGTCCAACTCAGTCTCGTCTCTGCAGTTAAAATCCATTTCAACATCAATATCATTTTGTGGAATATAGAGGGGTCGTTGCGAGGCGACAGGACTGGTGGGATTAAACGTGAGAGCGGCAGATCCTCCCCGTTGCCTTCCTGGCGATCGGCGAGAGGCAATTGGTCTTGGACGGCCTATTGTCTGAAGTTCAAGTTTGTACAAGTTGAAAATATCCGAGTTAGATAGAACGGCTCGGACCACTCACATGCGGACTTGAAGTGTTCACAGGTAGGTCTACCGCAGCAAAATTTGCGAAAGTCGCCTCTTTGGCGCGTTCCTGTCTTTTCTTGGTTGCAAGAAGACTAGATTTCTTATATAAAAGACACGATGCACGATGCCTGCTAAGGCCACGGGTGTCCGTTGCCCTTTCCCAAGAGCAGCCCAGAGCACCGCATAAAACCATTAGTAGTAACAGAAACAAGCCTGAGAGAAGGGCAACTTGAACAATCCAAAAAGGTCCTGTCAGGCGCATTGCACTTTGGAGGTGCTAGCGAGATGCAGTTTTTGTTCCGAAGCAGTCGATGTGACCGGCAGCAGCAAGCTTATGGCATTAGCGGGCCAACAGATAGTTTGCGTCTGACAATCAAGTCCGGAGAATCCCGCCTTCTTTGTTGTCTCACTGTTCTTCCTGGGTGTTTTCAATTAGAACTGAGAATGAAAATGATCTAATAAAATATTACTACAGCCAGGACGGCAACTCCGAGTCTAACTCAAAGTAATGGCATTATGCTGGATGACACAACTCGGACTCGGAGGTGAGCCAATATAGCTTGAGGAAGATACTTACACCGACTCGGACTCAGATGTAATGCTAGTGACTAACCGTGACTCCTCGTCAAGCCACAAGCCATCCTATTAATGTGTCTGCTATACCGTGACGGCCAAAGGCTTGAACGCGGGGAGTAGCAAGGGTAGCTCTGTTGAACTTTGTTTTCGTCACGGTGAAGCTTAGCTGGAATGCCGTTCAGGACACCCGAGTTCTGACAACACATTTGATGTATTACAATTTAGGTTGCCGTTCGAGATTTGAAGAAGTTGAGGGAATGACTCACCGCGTCGTATAGTTGCCAATGCACACCATCGATGCTTATTCCAATGAAAACCGATCCAAAACGTGACCACATTAGATCCATCGTATAGTTGATGCCAACTGGAATCGAGTTCTTCTTCCGTTGACTCGCGCTTTCGTACGGTAACCTTGGTGGGAATGTGGATTGGGACGCCGTCTATATTTCACATGAACCAACTACTATAACAAAGCCTGAGATTGCACCCACCGACGCCTCAGTACTCCGACTAACGATCAAGATACGAGAACGTAGAGAATGCACGGCGAGCAGATCTCAGAATGCACAGGTTGTGCACAGACAGGTGATGCAGTTTGGCGGTGAGGCAGACATCCCTTTCGGCGAGTGTACCAGGTTAATAAATCAAGGTTAATAGAGACGCTGGGAGAAAGCAAAGTCGGACGCGCCGCAGGAACTTTTCTTTTTACTCTCAATGTAATTGATAGCAAAGTTCGACTTGACTTGGCTGTGGAGGAACACCGATGAAAGAGTCGCGTACGACAGTGCGGGTTCCCAATACTAGAATAAATGTGTCCGAAAGCCCTGTATGATGTTCAATTAAGTTCCATTCGCTTGTGATCCTCAATTAAACTGACCTCGAGGCGAAAAGCTCTGCGCCACGCTGGAGTTATGATAACCTCCTAAATCATATTTTCACGAATGTTTGAGTCGTTAAGTTTGAGTCGTTAAAGACGAAGCTCATGGAGGCATAAATAGGAACTGCGTGAGCATTGGTGGTAGAATCAAGAACCTGACCAGCATGCAACCGGAGCGTCTCGAATTCCTGGGGCCTTTGATCAAAAGTTGACCACAAAAGACCTTCAAATGAGACACGGCACTTACTTGTTGGCTTGAGACATCACAATTCAATGTTGGAATGGGAGACAAGTGGGTTTACATGCAGACTCCAATTTCCCTCATACTTGTTGTACTGAGTATTGGCGGTGCAGAATGTGTCAGAAACCAGATAGGAATGTCGGACTATGCTATTGAGTATGCTCACCTCGTGCTCGCTGTTCCATGATGGCGTCCGAGTCGATGCACGAGTGGTAGTTGGACTCATCCTTGAAGGATGAGCATTTGCAGGAGAAAGTTTACAACTTGTGCATGCTGAACCATGACTGCTTTACAGCAAGCCGCAATGCCATGCCGCACACGAACATCACGACTTGTCTAGCAACTGAGCAGGGTCGGTATTGGTGTGACGTGTGCATCATTATTACTGGCGAGTCGGATTGGGTTTCCAGTACGTCAGCAAGGTCTGCGAAGCATAAGCCCTGTATCTCACCAATGTCAGAAAGGCAGCCTAAGACGTGGGTGACTGCCTGAATAAATTTAATGTGAGTATGAGATTGAAATGGGATGCGGCACGTACCCAGGCCATTACGGTTTCACCAGTCTACAGAACATCATGATCCTCGGCTTCGCTGAGGTAGCTGAACAAGCTAGGGATTAGTAGAATAGTGAAGAGACTGTCACCAGGGCAGGTGCACCACGAACGAGGCTTGGTATCAAGTTGATGGCAGACCCTGCTATCCAGGCTTCTTGAAGTTTGGAAACTGTGATAACAATACGAGTATTAGTACTAGTAAGAGAGAAAGATTCGTCAGCAAGGCGGCTGGTTATTTTTGTTGAGATCAAACTTCGGGTGTCGCCGATGGGAAAACGTTCCTGTCTCCAATGTCTCTGAGGCTACATATACAAACTCAAATTGGTGTACCATAGGAGATTGCTATGAGTAATTCTTCGGAATCGATGAGCAGTATTTTTCTACCTGATCCCCCTCTTCACAAGCCTAAGTTTGTCCACCGAACTGTTTACAACAATTACTAGTACTAATGACCACTCATATTTGCACCTCAGACAACGCTCGTCTGCACCACCCACACCTCCCGCATCCGATGCGCGTAGTAGCCCTCCTGCAAAGAGTGGCTCCTTCACTTTATCGCGCCTCGAGGCTACTGTCGAGGAGGCTCCTACCCTTCAAGATGACGGGGGCAACTCTGTAGTCAACAGCCGGGTTGATGACAAGCATCGCAAGCGTTCTGCCCGGTATGCCTTATTTGAGAGTGGCAACCGTGAGGAGGATTGTGACTTACCCACAAAGAGATTAAGAGCCTTGAAAACGACGGTATGTCTATTTGTATCCTAACTTAGTGTGTGATTCTGAATTGTTTTCGAAGTGGAACCACACTTTTGACTCTAACGCTACGAACTATCTCAACGAGCGCATGCTCGAACTTTCCCGAATCACTCGCCGGGCTCTTGCCGCAAGAGTTCGCTACCAACGTCTTCGCGCCCACGAACTTGATCTAATCAAGTCAATCCTCGAAGAAGAAACTGAGCTGTCCCAGAAACAGATTCATGGTATTGATTTACAAATTGGCTCCATCCGAAATATGCTTCAGGACGGAGGAGTAACGTCAATAGGGAATAAAGGATGTAAGTTTGACCCTAGTGATCACGGACCTTGGTGCGAAAGCTCTGCGTCAGATGATGATGGTTCAATGTTCGGATCTGATGCTACCTCGGCCAGTTCGTCGGATGAATAGCTTATTGCCACTGTATATTTTGTGCCTATCATCTCCCCATGCCAGTGTGTACATAAATATAAGTATATTGAGTCGACTAGTAGTAATCACATTCCCAAAATCGTACTCTATAACCGCAACAGAATCCGATATAAGCTTTCTGAGTCTGGTTCTTAGTTCTAGGTTCTAGTATCTGACTGTGACAGTACGTCACGGATCAAAAAGAAGCAACCCTAATAATGAGGTCCGAGAGATAGCAATGCTGCTATGATTGCTTTCACACACTGAGGCTTGCAGATCGGCGGCTCGAAGTTCCCCCGGGGATTTACCACAAGCCGCATAACCTACCCTCTCAGGGTGCAGGTTCTAAGGCCACTGATCCTGCATGACTGTGACGTCGTACCAATCATAGTAGTCTTCCATGGGCAAGTTTTCCAGAAACAATTCAGATCTGTCACGGTAGTAGTATAATTTAAATGTTTTCGAACGTACGTATTCTCAGTACTACAGTGTCACGGACTGTTGCATAAAAACCTGCCGCAGTACAAGTTACTATCTATGACTAATGTGTGACCTGTTACGATTCCGAAATAGTAACTATAATGGTAAATGTTAGACCCCTGTGTCGGAGACTTCCCCATATACCGTGTTTCACCCTCATGTCCCCGTCTCCCTCGAGCTCGTGTCTACCACCCTCTCTCATACAGAACTTACGTAGTGTAGAGTGTAGCGTGTCCTTGACCATGTTTATTTTTCGTCCTTTTATATATGATGAAATTTTAATCACGAACCAACTTAAACTCTCGTGTCTTTGATTTGCTGTGTGATCAGATGAGGATGCACAATAAAATTATGACTACTACCACTTGACAGGAACATGTATGTAGACCGTTTGCGGGGTCCAGCCTTTACTAAATAATGTCAGTCGAATCGTAATAGGTCACTACACTCCACACTAGTACTAGTATTAATAGGCGCATCAAACCTTCAAGCTTCAAGTTCCAAGCGTGCTATCTAGAGTCGTATCATTATAGGCTCCACCCGGTTCTTGCAACGATTACGTAACTACTAAGTGCGAGTGAGTCACAAATCAAGGGTCCCGTTAACGTTGTAGGGTACGAAGCTGGAGAAATAGGAGTCATATCTGTCTTTCTTGCTTTCCAGAGATACCTAAAGCAGTGAATGTAGTATACGTGGGCTCCAGCCCGGTTCTTTATGACATACTGAACAGATTCTATTACCTACTATCAGTCACGAACAAGGGTTTACTGACGTGCTAGGCACGACGGAGTTTCAAGTTTGAATGAGATCGGAGTCAATATCACGTCAATGGACCGACTCAAATGGGCGCGATCATCGGGAGCATTACGCATCTTCAAGGTTTTACTCAAATTCTCTCTGTATGGCGTACGTAGCATGTTTTTTGTATGGCTGATCGAGACTCGTGAATTTACTGACGCTTGATGCGTACGCGTAATGCTTCACCGGCTGATGCCATAATTGCCAGCTATTTAACTCGCCTCTACTAGTAGTACTAAGCATCTGACTCGGAATCATGGCGACTTCTGAGTCTTTCGAGCCTCAGTCAACTCCCGAGTCTTTCAACTTCGTTCAATATGATCTTACCCAGCATGCTACCAGTACTACTAGCGGACAGCGAACTATGCCGGCACCTCAGGAGCTCACCACGCATCGCTTGCACCCTTATTCTCGCGCTTCCAGCACTCGTTCTTACCCGACTCAGAATTCATCTTCGACAGCATCTGGGAGCGTAGTCTCTCCTGCAGAGAAAAAAAATGGAAGAAAGTATGCATGGACGATGTAGACTTTCTCGACCATCCAGCCATCATATGGGCGCGCAGCCGTATGATTATGGATCTCGTAGCCACAAAAGGGTGGATGAAAAATGAGACCAGGACAGAAAAAGAGCTGATGAATATCTACTTGGGCGAAATCGTTGCTCAGGCCAATGCTTTATTCCACCGCAGTAGGTGTCAAGTTTTACAATGATCGTCATGGCATCAACTAACTAATATCACAATGAACAAGATATTTCAGCGACAAAGAATATCAAGAGTTTACTTAAGTATGGTGTTTCTCAATTTCGCAACCACCTTGCAGTAACGGCGGATCGCTTCGTGTGTCTCCACAATCTGGAACCAAAGAAGGAGGATAATCTATCCGATAGTGCCCGTCAAGCTTTTATGATGGCACTCAGAACCCAGATCTTTGATTCGAATCAGCAATGGACGTACTTTTTACACAGGCAGGTGTACACCGCGGACTCCGTCATACTTCATCTTTTTGGAAACCTCGCTCTAGAAGAAACACATCTGGGGATATGGTATGGCAGCAAGTATTCGCCGTTCCGCGACATGAACATGAGGGCAGAGATCAAGACCACGATGCCTCTCATGCTTTCTGAAAGTGCTGCTGGAGTGAGTAACATATACTGTCATGTGCATTTGTAACTAACCGCTTCTGCATAATCATTCTTAGGCGCAGTGTGCTATCGATAGGGCGGTAGAAGGATGTTTGTCAGACTCGCGTAAGGGTGTGCCGCACTTCAGTGCGAAATTATATGCCAGTCGGCAGGCTGCGTATCACAACACCATTTTAGAGTCCTTGGCTGACCCTCTCCATAAGGAATCATTAGAGGCGCGTTTTTTAGCTCTTCATCGAAGAGGTCTGTAAGTGACTTTTGCTATGATGGATACGGGAATCATGCTCATGCTTTGTAGCGAACTGACAGATACCCCATTTGGTTTGTCGACGCCATCACAAATTGTATATGTGCCTACAAGACGAGATGAGATAGTAAGGCCGCTCCCGCAATCATCGTCGGCGGCGATGCGGATGCCTATCCAGGAGGGGTTACAGTACCTGACAGGTCATCATCACGCAGACTTGGCCCAGGGGACCTCGTCCATGGCTTATTCGGGTACAGGCGTCTTCATCGATGAGGAGTTGGAGTACAACCTTGAAGCAGACAAGAATTTGATGCCGGACACAATTTTGAACCAAGGGACATACAGATTTTTCTGAATGTTGTGCATTACAAAATAGGTGAGTCAGCTTATCAACTTCAATCGTGCCGCAAGGCTAATTTCAGTAACAGGCTGTTTTTCGTAGCATATTAGAAGATAGGCTACTCTATGGATGTATTGAACTCGAGGTGCTCTTTCGTTAGGGCAGAATATATCATAGCGGCAGCAATGTTCGCCTATTCCCTACTCAGACATAAACTCTCTCCGCGCTTTATTGAACGACTTGGATAAGTAGTCTATTCAAGTCAAGGTTTCCCAGGAGCCTGTAAGGAAGACTGTGCATAAACCTTCCTCCGACCCTGCCAACTGATGCATTCATACGCAGGACCAAAGTTCCCTTTCTCGATACAAGGGGTGCGTTTTTGCGTGACTAGCATCTCCTTTTATTGGTCCTAATGTACTCTAGGAGTGGAAAGACCTCCGTGCTTCAAGCCCTCTTTGAGGATCTCCCCATCAAACAGATTTTCTATCTAGAGCCCACCGTCTGTGTCACGAAACATTTCATCCGTCTCTGATCCTGGCTGGCATCCAGCGCTGAACGCAGTCTCTCAGTATTGTCATCCCGTTGGAAATATAGGCTATCTCGGAAATGTCACTATTGATACGCTCAGCACATGCCTCCGAGTCAACGATGTCTCGACAATTATCTTTGTCATAGACCTTCGAGTACGTGACTTTATTTGGCCGCTGACCGGTAGCCTCATTGAAATCCGCAGGATCTGTACTAACAACCTGTCTCAGAGCTCGTAGGATTCATCGCTGCAGTATGCCAAGTCAACCCAGAGATCAACTTTGAAATTAGCAGGAGTACAATGAGTCAGGTCCTGATATTGTTCATCACAGTACGTGTCTCTCGTTTTATGATTCTACTTTTCCTCATTTACCCCCGGAACAGAGTGCTTCTAAATGTAATGAGAGAAGTAACCGTGCGTACGATGTACTAGAATCTCATTGCTATTCATTCCTAGTAACACAGATGTCAATCGCCGGAGGAGTTCTATTGGAAGATACGATACGTATTTGGAGATTGTTTATATTGAACCGTTTGTCCGTTCTGCAGACAGTATAGTTGGAATTGACAAAATATCAGTATACGCACTTGTGTGACTATGAATGTCGTGCGAATGTACGTAGTCACGTGCATTTCTATCCAACTCGGTAATAACAAGAACATGCGCCCAACATTGTGCCCAACATGGAGTCACGGTCCGCAACATCCTTTGGGTTCAGGAATCTCGGTGTCCACTTTAACAAGCGCACAAATGCAAGTTTGGTATTGCACACACGTGAATCTCTTCGCCCTGATGTTGATCGATCAATCGCTACAACATCATCCACCTGTTTTTCCAGCGGCAGCTTGCAACACATACTAGTTCTATGCCAGTGACACCACTGCCGGCCTGCAGGAAATCAACGTTCCACACAAGTTTTACTCCAAGTTCTTCTAGATTATTGGCCAGACGCGACCTCCAGGAACTGAGGTCGCTTCGGTCGCGCCATGACCATTCGAACAGGGAAGAGAAAGGTAACATACACTACACCAGAGCGACCACTCCAGCCAGGAGAACAAAGCACAGTTCCCCGGCTCCGTTAGTTCTGTTTAAGGCGATTTGGAACGAAATACGGGTGCTCATCTTCCCCCTCCACCACTAAATCTCGACCACTATCCCCGTCTGTACCGCAGATTGGCTCTATCCCTTTCTCATCTTCACCGCCCCACACGAGACGACTTCCTGAAAGTAGCCAATGGGTTTGGCAACGTCTACGGATCCGCTTCAAGTGGTTTACAATATGTTCTTTTCGGAGATTTAATCCAGATGATATCTCCGTTTTCAAAACATGGTTCCTAATGAGCCAACCTCTGGATATTGGTCAGAACGTGAGTTGAAAATATCTGGTCTGAATATCTGATGACTTATCCTATTCACAACGACATTCTTTTCACCACTGCTAATAGTCTGCAATTGCAAGGTATGCGCCTCCCCTATGAAATCATACTACGCACGTCTCTCACTAGATATTGCAGAATATTTAGCACGTGCCATAATCATCTACCTCACCAGTGAGACTGGCGTCACAGTCATCTTTGAATCTCTATCGTTCCTAAATGGAAGGACTCTCGCATCTCCTTCAAAAATGTATGTCTCCCGCGGATCAATTCCAGGACATTGGAAGGTGGTCCCTTGTCGTGGATAATGTCTGGCAAAGTTGATGCAGTACTAGATATAAAATTCCCTAGGGACGCAGAAGACGAATTTGCGTTGAATGCCATTCTCGGTGAGCTTGCGTATGCCATCATCACGGCGGCTACTGCCTCTCTGCCTGTTGAGAAAATGCCGGGGCAGCGAGAGCTCGCACAACCACTTCTTACTGCACCTACGACCGATAACGAGAGCGAAGCCAATGAGGACTGTGAGTATCTTTCTGGAGTCTTCGCAATTCCGCTCAAACTAACATAAGTCATAGTCTATTACGTAACGAGGCACAAGCGTAGGAATAGACGAGTTCCTACTAGACGTGATTATTCTCGACTCATCTTGCCTGTTCCTTTCGTGATTGATCATCGTGCTGCTGCTCGTCAGTCCATGCGTTCTCAATTTGATAACATCACTCATTCGCAGACTCAGACACTCGATACTGTCATTTTGTGAATTATTGGTCGCGCTCTTTACTACGCGGCGAGTCTTGCCGTAAGTTGTCTATTTTTAGTAACCCATGGTACTACCTGACTTTCATGTCTTTAGGATGCTGCGCTGTCATCACGCTTAAAATGCCTCTTTAGGCACTTATGACCTGGACAGCCCATCAATATAAAACAGGTTCGTGAAATTCCTTACCCTCATCTCGCACCTCTCTCCATTACCTTCCACTAGATTTGTTATCTCTTTCTCGATGTCGCAACCTAACTCGGAGGACAGCACGATGCTCATCGAGGACCAGCAGAACGGCAGCAACATTCACGAACCATCCCTGGGCCAAGCACAGCCAGCATTTGTGCAGGCTCGGCAGCGACGAAAGATTGCAGAACTAGAGGGGAAACTAGAGGCTCTCGAATCGGGACGTACAGGAAAAGAAAGGTCTGGTCACCATTGGTATGTTGAGTTGCGGCTTTGCTCACAGAACTCTTAGGAAAACGAACTACTATCTGGCTCAAGGAAGAGGCTTCAGGCGTGTCGTCGCTTTGTTCGACAGTATCGAGGACCTTGTCTCTGAAAACGACAGAAGATACGATGACATCGACGACGAGGATGCTACTTTCGAGTGAGTTTTATTGCCTTTGGAAGTCACGTTGGGTGTACTCATTTATTTGTTTATATAGTCAAGAGCGGCTGCTAACAGGGTACAACATCCTTACGAGAACTTTACCCTGGCTTCTAAAGACGACTTCTGGTATGGAGCACGATGATTATACACGCATGCTAAAAACGGTGCGCCTTTACGATGGCAACGATCGTCTTTATTATATTGAGGATTCGTTAAGCTTAGGCAGGGTGCTGATAGTGCCCGAGGAGATGATACCGCGAAACTCAAGGCTCTTGTTGCAGACTGGGTCAATCGAGAATTCAAGCCAAATCCCCCATTAGATTCCGACAACAAACATTGCCGAGGCTTCATCAGTGATGTATGTGGTGGTCTACTCTGCCCGGCCGAGCTCGATTGGTACAATCCTGCATAAGTAGCGTGTTTGAGATCTTCAACTAACGCTAACTATTCACCAGCGTAAAGACTGGGATTCGAGATCGCTCTGAGGGTCATATCCAGGCTACCGTGTCATATTAATGCAATAACATAGGTTAGTTAGCAGACAGGTGTAATGTATTAACAACGACAGACAATGTAATGCATTTTCTCGCACACTTTTTTCGGCACCTTAATAGACCTAATGCATTAGATCACGACGCGTGTATGCGGCTGGCACTATACCTGCTTCCGCTATATAGCTTTATAGCATTGGTTCTTTCAACAGGTTCATTCATGTGTGCGCCCTACCCACTCATATTACTAGGTGCTAACTAGTACCCTCCCATAATATACCTCCCTTCAACTCAAGGCCCTCCACACTTGCTCGTCCTGCCAGGGCCTACTAGTAATCGGACTGCGATGCAGAAGTTGAAGGGTGGTATGTTCCACTCGGTCGAATTCAACGACTTTGATGATTATATAATGCGCCGACATCGTAAATCGTGAAGCAAAGGGAAAACTCGGAGTACGTGACTGAAGCACTGACGAAACAGCCATTTTATTCACTCTTGTTCCAGTCGTGCACCGCAGGAAACTCTCGTAGTCAAGGTTTCAAGTGCGTCTTGTCTCTCTCCATTTAACCTGTTGACTTAGTACTTATCACTTGCCTTTGGAATTTTCGTCTTCTCGTGGATCTTCAAAGTGATACTTTGATCGTCGTTTGTCGGACTTGGTGATCTTTTATGGAGCGTATATCAACATTTATGTCAGTGGGACATTGATACTTTTGCTCGTTCTCATTTTGAATGTGCTTGTTACATCTGTTGCGCCATGTTTCAACACATGTAGAGGTCATTGAATCCCAAACCGTCTCATCATTTCAAATCCTTCAAAATCATACTGTATATATCTAATGTACTTGATTTGAAACACATTCCCTGTCAGACTCGCGCGCTAGCCTCACATCTCGAGCATCAGCGATTGAAAATGAATATTCAAAGTTTCTGTTTCCTGTTGTAAAAGTCCAGTGAGTAACGAGTGGAGTATATAGAAACAGCGGTCTTACTTTCTGGACTGCGGGCCTGCGCCAACAGTATTACCCTTCCGTCGCTTGTTGTTCTCTTTATCGACAGAGACAGGTGGGCGCACACGCACGCTTGATGACCCAATAGCATTGAGAACATGCTCGCGTGTGGACGGAACATGGCGGCGTGTTGTTCGACGGGGACCTTCCTCTTCTAGACCAGCAAGAGGGTCAGATGTGTTGGAATCTGTCACATTCATGGTGGAGGTGCTTGCGAGGGGTGTAGCAGGTGGTAGATGCTTGGAATGAGAGGGCGGTGTATTACTAGACATGGCTGTATAATCTGAGAATGCAGGTAAAATATGATCTGTTGGTCCACGAGCAAGGGGGGCGGGGAATATTGATAATCAAATGAGTCGGAGGAGTCTTCCATGAAGCTACAGTCGAGATCGTCGAGACCAGATGTGAATGGGCCATAGGGCGGCATTGTCGGTAGTAGGTTTGCGATGAAATCGTCGATAGCAGACATATCCAAGCTGGACATGTCGAATTTGTCGAAAGCGGGGAGGACAATATCATTATCAGTGATGGTTGGTGCTACAGTAGTGGTCCAAGCGGTTACAGGTGCTGCTGATGAGTCGACCATAGACCTTTGGTCATCCTACACGAGTTTGAAGGTAATGCATTACCGGAAATGCATTATACAATGTGATGCATTAGCGGCGAGAATTCAACAGATGAGTAATGCATTACTTACCATGACTCCGCTGAACTCATAAAGGCCGCCGTTCAGCCCCAGCCCAACATCGTCCATATCCCCAAGCTCTTCATTCTCCCTAACATTTTCCTCCTCAACCTTTTCCTCTTCTTCGCTACTCTCCCCAAAAATATCGTCACGGTCCGACTCGTTGGCCAACTCATCTGCAATAGTACCTGCATTGAGTGCTGAAGCCACCACCCTATCGTCATGGGCTGATAGAACAAGGTAAATGACATCGCCGTCAATTTGATAATCGATAGATGCTTACCTAGTGCTAATTTGACAAAGTTTGCATAGGCTGTTTGAACTTCGCTGAACCCAGCATATTCAGCCGAGAACTCGTCCCCCATCTCCGTCTCTCCGAGATGGTAGCTGCATTAATGTATTCAGTGAGTTAATAGTTTCAGGTGTGTGGGAAATATACTTACTCAAGAACCACAATGTCTCCCGTGGCTGGGTTTCGTCCCCCCACAATACATGTGAACTTAAGTCCACCTGTCTTATGGGACAAGTGGCGGAAGATGCGATCAAGATGTGCCCCAAGTTCGCTGAAGGCTCTGCATATATGGGTGAGAACAATTTATTTGATTTGAAGCAGGACATACTTGATCTTTTCCTCTTGTTCCACTTCCGGAACAAAACCGGCTTTAGCTAGTTCACATTTTTTTTTCCAGTTCACAAGGGCTTCTTGGTGCCTCTCTTGGACCTCAGCCTTAATGCTATCATCTTCGGCCGCATATTTAGTGCGAGTGAGGTCCTTCCTTTTTGCAAGCTTTTGGCCACGTGTTGTGATACCCTCGGCCTTGATTGCCGCGTCTGCTTCCTGCTTCACGCGCTCATTGTAGAAAATCTGTGAGTACACCTCTACTTCTTGCGGAGCTCGTCCTGATACTTCATCTCCTCCAATCAGTGTTTCGCTGAGGTCAAGCGCCCCTTTGAATCCCGCTACTCGTGCGAGACGTGCGACGTTAGTCTGCCATCTATACCATACTTTGATCTGCTATAAGGTCTCGCAGGTTAGTATGGTATATATTAAATTTTTACGCATGAAATACTTACTGTTTTACGATTACTCTTAGCTTCAGTTAGTAACTTCGTCTGGTCCTCTGTGAGGTCGCCCTCCAAAGGGATACCCAGTATAGCGCGTTCGCGCTCTGGCCATTGCACCTCAAATGCCGCCCACGTGTCGCGAAAGAACACCGTGTAAACTTTTGCCTTTTGACAAACAATATATTCGCTGAGTAGACTTAACAGAAATTTTTCTTGTTCTGCAGTAGCCCATGGCTTTGGCCCGCGGCGACTTCGCATTGTCAAGTAGATGAGGTGAATGTAGGAGATGATGGACCTGGAGTCAGTGGGAAGGTGGAGATGATTCAAAAGAAATCAATGTTCTTAAAAGCCAGTCCTCGGCTCGGTTGTTCTATTCGCCATTCGGTGGCCATGAGCGCAGATTGCGGAATTTAATGTTTAATCAAGCTGGAAGGGGTCCAACGCAGAGTGGGCACGCACCAATCAAGGATATTTCACTGTACAGCAACTCGCAGTGGCAAGTAGACTATTCTCGCACTTATGAAACAATGATGTCCGAGCTCTACTACCAAGTGAACCACTGCCTACCACCCAGTCTGTTGCTCATGCAGTTTTAACAAGGATGATCCCAGCTTAGCTATAGTTACTGATGAATGAGTGAATGCGCGAGTATCGTAATCTGTCGTCTAGTGGAAGTTCAACAACAGCCTAGGCTGTGGGCTTGAGTGGGCTAATAGGCTTGTGTCAACTAGATGGATTAGGTTCAGCCGTACAATGGCCTGGGCTAGGCTGACTGAGCCGAAAATAATATACATTTCCTATAGACTACGAGACTTCTCCTCCAGATCCTGATAGGGTAGGCGCTGACCAGCTACCAGTTAGTGTTGCCGAAGTCCAATCACCAGATCTGCTCCTCCAGGGTGTGTGAAATTGTCTCGCGGAAGTAAAGCATGATGACAGGCCAGAAGACGGACGCAAGGATGAGGTGGTTGGACTGCTTAACTTGCATGTCGATCTTGAAGAACTGTCCGAGACTCTCGCGCTCCATGAGACCTTGGGACGTATTTGGGATCAAGCAGAACTCAAGACCAATGTCAATGCCCTTTTGCAGGAGACCGCACTCCATGAGACTGTGAAGTCCTTGGGCTTGATGGTAGCAACCTTATCCCTGTAGAAGAATGAGACCTCCTTGAGCGTGAGATGGACTGCTTGCATCTGGATGTGCGTGAGTGTGCCAATGGCAGTGGTGGTTGACTGCGACCTGGTGGGAGCAGTGATGTCGACGTCAGTGATATTGCAGATATAGACGTGCCCAGGAAGTAAGCTTAACGACGAGATGTCGAGATTCTCAAGCACAAATTTGATCTCCCTATCAACATACTTGGTTCTATCAGGCTCGTCAGCGGTTGTTAGAAATGCGTGGTTGACTTAGGAACTCGCCTTGGAATCGGAATGTTCTCAAAGACATACTGCACTGTATCTGAAGAGCAAATATCAGTAGCTTGTGCAGATCACCTACCAGACATCCATTCCTCGGAGACGATAAGATTGGGCTTGACTTCGAGTAAACATCTATACTCTGCACAGTGTTTGGTGTCAACACTCCTGTCCCCAGCATCATCCAGTGCGCTGAGCTTGAAGGGCTAGATGGTACATTAGTTGTTCCAGTGTGCTGCAAATTTGGTGCCGATAGAAGTTTATATGAGAATGTACGTTCAATTTTGTCAGAAGACATGTGAACCGGGATGGAGATTTAACTTACATGTATGAGAGTTTATTTGAGAGCTTTGTTATAGGCGGAAATGATGATAACAGGGAGGATGTTGTGTTTGAGCTGCAAGAGCGATTGAATGAGGATTTCTCCCGCTATATCATGATAGGATGATGAGAATACGACACAGTGGTTTCGGAGCTTGGGAACACATTGAGGATGATAACGCTGGTCATACTGACACCAGATTCTTCATCTTGAGTACGACTGAGTTCAATGAGATTCTGTCCTGAAGAAAGTTGTTTGAATAGCATCAGCGATGGTCTACTATTCAAAGTTTGAGAAGCACGAGTTATGAATGAGATGAGAATGACCCAGTATTACTAAGTAGAACTTACACGAGTCAAGGTGAACACTGGCCCATCTGTCCTGCCCGCATAGTTGAATTATGGTTGCAGATCGTGGTACATGCCTAAAGTTGCAAGAGCAAGAACCGAGCACTGATATTTGAAGATTGAATCTATCATAGAGTCAGTAGCAAGTAGTCAGTAGTGACAGCTGGATGTAATTATGTTGTCCTGAAGTGGTAACTTGGCTGAGCGCTGAATACTTGAATTGTCATTCATTTCAACTTTCAAGTACATATCTACACTCACTAGCACATAGATCCAGCGCGATCATAAGTACTGTTTGTTGTGCAGCCCAACAAATGCAACATTTTCCACTAACCATGGCTAGACTCGGAGTCAACTCAGAGTAAGCTGTCGAACTTTATTGTTCTCCATCTCGTTGACTCATCCTTATAATTCGAAGCCGTCCCACCTCCCTTTCCACCGCCTCTCCAAGTAATCATACCCAACGATGTCCAGCTCAGATATAACATCAGCGCTCCTGTCATATAGGAAGAGGAGCATGTACAAGGTAATTCTTACCCTGCACGGTGTTTTGAACATCTACCAATTCAGGTTTCACTTTCTTCAGCAGGTAGAGCGTCTTAGGAATGCAGGCATGGCTCAAAAGTTCATTATAGATATGATTCACGGGGCTTTGTTATGAGGGTGCGCATGGAGGGTCAAGGGATGCAGAGATGGCTAGGTCAGCAAGCTCACTCATGTCGGTTGTATCCCAATCTCATCTATCGCATACTCAAGCCGAAGGTTGTGTGATTGATCTAGGTCGGCTAGCTCACTTGTGTTAGTTGTCCCCCCATCTCATCTATCGCATGCTCAAGCCGAAGGTCGTGTAATTGATCTTTGTGTTTGGGAAGATAATGTTGGCTAGGTCAGTAAGCTCACTCGTGTTAGTTGTTCCCCAATCTCATGTAGACACATTAGCGAATCTGGGTCGAATCCTTCGCTGATACTTGTCACAATGCCTCTCCTTTAGGCCAGGGAAGAGATTTATACTGCATTCAACACCATCTACATTATGCTGTGCGATTTCGGACACCTTGACGTTGTCTCTGCATCAGGCCAGGGAAGAGATCTATACTGCATTCAACACCATCTACGTTACGCTGTGCGATTTCAGACGCCTTGACATTGTCTCTGCATCAGACACGGCACTACTCGTTGACGGGGCAGTCATAATCTCAGTGAGTTTCTTTCACGACGGCTTATTTGTAACCTTCTCATCAGCTTTCGCTCCACAGGAGCACTGTTTCAAGCTCTCTTTGGTCGCAATCGTTCCGTCGATTTCTATCTCAGGAGGCTCGCATGAAAATACAGGCTGCAGTGACCAAATACCCTGTGGTGCTGTTTATGAAGCGCAACCCAGAGCAGCCTATGTGCGGTTTTCACGAGGGGTTGTGAAGATCCTTAGCGCTTTCAACATTCCACCTGAAACGTTCAAGACATAATGTACTTGAGGATCTAGAGCTCAGCACCGGGTTTAAAGAATTCTTGTAGTCACAATAATTTAATTTGATCCATCTCCTTTTCACTCGAGTGACGTTAAAGAGAACCTTAAGAGTGCCTGTAGAAGCTTAAAAAAACTGAATCTCGAACGATGGTAAATACATGCGATGAACTAGTTGTATGAAAAATTCACGGGAACTCGACATTTGTGTACTTCGCCCTTGTAAATGGCAGTACGAAGAAGAACTTCACCAACAGCAAGTGAAGTAACAGCATATACCACATCGGTAAAGCCTGTGATGCTTTCTGTGACTTCATCCCTAGATACAAGTCATCGGTAAGTGTGTAACGAGGGGCAGAACTGAATTACCAATAGTTAAAAACACCAATATATCGCCCACGGGTGACACAATAATATGGTCCGGATGCTGCAGCCACAGCAGGCATATTGTAAAGGATACCGCAGTAGAAGTAGACGAAGCAATCATCAGCCATTGCATCGATAATATCTCTATATAAGGCTTCGTCGCGATCTACCCACTTGACATTGGCGTCTACCTCTCCAGCAAAGTACGGTGTGAGGGTGAGTGCCAATGCTTCGGGTAGCCGAAACAGTGCGCCAGTAAGACTTGTGAGGGGTGGATTAGGTGACGATGAGGGTGTTGGACCTAGTGTAACCGGTGCAGTGTGCAGGGCAGAGAGCGCGGGGCTACCTAGTGGCAGATCAGTGTCCACAGAGGTGTGTTAGGAGAGCTACTCACCAAGCGTGACTGGTGCATTGCGCACGTCATGGACTGCAGGACCACTTGGTGGGGATCAGTTTCAGTAGAGGTGTTGAGAGAACTACTCACAAAGTACAATGGGCGCAGCATGCACAAAAAAGAGCGCAAGACCACCTGTTGGGCAATCATTTTCTGCAGAGGTGTTAAGAGAGCTACTTACAATGCACATGAGGCTCAGACCCGGCGACTCCTGGGCCAACCAGTGTCTGACCACCTTCAACACTTCGACCTGCTGAAAAAACCAGGGCTTCACTCGAGGGGGAGTTTGGAGGAGAGGCACTTGAGGGTGTGCAGAACTTGCGAGGGCAGTGTCCAGGATAAGGCAGTGGAGAACTCGAGTCTGTAGACGAGTCAGATTCAGACATCAGGAGTGAATTTGGTGGGAAGACATAAGTGAGGAGGATGGTAAGCAGCAGGCTTATTTATACGGCTGCAGCACATCAAGCGCTTGAGCATGTAATGCATTATAATTACAATTAAATGATGCATCACTCAGATGATGCATTAAATTTTACAAGTAATGCATTAATTGATTACTAATACTTTCACCCAGCAATTGCGCCTCAGGCCTCAGGCCTTCAGGCTGAACGGTACTACTACCGTGTGATTGAATCGAATCTTAGTGGGTATGTGTCCTTGTAATGATGCAGAAGCCACGCACACCGTCCATCCCCTGGGCCGACAAACAGTTTCATTCAACAATGTCAAGCGCCGGAAGCGTGCCAAGCCTCTTAATGTATACACCCTGCCCAACCCAGATGCTCCTAGTATTCACCAAACATACACCTTTATATCACGCAGTCAAGGCTTCCAGGCACACAGCTCTCGTGTTACCAGCTCTCAGACCGAACCCCACGCTGAAACCGAAGCTAGTGCAACAACGATCGATGAAGCTTTCGACGAGCAAATTGATTATGACATATGTAACGTCCACGACACGGAGCATATGGAGGTCAACAGTAGAACTAAACGGAAACGCACAGCTGGTGTAGGTCTCTTTTTGCACCTACTAGTGATAAACCCTTCTCACTTGTCCTTCAGGACCACCCGCTTTTATTATGGATGAATGATCGGGATATGTTCTTACTCGAGCTTCTTCGGCATGAGGGTAGAGGTAATCACACTGGTGCCACCATCTGCTGGAACTGCCATCTTGACGTCCCTCAATTTCGGTGTACCGATTGCTTGGGTACAGAGTTGTATTGTAAGGGTTGCATTGTCACCTTACACACTCGGAACCCAGTGCATCGCATTCAGGTGAGTTGATTCATACAATATTGGGACTGCACGCTCATATTTAATGTTGGGTTAGGAGTGGTCAAACTCTTGTTTTACAGCAGTATCGCTAAAGGACCTAGGCCTACGTGTGCAACTTGGACACTTTGCTGGAGATTCGTGTTTGTTACCTGAGCGAGCTTTCAATGATGATTTCACCCTCATCGACACTAACGGTATTCACACCATCGGACTGGACTTTTGTGGTTGCAAAACTGCTCAAACACGCACAAAGCAACTACTACGTGCCGCCTGGTTTCCAGCTACAACCGTCGATCCACGCACTGCAGCAACCTTCCGCATCCTCGAGCAATATCACCTTCTGTCGTTTGAGTCAAAGGCTTCTGGATATGAGTTTTATCAGTCGATTGCGCATCTGACTGACAATACTGGGCTTCGAGTTCAAAAGGTGAGTTATTTGATTTTCTGCCTTATTGTATGCGTCTCATTACCTATGGCATCAGGACCGTTATGAGCCATTCTTACGGATGGTCCGTGAATGGCGTCATCTCAAGATGCTCAAGCGAGCAGGCCGAGGACACGATCCAGCTGGTGTGGCGAATACGCAAAGCGGCGAATGCGCTGTGTTATGTCCTGCTTGCCCTCAGCCCCTCAAAAACCTTCCAGACAACTGGAAAGATGTTCAGGATGACAAGAGGTGTGTATTATGCTCATACGTAGATTACTTATTCATGCTTCACAATCCCTTAGGTGGCTATATGCTCTCTTCGTAGCTATTGACACAAACTTCCGTCTCAAAAGACGTATGGTGTCTAAAGATTCTACAGACCCTGGGCTCAGTCACGGATGGGCATACTTCGTAGATGAGACGGCATACAAGGCATACTTGCAAGATCATGCTGGTACGCCACAGGAGGTAAGTCATTCAATGACTCGTTGTGATTCACTCTGACCGCTTTAGCAGAAAAGTACCTGCGCATCACATAACGCAGTCAATATGGCCGATACGAAAGTGTCTCAGGGACTTGCCGCAACCGGAGTGGGGACAATAGATTGCGCACGCCATAATATGAAGTTGCCCAACGGTGTTGGAGACTTGCAGAAGGGCGAAAGGTGAGTTATATCAATTGGCAAGCAACCATCTGTACTGACTGCACATAGATACAGTAACATGGATTATCTGTTTCTGTCAACCCTCCGTGGACGCTGTGTCGAGACGCTCAACGTATCATACGATATCGCCTGCCAGTGGCACAAAAACCTTTGGGAACGTATGTCCACGATGCCTCCAAGCCTCCATCTGGACCCTCTTACTAAACTCATCAGGTTTTTACTATTGAATTACCGGTTTCTCGTGCCTTTGCTCACTTATTAATTGCCAGATTTTTTGTACCCAAATTTTATCTACCAGCGCACATTTCAAAATGCCAAACTACGTATTCGTTCAATCTCTCGAAGAATGTTGGACGAACGGATGGTGAAGCCCCCGAACGCGGTTGGTCAAATATCAACCCGGTGTAGGACACGAGCTGGCGCTGGGCTCGTATCGAGCTATTTCACAGTACACGCCAAATACCTGTCACATGCTAATCACTTCCCGATGTTATCCGACGCTAACCCGCCAAACCGACGTTTAGGCCGCATCGGACCCGATGTTTTCCCGCGCACTTGTCCTATCCGTGTCCCGTCCTGTCTTGCTAGCCCCACTAGGTGTGTAGTTCATTATTTCGCACATTACTCACGTCGTAGCCAGCGCTATTACATGTTTTCCCATAGTCCGCAGCGCCTCATGTTTATTTACATGTACTTCGGATCCGAAATACTCCGCCGCTACTTTCGCCTATGGGTTCCGCATTTCTACGTACTTACATATATATTGGACTGACCTCGAGCATTATTCATTTATCCAAGTAGAGGGGAGCAGTTCCCCGACGCTTAGTGGTCAAACCCGATATTTCGTAGTTCTTAGTTGATATTGCGAATATCATCGCTCTTTCATTATCCATATCAGTCATTGTTATTATCGCGCACACCGCTCGCTCTTCCGACGCTCGCTATAGCGTTACTATTAGTTTCCAACATCCCGAACCCGAACCCGATATCCCGAAACCCCGAAAACATCGGACCCGACGCTTTTGCGTCGGACATCGTAATTATACCTTTGGACATTGTTTCCCGCGCTCGGACTATTGACCCCACATCACTCACTTACCCCCAAGACTATTCCCAGACCGCAGACCCCTGGGTCGAACGCACTTGTCAGGCAAGTATAGCAGAATAGGCAGTGCAAAGACCACAACACAAATATATCAGTTAGGAGCAATCTTTGTTTTGTTCCTCTCAGTATTGTTGTTTCTACAACTGGAGCCCACCGCGAGGGGTCCATCTGGTTTAGTTTTGATTAAGTGATTTTGATTTTAGGATTTCCCGACGAACCCGTACTTCGGACCCGACGGCCCGACGATATTTCCGACGTACCCGCAGTTTTTCCCATCATGCCCGACAGATTTGGCATGCCATTCAGGACAGAACAATCAGCCCCAAGATTCACCGGCGATGTTTACGGAGTTTTCGCATTTTTGCAATCTGTAGACCAACTCGGACAAAAGTGCAATTTATCGGACACTGAGCTCATCAAGTATACTCTCAGATATATCCAATGCGACCACAAAGAACTATGGGCAGGATGCCCTGAGGCCCGAGGTACATCTTGGTTAGATTTTACTAACGAAATTCTGTCGTCCTACCCAGAAGGAGGCATACACGAGTATACCCGACCCGATCCGCAGCCCGAAATACCCGAACCCGAGGAATCCGATGATTATGAATGGTGGACACTTCACCTAAGTGACGAATACACACCCGCACAAGAACGCCTAACTTCAGAAATAGAAATCTCCGCACCCGAAGACCCTATCACAACATCCGACGCCCCAGAGGGAGTCCGAAGTTCCGAAATTTCGGACTTGACCTTCGGACAAGTTCAGTTACCATCGGAACAATTGGATGTATTCGTAGAAGTCATTGATGCAGACGTACTAACATCAGAAGTCTTAGATTCAGAGCTAACGTCGCTAGAAGACAACGTACCCGAGACACCTGAAACATCGGCCGACGAATTCCCAGAAATATGGGATATTTGTACCAGGAGTTTAGATCACGAACTCGTTTTACCTTCTCCAGATCGCACTGATCATTTCGTTCACGCAGTAGCCGTCGCTTTAATTCTCACCGGTTATGTCACTAGGTCTAGGTATCATTTTGAATTGTCACACCCGAAAATCCGCACGTCAAAGCCCGAAACACCCGAAACACATTTCCCCATCATCCCGAAGATATGCCCCGTTTACCCGCAGTTTCCCTGCATAGTTTCGCCCTATCGTCACCCGTCGCATCGGATCCGAAATATCCGATTCCATCATCCGGTCTACCGACGCTTTCAATACCCTCGTCCATCGCACTCCCAGATCGCGTTTTACCAGTATGAAAGCCAACGACGTCTTTACCTTAGGAAAAAGCTATAGTTCGAAACCCCGAAATTTCGGGTAACGCGATACCCGAAAACGCGCACATATGTTCATAGCTTGCACGTTTCACCCCGGGATTAGGCCGGTGTTTCATATCTCAATAACCCGAAAAACCACTATCCTCATACATCCGCACCTACAGAAGAAACTAATAGTACACAGACATTCGAATCCGAACGCGCGTTAATAACCCCTATTTATATAGCATTTCATCTTCGAACTGCGCATCGCGCGCGCACCCTTATATATACGTAGAAAAACCCGAAAACCCGAAAAACCCGAAGAAAGACAGTCAAAAGTTGCACGAAGAAGTCAAGTCAGATGGTAATCTGCGTCCATAGTATCATCTTGACTACGTTATCCGAAAATTCATCTGGCACTTATGATTATTTTTTTCATTGTTTTTTATTAGACACCCTAGTAGGGGATGACCTAGCATCAAGACACGAGACACGGACACAAGGGACACAGGACATACATGGAAACTTCGGACATCGCATCGGACCCGACGCTTTGACATTTCGGACATTAGAAGAATTCATTGGACATCACGCTTTGACATTCGGAAAACACGCGGAATACATTGTACAGCTAGGAGAAACGCTAATTGGTAGTACAGAAGCAGAAAGAAATTGAAAGAGACAGTATTCAGAAACGCGCCTTTTTGGTGACATGCGCCCGCATCATGTCCAACTCATTCGCAACTTCGGACATCAGCCCCTGGATAGTGCGAAACTTCGCATAGACACCCCGAAGCTTACCCGCCAAAATCAGGTCCTCTCCGCTCAAACCCGAATCCGCAAGTGCGAAATCCTCTTCCTCTACATCCGCCAACTTCCTTTTCCTACCCTGAATCAGCACCACCGGCTTTGTCTTCGAAATACGCGAGGCGGATGCCATATCTTCACCATCGGAAATCGTAATAGGAGGTTCGGATCCGAGCGAAGACCCGACCCGAACCTTGGAAGCCGCCATCGGCCGACGCGCAGACGCTTTGCCCTTGGCGCGCGCTAAATACAGGAGTCAAAACGCCGAAAAATGCGAAAAAGAGGAAAACTCACCAATACGAGAATAGGAACATGCCTGTTTAGAGTTCCGGCACTCTGTACACCCGCGTTTTTCGGGTCCGAAGCATTCGGTGTCACGCTTAGCGCAGCGGTCGCAGGGAGGGTCGTGAAGGATCATTCCATCATCAGAATCATCATCCTTGCGAAATATCTAGCGTAAGACAAACGCAAAAATTTCGGACTTACCTTCGGCGCAGGATGCTTTGCCTTGCGCACCCGAGTCGGCCGCTTAATCGGAACTTCGGATTCGCCGTCCGCATCTTCTTCTTCATCGCCCTCACCTTCCATCGAGACATCCGCAGGTGCGCCTTGAGGTTCGGAAATTTCGGCCTGACGCGCGGCCATTTCCTTGAGCGCATGCAGCTGTTCCACGAAGCGATCATGAATCCCCACCAATTCCTTACCCCTCGCAACATCCTCCGCAGTCAACGCAAGTGCGACACCCTTATCCTTTCCGGCCGCTATAAAGATTCCGATATCGGACTTTCGGATATTAGCACGGAAAACCCGAAAATCACAGCAAATGCGACGCACCGAAATCTTGTTCCACCTCCTGCACCATTCTTCCTTTTCCACCATGAGATCCGGCCTATCATCTGGTACGCACTTCGATTCGGCCTCCATCTTTTGCCGAAGTTCCGAAAATCCGCGCTGGAGAGACTCAGCCTCAGGAGATAAGACTTGTGCAGTGTCAAAGGGGAACGCCATAGTGAGATTAGATGAAGGGGAAAAGAATGAAAGAAGAGAAGCGCAGTTGTCAAGGGCTCGGGTTTATATGCAGAAATCGCGAGAAAGTCTCGGCCGCATTTCCCGCTGGTCACGTGACTTAGAAACCCGCAAATTTGGTGAAGACTTCCCGCATACCGCTGACTGGGGACAGTCAGTATTCAAAGTTCGTAGGAGATGTAGGACACGAGCTGGCGCTGGGCTCGTATCGAGCTATTTCACAGTACACGCCAAATACCTGTCACATGCTAATCACTTCCCGATGTTATCCGACGCTAACCCGCCAAACCGACGTTTAGGCCGCATCGGACCCGATGTTTTCCCGCGCACTTGTCCTATCCGTGTCCCGTCCTGTCTTGCTAGCCCCACTAGGTGTGTAGTTCATTATTTCGCACATTACTCACGTCGTAGCCAGCGCTATTACATGTTTTCCCATAGTCCGCAGCGCCTCATGTTTATTTACATGTACTTCGGATCCGAAATACTCCGCCGCTACTTTCGCCTATGGGTTTCGCATTTCTACGTACTTACATATATATTGGACTGACCTCGAGCATTATTCATTTATCCAAGTAGAGGGGAGCAGTTCCCCGACGCTTAGTGGTCAAACCCGATATTTCGTAGTTCTTAGTTGATATTGCGAATATCATCGCTCTTTCATTATCCATATCAGTCATTGTTATTATCGCGCACACCGCTCGCTCTTCCGACGCTCGCTATAGCGTTACTATTAGTTTCCAACATCCCGAACCCGAACCCGATATCCCGAAACCCCGAAAACATCGGACCCGACGCTTTTGCGTCGGACATCGTAATTATACCTTTGGACATTGTTTCCCGCGCTCGGACTATTGACCCCACATCACTCACTTACCCCCAAGACTATTCCCAGACCGCAGACCCCTGGGTCGAACGCACTTGTCAGGCAAGTATAGCAGAATAGGCAGTGCAAAGACCACAACACAAATATATCAGTTAGGAGCAATCTTTGTTTTGTTCCTCTCAGTATTGTTGTTTCTACACCGGTTGCCTCAAGCACTAAGGAAATGGGGCCAGGGTCTCGACGGGATACTCTCGACGATCACTTCGGTGATTGGAACTGGAAGAAGTCGGTCGGTCTCGGTACGTATTCTCTCTAGCACTACAGCATTGGTATGTTCTCACTTCATGCTACTGTGTCAGGTGCTACTCTTCTTCGCAAGATGAATGAGGCTAACGAGGAACATCAAGCTCACGCAAGCGCTTTTGAAGAGCTCAACGAAGCCTTGGCGCCAGAAACCACTGCAGGATGGAGAGCGTGCGTTGAGCATTGGGAAGAAAATCCCAATGATGCATCTGTGCCCAATCCTTTTGAAACGAAGGTTTCGAGTAAGTCAATCATCCGCAAACATTGCGCAATATCTAATATTTCAACAGCAATCACGCAAGCTGCAGTTAGACTCAAACTTGTTGAACAAGAATCACGTCAACTTCGGGAAGGTAACAACATATCGCTACATCCAGACATATCGCCCAGTGTGTTTATCGCAACGGGAATTGACCTCGAGAGTGAACAGTGAGTAGCACTACCATTTTTTTAATTGATATCACTAAATAGCCTTAGGCGTCGTTTCAAATCGGATTTCGCTCTCCGAGGAGCACACCAAACAGATAGACAGAAGACCGTTCTCGTGCGGCAGCAGAATGCCCTCCAGCGCAAGGTGGATGCATGGAAGCAAGTGCAACTCCTCTACACTCCAACGGCGCAGTTGTTAGCATCCCGAATTGAATCCATCGGCATTCTGCCACTGGCAGAAGACATCAAGCTCTTCTTACCATCATCGTTGACGGCTGACTCCGTATCCTGCAGCCCCCACCTTCACACAATCGAATGGGAGCTACGAATCGCACAGGCAGGGGATGCGCTGGACGATATTAGACAGAGTCTTCGACTACGCGACTACATGTACACCTTCAAGCGGAATTGGATTCGTGGACAGAGTGCAAATACCCGGGCGCAAAACGCACTTGGCCGAGTAGAGGCAAGGGCCGCAGCTTCGGCTGAGAAATATCGCGCTGCCCATGCCGCATTATCTTCCCTTGCACCTGTTCTAAACAAGGTAGGTTGGGATGTTAAATTTCGCTCGCTGAACAACAGAGACGATGTCCGTGGGATGATGGTGCCTAGAAAGGGGGAGAGTGAGGGAAGACGGCAGCTCTCGTGGATTTGGTTGGTGGAAGGAGTCGGAGATGACGAAGATGAAGTAGTCCAGGATGGTATGTTTTTCGCCCATATGCTACAACATCCCGCTCACCAGATTAACTGTGATAGGTCTTCGGGTTGAGTGGTGCAAAGCTCGCGCCAGGATGATGCGCTGGAAGGAAGAGATTGAGTTGCTGGAAGAAGAAATGCATCGCGTTCTCCGATTTCTTCAATGGCATGCGCTCTGGTGGGACAATGTAGCTCATTTGCGTGCTCTCGCGGGGGCTGAAAAGGAAGGGGTAGTTGCCTATGCCACTCGCCAGGCTCATCTACGTCGTGACCTCAGTGCCAAGTTCGAGACTTCATGGGCCCGATATCTTACTGCTCCTCCTTCACTCTGTACTACTGTCATAGTTTAACCCGAATTGTAGCCCGCGCGCAAATTGTCACATGATATATGTTTGAGTATTATGACATCACTCAAGGAGAATGTGCTTATGCTAGCAATGTCTGAACCTTAGTTACATGATGATGTGATGCATTTGTCAGTGAGCCAGGTATCTTGTAGTTACACTGTATTAATGCATTTACTGGCGCCTGGTAGTTACACTCGTTAATGCACAAACAGTTTCTTGTAACTAGACTATATAATGCATTAACTTGTCAGGATGTTGTGTCATATCGTAACAGATCTGTCTTTTCCCGCGTTTTTGTATGACAAGTACACGGCCGATTCCAACAATTTGGAGGAAGGTCTTTTCAAGGGAAAAATTCTATTGCAGGTTTGTAGTGTCCGAGTTGGTCAGGAATGATCTCACTGTCGTTCTCAGGGCTACAAAGCAGTGTTCACGTCTCCCTCTTCCGCAAAAGACATCGAGGGTGACAGTGACGGTGCAGATGTCATCCAGAACAACAGACGCGCGAAGAATTCATTTTCTGGGATCAAGGTAAAAAAACATGTAGCGCAAATTATCAAAATGGAGAAAGTTACTCCTCGTTCGATTGCTTACATCGCCTGTCAAGTAAGCCATCATTGCAGTGTTTATTGTGATTGATTAAATATATGATTTGGTAGGTCAGATTTGCACTTTCGTCTGTTACCTCGTGGCGTTCCGTCGACGGCGACTTTGACTACATTCAATTCTGGCGGTCCATCGTAGATTTCTTTGAAAAGCCTCCCGGTCGAGAAGCGCAACGCAGGGTCAACAAACTTTTGGAGTGGTGGACTAGGTACGGTATTTATACTTCAACGAGTCTCAACTGACGTCAAGTCATTCAGGAAAGTTTTTGGCAGGAGCCGCCGCAAGGATCTTAGCAACACAGCAAAAGCAAATATGTCTGTGAATGCTCTTGCGAGGCAAAGAGCACAACTCGATGATGCCGCTTTCGATTCAAACTAGGGACTATCGTATATATTTTATGATGCAATAATAATACTTGCCTGGTACAACATATTGAGAGACTGAGGATCATTGTCATTGTGTAGCAGAATCAGTGACTATTAGCTGCCTTTATTCACAATCTCCGGAGGTATAAAGCTATGATTCCTACATAGATGCGCCTATTTGTTTTCAATAGGCTGGAACGAGGACATACAGTGTGATCATGGTGATTGCTGAATTTTCGTGTCTTCATAACAATCACTGCGTGGAAGATATGGACTTGCAACATGAAAAAAGTTGAAAGACACATCAAATTCAAGGCCCGTAGACAATACTCGAGGTAGTAGAACATCAATAGAAGAGAGCCACACGTAAATCGAATAGCCTTGTGATTATAAGAGCTATATATAAGATACATAAATTTTACCGACGACAACGGTATGGTTAGATTCGGAAGCTTGATTTTCGAGGTCCTAGATGTGCACGAAAATGGTCCCTCTGCAGGGCGCAAAGACGCACCATTATATCGATGTATTGCACAGTATAAAAAAGGGCTGTCGAATGGTAAGCATTGTGCCAAGGTGAGGCATGAACCTGTACCGTCGAATTCTGAGATCAAGTACTATAGTATACCGCAGCCAGTCATTATCAACCCCACGGTGAAAAGTCCTTGTTGTCTGCTTAGTGAACAAGAGTCGGGTTGTGCGCGATGGTACTGCCAGCCATTATTTGCCCAATGATGTATATTGATTGTTGTCCGCTTAGTAAACACATTCTGGGTTGTGTGCAATAGTACAGCATATTCACACACATTGCGCAATGGAAAAGCTTTTGATACTCATTCCCAACTAATGCATAGCGGACATTCATTTGACATTTCAAGCAGATGGCATAACTTGTCAAAGCAGCACCGAAAATTGCTATCGCTCGCTCGTCGAGCGCACCCGCGCTGTCGGGACGATTCAAATGTTCAGTCTTCCATGGATGATTGATACGCAACCGAGAGACATCGATGATTCGACACATAACCGAAGAAAATCAGCATAGTTGTTTTTTTTTTCATTCGCTCACTCGTCGAGCGCACCCGCGCTGTCGGGACGATTCAAATGTTCAGTCCTCCATGGATGATTGATACGCAACCGAGAGACATCGATGATTCAACACGTAACCGAAGAAAATCAGCATAGTTGTTTTTTCTTTCATTCGCTCACTCGTCGAGCGCACCCACGCTGTTGTGACGATTCAAATGTTCAGTCCTCCATGGATGATTGATATGCAACCGAGAGACATCGATGATTCGAGACGTAACCGAAGAAAATCAGCATAGTTGTTTTTTCTTTCATTTGTCAGGCTTTTGTAACGTTTCTATTGTGGTTTAGAGAATTTATTGGAAACATGAATCAGTGCCTAGTGATAATAGTGTCGATGGATCGAGCACTTGGGACCCCCAGGTCCCGAATAGACACGTACGGAATTGCTGTTGTAGCGCGCGAACACGTGCGATTGTCCTGAACCATGACGTGATATACATTATGCCCATCGAATAGTAAGTGATATAATGAGGTGGTCGATGACCCGCTGCTATCAAGTCCCGAGCTAAGGGACCGCATCATAACGAGGTGTGGATCATTAGCTGTTACTACACCTTCCCTTCAAGTTTGAATTTAAATGAGGTTGCTACCTTTTCCCAATCACACGCTTTTGTAGGAAAATCAGACTATCTCCTTTCCTGTATCAATCCAAATATAACAATATGATTCTCGATAGCAGAATTATGCTAGTTCTGGTGATTATGGACTATATATCATCATATATACCCATTTGATTTCTTCACCAGTCCACTGATGACTTTAACCATATCCTACAGTTCATCCATCGCCTTCGGAGTATGATTACGAGAAAGAAGAGCGGCTGGAGCCCAAATACCAAAAGCAAACAGGGATATTCGAGCACAGAGAACAGTGGAGCTCAGGTCTCAGCGCACGCGTATGGGTGGAGCGCGAATTGCTTCCGCGTAGTGCTGCCGTGGTCCGGTCCTGAACCTTGGTTCGAACCTGACCAATGGTCAGGTCCGTCCATGGTTCGGTCCATGGTTCCATATTTTGGATGGACCGAACCGAAATGAGGTTCGTGGTCCACTATTTTCTGAACGGTTCTCACATAGGTTCGGACGTTCCCGAACCGTTCTGAACCCCGAACCGAATTGTCCTCGCGATATCGGCGAGGCACACCCATGCTCACTTCGACTTCGACTTCGACTTCTCCCCCCATGGTCATGTCGACTTCGGGGATCCTCAAGATTCGCATTGTCTTTGAATCGGACGCTCGCATCCCGCACCCCCGGTTGTCAGAAGATGCTCAAGGTATGTGAACTGCCAGTCAATAATCTCAATATATTGATTGGTATATCACATTGGTATAGATCTACTTTTTGCTTGCCCCCGGTTTCCAGGAGACGCTCGAGGTATGTCAACTGTCAATAAGCTCAATATACTGATTGATATATCATTGATATAGATTTACTGTTTGCTTGTTTCACACATAAAGGGAGCAAGCCCCACCAGGTGAGTCGTATCATTTCCTCTCGACATGTCCGAATCTGACGGATGTGCTCTCAATGCTGACGGCTCCCTCAAGGACGCCAAAGATATTGTATTTTACAATGACCCTGATGATATTATCCCACTTGGCACTCCGTCCTCTGCCCAGCCAACACTATCTACCACTCCCACAGGCTCAGACGCCTTCTCAGTGCTGCTGAAGGCTGGGCGCAAACCAGCACCGGTTACTGCAGGTGCTCGTCGCTCCATTCGGACATTCAAGCCTTCTGCTCGCCTCTGCGATGCCGACAACGCTTGCTCTCACCCATCATCCTCAAACAGCTCAACAGCCCGCAAACGTGCATTATCTAGTGCGACCGAGCGGCTAGTCAGCAAAAAGGTCGCATTGCAGCTCTCAGCCCCGTTATCTGATGATGACTAGTGATGTTCCAGCCCGGCTTGGGCTCAAAGCCCCGGCTTAGGCTCGGCCTGGGGGGGGCTTAGGCTCACCAGATTTCAAGCCTGAGCCGTGAGCCCAAGCCGGCCCAAAGCCGGGGCTTAAGCCCATGCAAGCTGCGGCCCACATGTTGAATCAATGTCCGAGCTCCACCATGCCGTTCCCAACACCACGAACACCACGCGCAAACGCCCAGCACACGTCAGCAACTGCTGACGTGGCTCAGACGAATACGGACGATGGACGAGAGCAGGATAAGGGAAGACAAGGAGGAGAACGAGAACGAGAGAGAGGACTCAGAGGAGATGGACAATCGGTAGCACTCGAGTGCTTCGATTCTGCACGCCCGGAAGAGTACATTTTACTGCAAGCATGGATCAGTACTTGGCCAATTCGCTTGAAATACAATTTGCGTACACTCGCACATTCCTCCCGTATCGGTTGACCTCGAGTGGTGTAATGGGAATAAGAGTGATATCAAACGTCTGGTCTGGCGTGGTGATATCCAGTTCAGAGATGCCGGGAGTTGGCACCTGAAGATTCTGGATATCCGTTTGAAGCTGATGCACGAAGCGCAGAACAATCAGCCTCAGAACGCGAACCGTAATTGATACTCACAAGCACGACATCACAGTCACCACCTTCAACGCGAGATCGAATGCGCTACACGCTTCCCAGACCGCCCCAGTGCATTTCTCGTTGTAATAGATGTTGCCGGCAGCGTTGCGTAGCTTGTTTGTGGTGTTCAGGAGGGCCTTGCGCTCTGTGGCACAGCTGGAAAAGAAGTTCTCAGTCGACGCATATCGCAGAGACGTTGCAACTTACATAGTAGAGCCTGTCAGTGCATAAGGCGAGGTGTTGTTGATGAGTTCCAGAGTCTGCTCATAATTCGCGTCGTCGTACACATAAACCTGGAAAGTTGTTAGTACATCTGGCCACATTTGCGAACGAAAAACCATTACAGTGATGACAGGACCAAAGATTTCTTCTTTCATCATGATGTACCAAAGCCGCGGCTTGGGCCGCCGGCTTAGGCTTTTCTCAATCCAAGCCCAGGCCTAAGCCCTGCTCAGGCCGTGACTTAGGCCTGGGCTGGGCCCGGCCTATTTGGGCCCGGCTTGGGCCGGCCCAGGGCTTCAAGCCGGGCCTTGCACATCACTAATGATGACGACTTTCACGCGGCTGGTGCCGATACGGATACTGACACTGATCCTGGCACTGGCCACACTGGCCACTCTGAGTCAGTCGAAGATGAGGACGCACCCGAAGATGACGATGCGCCGACAGCTGAAGACGAACCTGACGACGAACCTGACGATGAACCTCAAGACTCAAACATCCGAGCCACTCTGTCAAAGAGTGAGCGCACTGCTGATGTTCGCACTGTCTTCACTCGCAATGACAAGGAATGGGTATGCGACGCAATGCACTCGCGACTTCCACGTTCACTGCATTACAATTGCTGAAGGGAGCATATAGGAATGGGCACCTTTCTGCAGCAGTAGAGGCTGAGGGCCATGCAGCTTCATTGGACAAGTAGCTACACTGTCTATGTTTTTTGTCACTAGCTGTAAAAATTTTTGTGTTCGGTTCGCGTTCAGACCGAAAAAAAACCGAACCTGACCGTTTTGAACCGTTCGCAAAGGTCCAGTCCAAGGTTCGGCAAGTCTACTAGAACCGGACCTAGGTTCGGTTCTTGGTTCTTGCTCAACCCTCAATGAACCGGACCAAACCGGACCGCGGCAGCACTACTTCCGCGGGGTCAAAGGTTCCGTCCATGTATTGGATATGTTAGATGCAGGAGATAAAAGCTGGTCGTCATCCTAAAGTGTTTCTTCATCGTCAGAGATATCATCCGAGATCCCCTTTAGAGGAGAGCCCAAATACCAAAAGCAAAACAGGGATCGTCGAGCACAGAGAACAGTGGAGCTCATCGGCGCACGCATATGGGTGGAACACGAATTGCTTCCGCGGGGTCAAAGGTTCCGTCCATATATTGGGTATGTTAGATGCAGGAGATAAAAGCTGGCCGTCATCCTAAAGTGTTTCTTCATCGCCAGAGATATCATTCGAGATCACCCTCAGAAGATTCCATATCACCTCGCACAGAAAATGCGTTTCTCCCTCCTCGCCGTTGTTGCTGCTTCGACAGCATCTATGTTTGTCAGTGCATGTTTCACCCTGGGTCAATTTTGCGTTAGAGATTCCGATTGTTGCAGTGACTGGTGTGATTATAACGTGAGTACGAGCAGTTCGCTGTGCAACCAGTATTCAACAATATCACCTGCGCACCTTAGGGAATTACGAACTGCCAGAATCCAATAGCATCAGTTGAAAATTGAACCGGCAGCCCGAGCGGCACGTCGCCAGTGAGTCATGCTTCTGCTTTCACTTTGGCATCATGGATGATGACGGTGTAATATCTAGTTCGGAGCCAATCCGTACAGTTCATTTCAGAGAAATTTTCGTACTGCTCGAGCAATCATGATGTAGATATTTGAATTCATCTGAAAATGATATGCTGTGCCTATTCTTGCTTGTGCTCCACTAAGCTTGGGCTTGAGAGGCTGTCGAAACAAGAAATCATTGCTATTGATGATTAATATTGGGGGGACGTACAAAGACGGAACGTACTACTGCACAGCTTGAGTCTGTTCGTCCAAAGTACTTTTTTGACGTCATCTAGAATATAATGCAAAATTAGTATTATAATCTGATCACTATGAGCGCGGCGCGACGCGTCCTTCTATTGCAAATCAATGAACTAACAATATTAATCACTCATACACGCTATATTACTTGCAGCAACCTTTTTAGGCAACGTACGCAATCTATTGATGGTTTGCCTCATAGACGGCGGGCTGGCCACCAGTCTACTGAGTTCTGTATCACGCAATAGTGATATTGATCGAAATACTGGAATATGGATCCCCGATGAAGCACATGTACTGCGGATGAACCAACTGTACAGTGGTACATCGCAAACTTCTGTGTGGACGGTCCGACTCCGGCAATGCCAGCGGATATCGCCGCCACGTCAAACTTAAGCTTCATCCCAAAGGCTCCGTCAAACTCATACTCACTCTGAGTCATGTTGCATAGTACTGCCGCGTCAGTGTTGCTCAGTTACACGTCACGACTGCTTCAGATTATTTGGGCACACTAGATGATCAAGTTAACGTTTACGTTGCTTTGATAATTTTGATTACTTGATAGCCATCGCCGACTACTTGGGTTTTTTCCAATTCATTCAACATTGTCCTTTAGGACATGATGAATCCTCGTCACTGAGTACACTTCGCTACACCGTTTACTCGATGCATCGTCATGCCGTTGGGTGGGATCTGTCTATCAACATGTTATCGCGGGCCTTACTTCCAAATAGAGTTGTAATATACGACACCACCCTGCCAGCAGTGGGCTACTAGCTCAGCTTCTCACTCGATGACCGGAAATGATAGGCTCTACCTAAACAACGACGCAAAACAGAATGCTGGCTAAGATGTCAAGTGTCATTTTTCGGGAGTATAAGAGCGAGTCATCTTCCTACCGTCCACTTCATCCCAAAGAGATTTTTCAAGCACCTCACTAGTTTATACCACTTCGCACAGATAATGCGTCTCTCTTTCCTCACCATTATTCAAGTTGTTGCGCTGGCAACGTCTATAACGTCCGTCAGTGCGTGCGGGGGGTGTCACGACATGAGCGATGGCCCTTGCATTAAGGACAGTGACTGCTGCGACACATTGACCTGTCGAAACGTTGTAAGTAGTAGTAGTTTGCTTCGCATCAAACTTTCACTTGATGTCTTACCTTTTGGGCCTGGTAGTCCTATTCCCGATATGCAATCTGCTTACATCCTGGCGACGAACCTCAGTGAGGAAACCGGTAAATTCGCACGCAGAAACACACTGGTGGGTCGTGTTTCCGCTCTCCCATGGTGCTGTTGTTGATTAAATAAGTAGTTCGCTCGTGATTGAGACATAGATAGAGACAAGGCACTCGAACTTGAAGTGTTGAACAGTACAGGGAGCGACCTCGCACAAGCAGCTCGACAACAGGTCTATGCTTCCATTTTTTCAACTGGACAAGCTGGAAAGCCGTCACAGCGATAGCAACACTGAATCAGACGAGCAGTAACATAGAAGAGCGTATGATTGGCAATGTGGGTAAGGTGATCTCCAGGTGGAGCTATGTATCTGTATCTGCAGATTCTGTATCGTGCACGCCGGTGTCCAATCCGCAATGTAGTTAGGACACAGGTGCTGCACCACAGGCTGCATCAGCAATGTGGCAAGCATCAGGCTTACACCAGCAAGTCAGTGAAGTAGGTGCACGTTTCTGTTTGTCCAACTCCACAAGTGGACAAGCGAATGAAATCTGTTCATCAACATGAGGGGTTTACGTTACCACGCTTACTTTCAGATAAAGTCGTGACAATGCAGAGTTCTGCTGGCAGTAGGCAGGAATCACCGCCACGTCGACATGCTCACATGCACACTCGTGAATAGGCTGGTATTGTTGTCAAGACAACACAAGATCTTGAAGCATCATTTTCGTGGGCACATTCTCTCTCGACTGAGCCTCGTGATGCAGATGTGACCTCCTTGTTGGTTCAGAGATTATCAGAGAATATCTCGCCTGACGATGTTGGTACCGAATTTGCGGATCTAGAAGAATCGAAGAAAACTGAAGAACGACGAAGTTGAGATGCTGGAAGGAAATACTTTTGATTTCGACGAGTTGGATCGGGTCGAACAAGAAATAATACCACAGGCTATTCTGGATGAGGTTGAGGTGGTTAATTACAACAGAACAGAAGGGACGATGCAATTACATATAGCCTCGAGTTTTGCCAGTTCTGCCGGTTGCAACAGGAAAAAACTGGCCCCAATAAGCTTCTCGCGAGATACATTAATACCTAAACCATCTTGCCGAAACACTAAAATAAGCGTTATGTTTCGCGAGTATAAAAACAAGTCATCATGATCTTCCTACACTTCACTCCAAAGAGATTTTTGGAGCCCCTCAACAGTTCATACCACCTCGCATAACAATGCGTTTCTCCCTCCTCACCGTTATTGTTGCGCTGACAGCATCTATAATGTCTGTCAGTGCGTGTGGAATTTTCGGCGACAGTTGTACCGAGGACATTGACTGCTGCCAACCACCGGTGAACGCGTATTACTGCCTTAATGGTGTAAGTAGGAGCAGTTTGCTTTGCATCACTTCACTTGATGACTCATCCTTTGGCTCGTGATATCAGATATGCTATACTCCCGGCTGAGGAGGCCGGTAAATTTGCACGTAACAACATACTAGTGGGTTGTGTTTCTATTTTCCTATTGGTGCTGTTTTTGATAGAATAATATGCAGTTCGCTGCTGATTGAGAAATAAATGGAGGCAATGCCGCAAAGTGAATGAAGTATTACGCACTTGTTTGTTTTGGTGTAAACAGGACTTGGACTTTGAATCCGAAGTGGTTTGACCACATGGTACATCATCTCCGATCCGGCCACGGATATGAAAAGCTAGAATAAGGACAACTGAGGCTTACAAAACCGTCTTGTTGTAAGGATGGCAATCAATTCGGCCGGAATTATGATCGATACAAGTAAACAGTGTCTAGCAGATGCAACCGTGTAAGGCTGGTTGTAGTTCGGCGGGGAAAAGAGAACAAAACGGCTGGATAAAATAGAAGAGTTTTTCGAGAAGATTTTAGTAGAGGTGAGATGGCGAGTAAAAAGGTAAAGATGAGACGGAAGATGCGAGTATAAGAACGGAGCGTTTCGAGGGACTGAGACTTTCTGTTGAGCTAAGTTTGCTTGCAGTGGGGAATCAACGTACGATTCTGCTGTAGGTATGAGTATACATGGGAAGTATATATACGTTTTCGAGTACTCGACTAGACCGGAACGAGCATGGTGAGCATATGGCGAGGTGAAAATACTTCGGTGAAGCAAGGAGATTGCGAAGTTTGAGCACAAGGTGAGATAAGTAAAAAGGAGACGTATCCACGTAACTCAGATGCGAAGCGTAAAGCTTATTCGCATCAGTGAGTCACGTGGACTTTTGCGGACGAGCAGTTCTATGATTTCCTTTTTGAGGTGCGGGCCGTGCGTAGAGGATAGGCAATCCTTACAACCGTCAACCGAGGCTTTGTGCTGAAAATCTTAAGAATGGAATCAGACTCACTAGTTGGATTGAGGTATAATACCGCTTGCCTGCATCGGGAACACAAGCGCAAAGATCTGTACGGCACGTTACGGCTACCGTCGTATCGCCAGACCAGCCTGAGGGTAAACACTCAAGCTCGAAGTGCTAATTAGCGCAGACCGTGACCTCGCACAAGCACCTCGGCAGAGGTCTACGCTTCCGGTATTCCAACTGCACAAGTAAACGAGTGGAGCAGGTGCGTGCTTCTGTTTTTCCATTGACGCAAAGTCTATTCCATCGACATGAGAGTAGATGTGGGAGTACGTTACCGTGGGCCCTACTTTCGAACAAAGTCATGACATACGACGCCGTAATAGTTCTGCTGGCAGTACTAGGCAGGAGTCACTGGCTCAGCTTCTCGCGAGGTGACCGGAAGGGATAGGTTCTGCCTAAATCACTGGCATATCAATCAGAATTGTGTCCAAGATGCTAAGCATTATTTTTCACGAGTATAAAAGCAAGTTATCTTCCTACTGTCAAACTTCACTCCAAAGAGATTTTCGAGCACCTCAGCAGCTCATACAACCTCGCATAAACAATGCGTTTCCCCTTCTTCACCGTTATTATTGCGCTGACAACATCTATAATGTCTGTCAGTGCGTGTCAGGCAGAGGGAGATAGTTGCAATGAGAGCGGCGACTGCTGTGCGACAGCCAGTGGCAATACGATGACCTGCGTTCATGTTGTAAGTAGGAGTAGTTTGCTTTGCATCACTTTCACTTCATGACTCACCCTTTGGGCCTCGTTATATCAGCGGGGTGGTACCAGTGTATGCATAGTGTAGGGAGGAGCAGAAAGGAATTGGCCTCATGGTAATGGGCAGCATGGCAGAAGTCGGCAAAATGTATTGTGAACGTTTTTGGCTCTTTTCGACCATGTTCAAGTTTTTTTGACCACTATATTGAGGCTATACCTTAAGTTCAGGACCTTCTGATGTCAAAAATCAATATTTCACCCTGATGTACTCCGAGTCTCTTGGATCGAGGCAATGCCGCAAAGTGAATCAAGTATTTGCGTATGTCACGTTGGTTTTGGTCTTGGGCTTGTAATCCGAAATAGAGTAGGTAGAGCGGTCGCTTCGTGGAGCTGCCGAGCCATGGGAGCGTGCTGCAGAGACGTCTCACCCGGGCCAGAGTACTACTGAGTAGGATTCGAAAAGGATTCACTAATAGTTCCGAACTAGCTGATTATTCAATCATGCCTTGCGTGGGATTCGTGCCATTCTCCGCGGCATATGCCATTGATACCTCCAGCTTCCCTGGCAGCTCCGCGCAGTCCTAGTAGTGTCGCCAATGATCAATCATAATCTGGTAGTCACTCCTGCTCATTTTGCCAGTGACTACAACTAACACTTTTACCTTTAGGATGAATACATTTTCGCTACCTCCTTGGACTCATTGGACCGTCCTTTTTTTTACACAAGTGACAAAGTTCATTTTTGCATGGCCCTGCCCTTGTGAATTGTGAGTTACTTTAGATCTTTATGCAAAACTGCCTGGCATTAATCAGGACTTTACTATGAAATTTTGCTGGCGGCTGGCAACAGCGAGCTATGCTGCCTTCGAGCGCACAAGTCAAATCGTTCAATTCCTCTCTCCACATCGGTTCCCAAGCAACTTTCACACACATCTTTAATAATAGACCCCTAACACAATAAACACCAGTCACAACAGCCGGTTATGATACAAGGGTCGCAGTTGAACACGCTCCTGCAGGTTCTACCGGATTTCTGACACGTGGTAACAATAACAATCCTGATCAGAATCGTTACTATAATGCAGGATAGTGTTCCCCCGATCCTCGGGGCTTTGTTCTAACAATTCTAAGAATGGAATCAGACACACTGATTGAATTGAGGTATAGTACCGCTTGCCGCATCAGGAGCATAAGCGCAAAGATATACACAATCTACACGGCACGTTACGACTACCTTCATATCGCTAGACCAGCCTGAGGGTAAGCACTCAAGCTCGAAGTGTTGAATGGCACAGGGAGCGACCTCGCACAAGCACCTCGACAATATGTCTGCGCTTCCATTCACAAGTAAATGAGTGAATGTGGTCTATCCGTTCGTCAACACGAGGGATTACGTCACCGTGGAGCCTACTTTCAAATCAAGTTGTGACATACAAAGTTCTGCTGGCAGTGGGCAGGGCCCACTAGCTCCGTTTCTCATGAGATTGGTTCTGCCTAAACCATTCCGTCAAATAGAATTCTGGTTAAGATAGGGATTATTTTTCGCGAGTATAAGAGCAGGTCATCTTCCTACCGTCCACTTTACTTTTTCAAGCACCTCAGCAGTTTATACGACCTCGCACAAACAATGCACTTCTCCTTCCTCGTCGCTATTGTTGCGCTGGCAACATCTATAATGTCCGTCAATGCATGTGCGCCAGAGCAAGCGCCTTGCGTACATGCCAGTGACTGCTGCGATAAATTGGATCAATGCATTCTAATCGTAAGTAGGAGTAATTTGCTTTGCGAAAAATTCTCACTGGATGACCCGTTGCACTTCGTAATATCAGCCAACTGGTGCTTGGATGTGCTATCATTAGGAGACCGTTAAATTCGCACGTAGTAGCACACTGGTGAGGTATGTTTCCGTTATACCGTTTTACCGTTGATACTCATGTTGATGGAATAATATGCAGTTCGCTGCTGATCGAGAAATAGATAGAGGCAATATCGCAAAGTGAATGAAGTATTTGCGCACCTGTTTATCCTGGTGTAAACAGGACCTGGGCTTGTAATTCGAAAGAGTTGAACCACATGGTACGCCATCTTCGATCCAGGCACAAACGTGAAAGGCTGGAACAAGCACAAGGCCGCGTTCAATAGTCACAAGATCATCTTGTTGTAAATCTGGCAATGAGTTCCACGTAAAATGATGATCGATACAAGTAGGCAGAGTCAATGCGTTTGAACGCACTTAGTTGTAGTTACTAGTTGCGACGTGAGATGGAGACTTTCTGAGGATAACGGACTTACTTGGAGCGAGGAAAATACTAGGTGTGATTTTGCTATCGAAGCCGAGAGTACAAGGCCAAACTGAGGATGCGTCAAGCATTCCATGATAAGCTGGTAACAAGTGAACGTTAGCCTGGCTCGTGGACGGCGCGGCCATGTACAACGATATCGTGTTTGCTATAAAAACGGAGGAACTGAGTCAATGTGTTGGTTCGTGCATACAAAGTTCTGCTGGCAGTGGGCAGGGTCCACTAGCCCCACTCAATTTATTTTTCTTTAGCGAGTGAGTGTAGATTGCCGTGGGGAACACAAAATAAAATGATATATTGAACTCCAGGTATGTTGTTCGGCGCTCGTCATTGCGGAGTTTCAACAATGCGAGCGCGGGGATGCCAACTGGTCTCCAGACCGCAGACTGGTGTGGTGGAGCAGGGCATCTGGTGAGTGTCAGCATGCTGGATGAGGGTCCCGTTATACTGATTGAAGGAAGGGGTGTGTAGCGCATCATAATCTTGGGGCCGCGCATGTTCATGAAGCATGGACACTTGCTCGAACACATCCGGCACTCCTGGGTATGTGTTCTCAGTGTCCACTGGAATCCATCATCCATGACTGTTGGCGTTGGACTTCGAGACTTCAGGCTGCGTCGTTCAATGTGTCGCCTCGGCACATTCTAATCTCAGCGCGCACCGCCGTACTTCAGGAAGTCGACATCAATTACAGTGTGTTGCATATGAGATTGCAGTACGTGTTTTTCAAAACTCGGCCTCACTAGCGGAACTATGGAAAGCGGGAGTGATCAGCTTCGTATCAGCTTCGCTAAGCGTGTTTGTTTGGCTTTTACCTGTCAGACCCCCAACCACTGCTTGAGAGAGACTTAATATTAATGTTTCTAGTGATATATTCAAGATGTATTGCTTGTCAAATTGTGAGTCCTCCAATGGTTACCGATAGTAACTCAGGTGCTGATCGTACCTTAATGCAATGACAGCGCAATCTGTGACGGAATTCAAAACAACTCGAACGTTCAAGTTGACGAGTGCAGGATCGTGCTCCCAACATTATGACTGATCGTTCTCGGCGCACCAACCAGCATAAGCCATGTCGTGAGTGTTAAGCCTGAATCACTGCCAGTTTCACTTATTTTTGAGCGAGCATAGCTCCTGCCAGGGAAATACAAGATCCGGCTCAGTTTTATTTCAAGCTCAACATGAGTGATGTTGACATCGTGCACCACCTCAAAGACCATTATGACCAGGAGGAATATGGACTCAGGTTCGTGTCTTACATATGTCCAGTGCAACTACTTCAACTAATTTATCATGCTAGCGTTGTCAGCTTTCGTCGGATGCGAAATAGCTGGGGCTGGAAACGGACCAGGCAACAACAACATACTCTCGAGTCCATCGAACAGCATGTCCGGGAGATTCGACAACGATTTCCCCACCGAGGTGCCGAGGCCATCAGACGAGACCTGCGCCAGCAGTTCAGCTTTCACGTACCCCGGTGAGTTGCTGTCTACTTGCTAGTACTGTTCACTATAAATCGATGTTTGAACAGCGAACTGATCGCCAAGCTTCTCAAGATCACAGAGCCAACTGCTGTGGAAGCTAGGCGTCGTGGACGTCTCAAACGGAGGCGTTTTTGGTGTGCGGGGGTTAATGATGTCTGGCCCCAAGACCAGCACGACAAATGGCTGCGCTTTGGGTTATGGCTGCATATCAGCCTCGATCCATTCACCGGCTGGATTAATTGGCTGAAAGTTTGGTGGACCAACAAGAATCCACGCCTTATTGCTAGATACTACCTTGACTGTTGCCGAAAACTCGGAGGTATGTCACCAAGCCCCTCACATTGATCGGACATTGATCATGTCATTTTTTTTTTGTGATCTCAGCTGTACCTTTGATCACTCAGAGCGATCCAGGCTCCGAAAATTTTGCTGTTGCCAACGCACAAACAATGATTCGACACCGCCTAGATCCAGCACTCAACGGAACACTTCAGCACCGCTGGATGCGAAAGCACCAGAACATCAAGCCCGAAATCATGTGGTCTGTGCTTCGCAGGGACTTTGCTCCAGGTTTCGAGAATATCCTGGAGGAAGGTGTCACTAGGGGACTATATGACATTCACAACACGCTGCAAAAGTATGCATCACTTCCTTGCATATGTATTCACTGACAATCTCCATCTACTATCTACTAGCTACGTGTTCCGCTGGCTTGCAATTCCATGGCTCCAGGCTGAGCTTGATGCATGGGCTCATCGTAGAAACCATAACGCTCCCCGCAGGGACAAAAATAAGATTCTTCCTCACGGCATTCCAGCAATCATTCGTGCGAAACCTCACGAATTCAATTCACTTGACTTCAAAGTAAGTATGTCGTCCATGACTGCAGCTCAACACTACTTACTCTTCTCAAGGTTCCAGTGCCAAGTGCGCTCTTTGATGAGGTCGAAGCAATTTATGCTCCCTCTGATCATCCTGTCTTCGATCTTGTCCCACCTTCATTCGAGCAACGCGCACAATATCTCTATACCTCACTCGGCAACCCGCAAGTGTCGTCGGATTCATTCTGGAATGTATATCAGATGTTACTGGCGCAGTTCCTCGCAATTGAAGGTGAAGATGACCTGACAGTCCTGCTTTCGCAGGGAGTTACGGAACCTGAAGATGATGATGTTCTATTGCTTCCGAGCTTGCAGGACCTCCCTCGAAATGCTGGCTTAGTAGGACCTGCTGGCTATCAGTATATGGGAGGCATGGTGAACCCGCCAACACAAGCACTTCACGGTGTTCAGGACTGGGGATCACAAGGGGAGGATCAGGATGATGAAGATCAACCAGAGTTCGCAGAGTTCACGGATTCTGAGTCTGAGTCTGACAGCGGAAGAGACTGTAGCAGAAATGCCTAGATATACTTTTGGTAATACATTAAGGTTGTCGGCATCTCTCCACTGTAGTGCTGCTGCTGTTGAAGTGAGTCCAACTCGAGCTAAATTCGGTTCCTCAAAAATGACCAACAGCAACACTCCTCCACTGGAATGGAGCCCGCTCCCACGGAAGCTTTAAACTCCGCTGGGAGTGGTGTCACGGTCCTAGACTGGCGAAAAGACTTAGTACCATCTATGTACATGTATGAACGTATGACTTGTTCAGCTCCGAACTGGAGGCGATACATACAGTGCGGCTTGGAAGCTAGCAAAGATGCTGGTGGTGTGCACGATCTGGCTATTGCTGACTGGGCACGGACACGAATTCTTGATGGACACTGGTGTAGTCCTGCCGACCAGTGGTATGGCTACGCTCGACCAATTGGTGGAGGTGTCAGAGATCCTGGCGAGGAACCTGACTACGAGTCGGAAACTGACGACGATGAACCTCTTGAGAATGGACAGTCTCACCGCCGCATCAGAGATCACACACGACGAGCCCTGTTCTTTCTACGACAACGCTACATACCACGCCATCGCCTCCACCATCACATCCTGAGGAGAAGGAGCATGAGCCTACAACGACAACGGCAACAGCGCGGCCGAAACCGCCACAAGTTATCATCCCTATTCCTGTGTCACCGGTGTTAGACTCACCCAAGCTTTTACATCCTATCCCTTGTGTACCGGTTACGCTGGCCCATATGGCACAGTATAGTCTCGAAGCATTTAAACAGGTGAGTTCCATTCTGTAACGCGATGCTACCTCGTCCGAACCAACTACATTAGGTATGGCGCGAAGCATGTGCACCACTGTATCACTGCCGATGTTCCGTCTGCGAACGTGCTATGATCAAGGCAAATGTTGCCACATACCATCACACCCCAAATGCTGCTACTGGTGATCCCATTGAGGTCCCTCATACCTCAACGCCGCCGAAGCATCCTCGTAGAGACTCAGATCGTCCTGTTGACGACCGAGCGCGGCGCGGAGAGTATGTGGCACCAATCCCTACACCTCGCCAACGAAAGCGCTCCTCAGAAGAGCTGGATGTTGGCAACGACTCTCTGTCTAGATCTATATAGTGCATAGTGTGCCGACCGTGTGTCTACGACAGGAATGCCAAAGCAACTAGTCTTTTGAAATATCATCGCGAGTTCCCAGAACCATGCTCTTTTCACCAAAGTCATCACTTTCGTCATCAGACTCTGAGTCTCTCTCGCTGTCAGCAACTTCCTCTGGTGTCTTATAGAACAATGGGGGTATTGGACGAGACCAGTTACATGGCAATTTGAAAAATTCGCAAAACATGTTGCACTGATGTTTCTCCGCAAAAGATGAAAATGCAGATGCCAAGTTGCCATCTGCGAACAGGTGTCCGGAAAGATCACTGATAATTGCTGTCAGCCACTCATTGATAAGGATAGTAGTAGGGATGTAGATTTACGGAGAAGTCATAATTTGAGGATCAGTTAAAAGATTCCTTCCGCCTGTCAAGAACGAATAAGCTATGTGTAGATATCCGAAATAAAGACGAGCCTTGAAAATCTGCAACGTAAGCAAGTTTCTTGGTCTTGACGTATTGGACGTGTTGTGCAAATGACAGGTACTGGGCAATTTCACTTGATTTGGCATCAAGGTGTGGCAGTGGGGAAGGCGAGTCGTTGGATATATACTTGGTGAATTTCCCTTGTGTGGACTCGTCAATGAACTCTTCAATTAGATATGTTTTGGTAACACCAGCGTCCTCGATAGTGGCAAGAGCAATATGCACGAAGCGGATATTTGGAATCTTGAAGGGAGGTGTGCTGCGAGTCACTAGTTCTGTGGCAATATATTGCTGAACCCGGTCCATGAGTGCTCCTGCCCATATGCTGCATCTAATCTCTGGCTGCAGCAGCTGTAGTTGCTGAGAATCGGGATAAGGAAACCGCTTGGATTTGTCGGTCTGGTAGTAGCACTGCTTTAAGCAGATGCGAGTTGAATCAGATCCAGACGGTCCAAGAATAGCTTTGTCTAGAAAGCCGAATTGTGCTGCTTTGAATGCTCCATACTTCGGTTTGCTTCGTGGATCGAAAAAAAGAGTAGCCTGCATCGGGGGGGCAGTAGTATTTGGTACGTCAGAAGTGGTTGGATCAGTAATCAGAGCAGATAGTGATATGGGGGGGATTATCCGCAGTAGTGCCTTGAACGTGCGAAGAGTGAGAAAGGGTAAGTTTGGTTGGGATATGGGAATAGCTTGTGCTTGAAGTGCACGGCGAAGTGCACTAACATCCGGAGATACTGCAGCATCCAAAGTCCGAGGCTTCCGAGGGGGCGTGGATGGGACAGGAGGCTGTGTGTGATGCTAATGAGCATAAGGCTGGTACTAGAGTTCGAAAGAATGACTGACCAATGATAATTTGCGCTTGACAGGGTGAGGCGAACATTGGGCACCATTTTGCAAATTTTTTGATGGGGACACCACAGATAGTACTAATGCAGGACTTGAAAGATGTTGGATGTCAGATGAACTTGCCGCTGTTGCGTGAGGTGTATCCTGGTTTATGTATTCTGTCAGTCATGCAAGGTACCAATAGTCCATGTTGAAAACGAACATCACGAGACTTGGACTCAGCTACTTCCTCACCATTTCGCCTTTGCTCAGCGGCAAGGAACTTCGTATGTGGAATAATGAGGTGAAGTTCGATCCCCTTGCCAGCGTTGAACTGCTGCTTCGTGTTCCTGGTCTTGAGGAAGTGGGATGCTATGGCATTGATGTCTTCTCCAGATGGACGGGGAAGAATCTCCTCGAAACTACTAACAAGACGCAAACGTGCCTCTTCAAACGTAAAAGTAAGACCCATGGACCACTTGATGAACATGGGAAGTAGGGTGAGGTACACCGAAGTTTTAAGGTCATTGGCACCAATGCGGTAAGGGATGTTGCTGATCGACTCGACTATATCCTATAGAAGATTCAGCAAAGTTGGTGAAGTTGAATTCAGAATTGTAGAGAGCAACACTTACAGATATCAGAGTTGGTTTTTTAGCCCGTGGAATCATCACTGCAAGGTATGCCTTGACGCATACCACTTCGGGAACACTCAAAGCATAGGCCTGTCGAGCAAGCTGGTCTCGCATCTCTTCATAAATTTTATGCGCATCTTGATAACCAGGCTTGAGTGGCAGAGTTCGAAGAAGGTCTGAGTACACAATAAACTGAGCATCCCGACCATAAATAGATATGTTGGGCCCTAATGGATTTGCACGGCGGATGTCTGAGGGGCCAGGAGCTGCAGGCCAGTTGGGTAAAGGAACAAATTGATGATTTGCTGAGGCGCGCCTCGGGTGAATGGGACCTGGGATGAATGCAGGTGGAGGCATCCCACATGATACACTAAGCCCCACTGCACGAACAGGAAGTTGGGATTCTACAAAAATAAATGAAGGTTTGTATTCAATATAAAATGCAACTGTACTGGGCGACTCACTTCCACGCTGCGCCTCTGCAGTCTGCTTGTGAACTGCAGCACCATCATATTTGGACTGGCCGAAACCATGCTTCGAGGTATTTGGAATTACTAAAGAAAATTATTGTCAGACTGTAATGTGACAAAGTCTGCACACCGAGCAATTATTTTACCTGCATCACTTATTTTCTTGGTAGTGAACTTGGAGCGCTGGTATCGGCTGCATTTTTCACAAAGCCATTTACCAGGCTTGCTCGGATCTTTGTGCTCAATATAGGTGATAGCAGGTACAGTGCCAGGATGACCGCTAAAACAGTTGGCATACTCGCAATAGTGCTGGTCAGCATTTGTGGTGAACTCTGCAGCATACATGATGATGGTGGATTTTTTGGGGGGTTTGGATTTAAATTTCTGAACCGTCAGATTCAAATATTAGTGCTACTAGAGGCTCGTCGAAGCAAGCAAGGGCCTTTGATATCACCATTTGATGCAAGTCTATGTGCGAGTGATGATTTCTCATGTCAAATTTGCAAGGCAAGAGATCTTAGGCACCACGTCAATACAATGTCTTAACCTCATTCTGTACGCACAGCCACATTTATGAGTGTAGTCGGTAAATTCTTCATCGCGTTCAGTGGGTGATTGGGGGTCTGGCAGGAGAAGAGCCAAACAAATGCCTTTTTAGTCCAGCTGATCACTCTCGCCGAAGCTGATCACTCCCGCTTTCCATACGGAACCGGCACTTTTGCACCCTAATTAGGTCAAGGGATGTCACGTCTTGTATACTGGCTAGAGTGATATGTCACATCCCTTGACCTAATTAGGGTGTAAAAGTGCCGGTTCCGCTGGCGAGTCCGAGTTTTGAAAAACACGTACTGCAATCTCATATGCAACACACTGTAGAACTTATTATATTTCTCGCTGTCTGTCACTTGTGTATCACAAAATCAAATGAGCGAAATCAAATGGAATTGAATGAGGCTGCTAGCTCCGTTTCTCATGAAATAGGTTCTGCTTAAACGATTCCGCCAAATAGAATTCCGGCTAACACAGGCATTATTTTTCGCAAGTATAAAGAGCAGGTCATCTTTCTACCGTCCACTTTACTCCAAAGAGATTTTTCAAGCACCTCAGCAGTTCATACGACCTCGCATAAACAATGCATTTCTCCTTCCTCGTCGCTATTGTTGCGCTGGCAACATCTATAATGTCTGTCAATGCGTGTGCGCCAGAGGAAGCGCCTTGCGTACATGACAGTGACTGCTGCAATAAATTAGATAAATGCGTCGGAATTGTAAGTGGGAGCGGTTTTGCTTTGCACCAAATGCTCACTGGATGACTCACCCTTTGGGCCTCGTAATATTAGCCAACTGGTGCTTATATGTGCTATCGTAAAGGCGATTAGTCCCAAAGAGGAGACCGTTGAATTCGGACGTAGCAACACACTGGTGGGTTATGTTTCCGCTTTACCGTTGATGCTCTTGCTGATGGAATAATATGCAGTTCGCTACTGATCGAGAAATAGATAGAGGCAATGTCGCAAAGTGAATGAAGTATTTGCGCACTTGTTTATCTTGGTGTAAACAGAACCTGGGCTTGTAATTCGCAATAGTTTAACCACATGGTACACCATCTTTGATCCAGGGACAAACATGAGAGGCTGGAACAAGGACATGGCCGCAGATCAACAGTCACAAAACCATCTTGTTGTAAGGCTGGCAATGAGTTCCACGGAAAATGATGATCGATACAAGTAGGCAAAGTCAACGCGTTTGAACGCAGTTAGTTGTAGTTGCGACGTGAGATGGAGACTTTCGGACTTACTTGGAACGAGGAAAATACTAGGTGTTTTTTCGCTATCGCAGCCGAGAGTACAAGGCCAAACTGAGGATGCGTGATCGATACCTGAAGATGCGGGTTCAATTGCATGCATCATTGTGCCTAAAATGTGATACGTCTTTACTTAGTCGTCCATGTAGTCTCGATGTGCTCTTTGTGGTGTTCAGAATGGCCCATGTCGGAATATTGGCAAGCATTTCATGATAAGCTGGTAACAAGTGAGCGTTAGGTTAGCCTGGCTCGTGGATGGCGCGGCCATGTACAATGATCTCGTATTTGCTATAAAAACGGAGGAACCGAGTCAATGTGTTGGTTCGTGTCCTGATCTGCCATCCACTTTGAAATATGGAAATGAGACATACATATTCTGGACTGCTCCTCCGTTATCGCAGAAGAGAGCATGCTTAATAGTATATGTAGTACGCGGTTCCATGTACACAGCAAATGGCTGTCAATATCTTGGGAGCCTGGTCAACCCTCAACGTGCGCGATGTGACCGCACCATGTTCGTAGGTTCTTTTTCGTTGAATGCATGCGTATACCCTTGTGGTGCAGGAAGAGTTGCCACGGCCAGTGCAAGGCCAGTGAGTGTGGGAAGGTGCTGGTTCCCCAAAGCGGGCTTTGCCCACCGCCATCGCTCGCCTTTATATAACACGTTGACAATAGTCGTGCATCGCACGCTCCTCAAACAAAAGGTTCCAAGACCTGACCTACTATCTGGTACACGGTAAATAAGCCTCATCCTCCCTATTCAGCCTAACCTCAAACCCATTCCAGATGTCAACACAATCACCCACCGTACCCACCGATTTCTCAGTGGAAGCCCTCATCCGTTCCTTCATGACGATCATCCTCTCCGAAATTGGGGACAAAACCTTCTTCATCGCCGCCATTCTCTCCATGCGCCATCCTCGCCTCGTCGTCTTCCTAGGCGCTCTTGGTTCCCTTGCGCTGATGTCTGTCCTGTCAGCTTCACTGGGTCACATACTGCCTACGCTTTTACCCAAGAAATGGACTCAGGTTATGGCTGGGGTGCTGTTTTTGGTCTTTGGGAGTAAGATGATGATGGAAGCAAGGGAGATGGGGGGGAAGGGAAGGGAAAAGGTTGAGGAAGAGATGAGAGAGGTGGAAGAGGAGATAGAGGAGGACGAAATCGAGGCGGGAGGTAGTATCCCGCTTGAACGGCTCGAGGAGGGGGAAGCAGTTCCTTCATCCTCAGGTGCGAGAAAACAGAAAAAATTGGGTTCGAGTGTCACGGAAGGCGTGAGGAATTTTTGCAGTCTTATCCTCGGGCCTGTTTTCGTGCAGTCCTTTGTGCTTACTTTCCTCGGAGAGTGGGGGGATAGGAGTCAGATTGCTACGATTGCTTTAGGTGCTGCTGATGTGAGCTCTCTGTTTTCTTGTTGGTTCGAAGACCTGTGTTGACGAGGCGTGTTTTTAGAATGTGTATCTCGTGACGCTAGGGACGGTCCTTGGTCATACGTGTTGTACAGCGCTGGCGGTCATAGGAGGGCGCTATGTATCGAGTAAAATCTCCGTCAAACATGGTGAGTCGTCATTTCCGCTCAATGATTGTCCTTTACTTCGGAATATCATCATACCCCCATGCATCTATTCGATGATCGACGTCTATGATTACTCCACAGCGCGCATGTCATTCTGCTGTGCTTCCTGCATTTTACCTGCCGATTTGTTTTATTTGTTTCGATTTTCCTGTCTGTCGTCATCGCAACTAATCCGGCATTGCAGTGACCCTAGGAGGTGCAGCCCTTTTCCTCATATTCGGCGTCATCTATCTCTACGACGCGCTTGCTAGCTCTGCGGAAGAACTCTCGATACCCATTCCTGTGGGGGAGTCGTGAGCTAATATATATTTTTATTTAGGCTCGGTCATGATAGCACTCCAGCGCCATGCCTGCATTGACGAAACGCTTCACGTTTCAGGCTTTTTGGCTGGGTACTTCGCTCATTGTGTACTTAATAATATATAGACATGCTTACAATAGGACGATTATTTATACGGTATCGCGGCATCGTTGTGGTGTGAGACAGTTTAGCGTACATCAGTTTGCAAAAGTGAGCGTTCCATCTTCTTACGGCTTCCCAATATTAATCATCGATAGCAATGTCTCGGATCGCTAGTTTCGACGGCCTCTCGAAGTCAGGCTCAGTGGGCAACGAGCAAGACTAGCCACGGTCGATCATTTTTAGATAAGTTCAAGCATCTACCGTAATTGCTCGAGCAGCATGAAAATTTGACCAAAAGCAACTGTATTGATTGAGTGCGTCACTGCGAACTAGGTATTGCACCATCAAGCTTGAGCATGATACTAAAGCGAAAGCAAAAACATGACTCACTGACGCGAGGTGCCGCTCGGGCTGTCGGCTCAATTTTCCCTCCGCCAGTTATGGTCTGCAGATTCCAATGTGAGTTTTTACCTAAGGCGAGCAGGTAAGTCATGTGGTTGAATCCTGGTTGCACAGCGACTTTCTCATACTCACGTTAGGCTGAGTATGCACACACAACATAGAATCGCAGCAATCTAGACGTGACGTGCAAATTTGATTCTCGGATTTACATGCACTGACAAACATAGATGCTGTCAAAGCAACAACAACGGCGAGGAGGGAGAGACGCATTTTCTGTGCGAGGTGATGTGATATCTCTGGGGATGGGAGAGCGGTTCCCCTGTAGGACGACAACCAGCCTTTATATCCTGCATATCCATATGGGCACGAATTTCAATTTGGCAGAATTGTGTGAGTTCTGCTGCATGAACGTATTATTCCTGCGTAGCACCAGATTAGTGTCTTGTATACAATCTGGTGAAACTTCAACGTTCAACCCTGATCCCTGGGTCAAATGTATGTAAATTTGCAAGTCGGCTGATAAGCGCTAATTTAACGGTTAATGTGCGTCCGGAAGCTTTGTCTCTAACGACGAGGAGGAAACGCCTAGGGATAATATTGTTGGTGCAGATTCACGTTTAGCACTGTGAGATCCTAGTTTTTGATTTGGGTTGCTTCTTATCTTCGTCAGCGGTGCCAGTAGTTTGGCTCTCGTCACTGATCTGCTAATAATGGGATATGCACAGGGAGACCAATTATTGCATTCTTCCCAAAGCTCGCTACTAGTAGCTATCAGTACACGCTCTTTTTCACAGGTCAGAATCAAGCCAACCACATTTTGACAAGTGATACAGGATCCGTTCTTTGTTTCGTGGCATTGCTCGTGTCGTGTTGCATCCCTTGCTAGCAATACAACGAAAATTTTGCTTAACTCCAGTAGGTACCATTGTGGTTTTCATCGGACTTGTGGCTTTTTCTGACCCTTCTGCGACAGGTAGCATCGCAATGATCGCATCGAGAAGTAGAGGGCGAGTCTTCAAAGCTCCACACCACCCTTTCGGGTATCCTTGGGGTCTAACAAGTCCACATAGCGAGCATCCTTGTGATTAACAAGTATCTTGCTGTCCAGCTTGGCGAGTTTAATGCGCAATATTGTGATATTCTCGTTCCGACAGACGAGGGTTTTAATTAGATACAGCATATCAAGCAAATTAACACGGCATTTTGGGCCTCTCAGTAAATTAGCGCTAATCAACACTGCGCTGTCTCAAGCTGCAGTGACCAGACAGCTCACTCAGCATAACCAAACTCCCGGTTCTTGTTCTTGATGATCAGATATACAATTGGTATTCACAGATCTCAATAAACAGGTATAAAATAGGCGCACGCGTCTGCTATCTGAGACGCGCGAGGTATGTTGTTTTGAGAAGTCCCTGGATCGTTCCATCTAAAAAATAAGAGGCGCGGTCCAAATCCAGATCCTACAGCTTCAACTCGAATAACAAATGGTCACCGGTCATCGATATCCGCGGTGGTCGCATATGATTTTGAGTGAAATTACGCTTGTATATGATATGATATTTGGTTCTGCGTCCATTAAAATTTGCAGCGGAGGGGTTTCCCAATGAAGCACAGCAATCGTCAACAGTACTAATTTACTAGTACGAGCTGAGACTCAGTGAGAGGCAAGTACTTCAGTTATATTTTATGCGGTTAAATGTTGATGCCGAGCAGGTTTGTTCACGGCGACAGCCGAGCACTGAGCCGAACTGCTTACATGTTCGAGTTGTGTTGTTGTCAACCACACTACCAAGGCGAGAACGGAAACACGACTGACTGTAGTACTAGCTCAGCGGTTCACCCCCCATCATTAATTGGCACTCCAAGTTTATGATCTACACAGACAAATGCGGGCTACCATGCCGATAAGCCACGGAATCAGATGAAAACTACTCATACGCACCCAGAGAAAGCCTATGTCCTCGCATTTAAAGCCAGAGCAGCAATATTTTGTAGTCTGGCAGGTTTCGGGACAGAAACTGTCATCGCTACTGGCAGTTGGCATAGACACCGTCAACTTGAAAGATGCAACAACGGCGAGGATGAAGGAGAGACGCATGATACTATGGAACTCCGAAAACAAACCTGAAGGAGACGGTAGGAAGACATTTTGCTTTAGGGTCTGTTCGGACATCAGCCATTTTCAAAATTCCAGTTTAACACATACAAGACCAAATAGTCGGAGACCGAAAATGATGTCACGCTGATGCTAATGATAATGAATTTGATAGCGGTCACCGAGCCTATTGTGCCACGCAATGCATCCCAACGTCCTCAATGCCGACTTCGATATGCTAGACCTGCTAGATCCACTAGACCAAGATGATATTGTCATTGAAGAACATGATGACAGTTTGGATGAAGAGTCCAATCATGCTAATGCAGCGGACTCCGACCAGCTGGATGTAAACGAGCTGCACTGGATAGACACGATGTTCCGCGGTGCTGCTCGTGTAGCAATGGCTATTGCTGATGCTGCTGGCCAAGTACTCCAAGATCACACACACACTCACTACAACAAGCAGCCCTATCATACTTCCGCCTTGTCTGGAATGGCATGGGTCAATGAGCTCCTCACAGGACATCCAGACCGCATACGATGTGAACTTGGTGTGCGGCGCCATGTGTTCTATGTACTGTTGAATCTACTTCATGATTCAGGGTGCAGGAATTCAAAATATGTCCCGCTTGAGGAGCAGCTCGCCATCTTCTTGTATGCAAGTGTCACAGGTCTCTCTGTTCGCCATCTTGGTGAACGCTTTCAACGCTCCAATGACACGATATCAAAGTATGTGATTCCCCAGTGTGATAAATTCACTCATTTTTTTTGAAGGTATTTCAAACGTATTCTCAACGCATTTTCCTCCCCCCCAATTTATTCATTGTATGTCCGGCTACCCAGCGCAGACAGTCCAACACCTCTCGAAGTCCTTCGAAACCCGAAATTCTTCCCATACTTCTCCAATGCCATCGGTGCTATAGACGGTACTCATATCGCATGCCACCCTAGTGGCAAGGATCGCGATGTGACTCGCGATTAGTGATGTTCCGGCCCGGCTTGGCCCAAAAGCCGCGGCTTTGGCCTGGCTTCAGACGGCTTTGGCCTGCAAAAAATCCAGGCCGGGCCAAAGCCGCCAATGACGGCTGGCTTTGGCCCGGCCCTGGCCTGAGCCGCGGCTCGAATACTGAAAATGTAGTTAGTGATCTGGAGGCCAAGGCTGCTTACAGACGTCGTATGTTCCAATCTAGCGCATGTAGTGTCGCGTCTGGAGTTGTTGGAACTGGGAGGAATTGGGACCGCGATGAAAGATGAGGGGCTTGTGAGGCTTTTGGGAAGGGTAAAGTGCTGCCGACCGACCTATAAGCTTGCGGACGATGAGATAATCCAAGCTCCACCACACCATTCCCAACACTGCAAACGCCATGCGCAAACGCCCAGTGCACGTCAGCAACTGCTGACGTGGCTCAGACGAATGTGGACGACGGATGAGAGCAGGAGGAGAACGAGGGAGAGGAGATGGGTGAAACGAGACGAGCAGGAAGGAAGACATCGAGTAATGTGCTCGAGTTCGAGTAGCGTAGGGAGCACGGGATACAATCTGGGGTGGCGCTGGCCTTCGTTCGGCGGACTGGCCGTGCGCTGAATGTTGGAGAAGTGCTGCTGTAGGCTAGTACTAGGCAGGGACAGAATGTGGTAAAAAATATCAATTGGGGGTGCATGACACTGTAACGAGCAAGTACTTTGTAAACTAGGGATAGATACATGAAAAATGCACGAGCCGATGTCAAAGTGTTGCTCACTTGTCCCACTTTGGTTGTGCTCGCACAGAATCACTCTCGCCTCGTACCCATCTCGGATCCTTCGGCCTTTGACATGCTGGGTCATTTGGACTCTAGCGCCGAAAAACACACTCACTTTATGGTTGGTTTATGTGGCGAGAGAGTTGTGAGGGAGTTGCGAGGCACAGTTGACTCGGCCACTTGACAGGCAAACGAGTTGCTAACAACAAATACACCTATGACACAAAAGTAAGTTATAATGATGCGCAGATGTTGCAACTCACCGACATGATAGCGACGTAGTCCACAATCCGAGAAGCAAATTGGTTGGTAACCGTGCTGACTAAGCACGCAAAGCCGCGGCCTGGGCCACCGGCTTTGGCTTTTCAGTACCTCAGGCCAGGCCAAAGCCGTGGTCAGGCCATGATCTTTGGCCTGGCCTATTCTGGCCTGGCCTGGCCTGGCCCACGGCCTGAAGCCGGGCCATGCACATCACTACTCGCGATCGTAAAGGCAACTTAACTCAGAACTGTCTCATAGCCTGCTCCTTCAACATGTCGTTCCTTTACATACTGAGTGGCTGGGAGGGATCAGCGGCCGATGCACGTGTTTATCATGATGCTCGCATTACAGACTTCAACATCCCTCCAGGCAAATACTATCTTGCTGATGCGGGATTTGCTGCATGCGATGAACTACTTGTGCCGTATCGTGGAGTACGCTACCATCTTGCTGAATGGGGTCGTGGACATCAGGCGTAAGTAATGTTCAACTTAAGCTAACTTGTACTTACATTGTTTTGTAGGCCCTGTAATCACAGAGAATTATTCAATCTACGTCATGCCATGCTCCGAAACGTCATTGAGCATATTTTTGGTGTGCTCAAGAACCGCTTCAACATCCTGCTTCTCCCACCTCATTATAACATGGACGTGCAGGCTCGTATACCTGCGGCACTGTGCCTGGTGCACAACGTCATCCGTATTCACGACCCAAACGACATGATGGACTACCGCCAGGTTGATGTGAATGAGCCGGAGTATAATGTTGGCACACTTGCAGAAGGTCCTCCCACTGCAGAGGCACGCACACGTGCACACCGACATCGTGACGAGATCGCCCTTCGCATGTGGGAGGACTACAATCTGACGAGAGAGCAGAGAGGTCAGTCAGTCATAGCGGACAATCTTTTGTAGTTGTTTGCGTCAATTTTATGTAGTCATTTGCACCGATTTTTCATAGACGGTTGAGCAGCAAAGTGTCATAGTATTTGGTGCTGCTACTACTACTAACAATATCAAATGCGAAGGTGATACAGCGAAAATTTACTTCAAGTATGTCGATAAGAAAAGCTTCCGGATGCTCTCCTTCTCAATGACAAGGTACGAATCAGCTATGGCAACATCTGCTTGGAAATGCTTGATAATTTCGACGATCTCATGGTCCTCCAGACCCTCCTTCTGTAGCTGGATGATAGCCTTCTGCTTGCGCACCGGAATGGGATCCACTGTGGGGCGCGAGGCAACCTGAGTTGCGCGCTCATGCATGACATCTGTTGCGCGATCGAAGGAGGTGGAGAGACCACGAATCTCCTTGGACATGCTTTGGAAAGCTTCTGGGACAGCCACACATGGTGACTTGATGGACTTCCCTGACTCGGATGCAGATTTCATAGAGCCCGGAGGGCGAGCAAGCGATCTCATGTTATCACCTGATTCTCCAGCTGCTTTTCGTTTGCCGCTGGCAATGGTAGAAGTACCTGGTGTAGAGGGAGTGAAGGTGGGCCGTTGCATTGGATCAAAGAGAGAGGGTGGCTCAGTCATGATGGTGGAGGGTGGCGGCATCATGGCGATATCTACATCCTGCGACTCGATGTCATTCAACGCTTCCTCCTGGTCGAGTATATTGGCTTCATCATAACTGATGCCATCTGGGAGGTGAGAAGAGGTAGCGTGACTCGGAGCCCCTACCAGCGCAGCGTTGTCAGCAGGCATGCGGGTGTAGAAAGCACGGCTTCCACGTGTATTTGGCGATGGTAGGAGTTCCTTCATTGCTTCATAGTGGGGCCAGCCTTTATTCTTAAACTTCCTTGCAGTGATAGGAGCCTGGATCATATTAGTAGTTGCCAGTGGTAGCGGAGTATTGACAGCACTCACTTTCGATGAGCCCATGTAGTCAGTCCATACCGTCTCAGATTCAGCTGTGATGTTGGCGCCATGCTCCAGACTGTACTCCCATCCAGAATAGGTCGCAATTGAGTCTACAACACCAAACGTGCTACGGAGCTGGAGGTCTTATTAGTATAGACTCTAGTACTGGTGCAACATGATGAGAACTTACCCGCACCCATTTCGATTGGCATGCATCAATTGTCTTCGGCGCACCTTGTGTGGTATGTTTAGATGTCTCATTAGAAGCAGAGGTCCAGAAGGTCTTGTCAAAGTTCATTCCGTTACCACCCTTAGCTTGGTGGGTAGCGATGTATTGGATGAGGTGTGTTTCATCGTCCAGTGTCCAGAAACATCGGTCCTTGGTTTCAGGGTCCTGACACTCCGGTGCGCTCTTCTTTCCACGTACCATGGTGCTCTTTGAACGTCCACGGTGGCTGAGACTTGAACGAGTCAATCTAGTGTTAGATCGCGTAGCTGGCATGTTATCGATGGGCTGATATGCTTTGTCACATATGTCACACTGACCCCCAAACATTACAAAGCACCATATGTAGTGCTGCCGAAGTCCGGTTCGGTCCAGTTCATGGCCCTATATTTGCGAACCCCGAACCTGACCATTGGTCAGGTTCGAGCAAGGAGGCTGAACCATGGACCGGACCCCTGTGAACGCGTTCGGAAGGGTTCGGTTCAAGTTCAGAACGCGTTCGAACCCTCGAACCCTTTATTTCAATTTGCAAAAAAATCAAAATTTTACAAGACAACAACGACAAATTTGTACGCTACGTACAGCTACTCCTCGTTCACAATGACCGTGAGGCTTTTCGATCGGGGAGTCTATGTAATGCACTGTAATGGATAGGAAAGGGTGACCAGGAAAAGATGTCCACGAGTCGAACATCATGGAAATTTTGCTGTCGACATGCTTGAGCTTCTCTTTCACGCGCTCGACTGCCAGCTTCGCACGTTCGAGGATCTCATCATGCGTTTTTGTACGGTGGGGAATATCTGTTTCTGAAAGCGAGGGTCGGAGATATTGAAGAAGTCGACGGAAGGGACCTTTATCTACGAGTTGAAATGCCTAGTACAAATGTAGTGTAAGTATCTTTAAAAAATCTCAGAAATGAAAGCTACTTACCTCGTTCTCAGCGACAATGAGTTCGACGATGTAATCCATGAGTCCGGACTTCGTGAACGTGGGAATCTTTGGAGTCAGAGAGCCGTCCAAGGTTGCCTGACTGTCGGTTGCCTTGCAATCACGAGGTATGGCACGATTGTGCATCTTGATACCCCGTTCTTTGCAGCGGTCGTGATAGACTGGGTAGTGGCACTTGGGATGGCAAGCAATGTGAGTGCGTCTAGTCGAGATACCACCTTTAAAAAAGCACTGGTGTAGTGGGACATTATTGGCCTTGCATACCTCACACCACCACCCATTTTCACGCTCCTGGGTGTGGGGGTTGATGTGACCTTTCTCAAAGGTAAAGACTGTAGTCAAGTCAGCGCTGCGTTCATCTTTCTTGAGGGATTTGCGGTCTTCGCGATCCTGGTCGCCGAGCTTCTTCGTCCGTTGATAAGCTTCTTCATTCTCGGCATTCTCGGCATTCTCGGCATTCTCGGCATTCTCGGCATCCTCTTCCTCATCATCTGTAACGTCTTCAAGTGCGGGTGCATCTTCGTCGTCATCCTCGTCATCCTCTCTGCTACTGGTACCAACGAACACTCGTTTGGGTGCAGGGACACCCTGAGGAGGTTCTACAGCTGACCGTTTGGCTGAGGTACTGCTGGCAGTCAGAGTCTCGCGGATCTTCTCTGTGGGTTTGACCGCTCGACCAGAACGACGTACAAACGAATTGAGAGTGCCGTTGTGTGCAGGAGCAGGGGGAGGAACCATTGGAGAGTCGTCTTCGGCATCATTGTACCACGCTATCTCACTGGCGTCTTTCAACGAACCGTCAGCGCGACGTGCAGAGGACATAGCAGCAGGGGGCATAAATTTCAAACCTAGGTACCAAGTGAATTTATTTAAAACTAGATTTAAAACTGTTGCGCACCATGAAACACCAAAATGAGAACCCATGGCAGATAATCAGTATGGTGAATCACAACTGTAGGTATGTTCTGAAATAAATCACATCATAAGTTAATTGTGACAGACAGTAGACTTGTTGCGAACTCACTGGCGCATGAATGAGTTGCATTACTGAAGTAGCCGAGAGATTGCCTTGCAGGAGAAGTAGGAGAAGACGGTGAACAGAAGGGCAAGGATGATACTTAAATAGAAAGCCTCACCAAAAACATGAGGCTTCGACTTCGAAAATCGTAAGTCAAAGCCAGCGACATGATAGGTTCGAACCGGTCCGGATGCGTCCAGAACCGGTCCGGATTTATCGACAACACACCGAACCTCGAACCTACCAAGGGGTTCGGTCCAAGAGAAATTCTGGACCTGTGACCGAACCATGGGTCCGGTCCACAAAGGTTCGGGTTCGAACCTAGGTCCTGGACCGGACTGCGGCAGCACTAACCATATGTTTGAAATTTGAAAATTCGTGGCAAAATTTGTGTATCCGAACAGACCCTTATAATGTTCCGTGCACCTGAAAGATTCCTTCAGACAGATGTCATTTGTATTGCCAGCAAACCTCAGGTTTGATTTGCTCTATCCTCGACATTCTCTTGGCTGATTCAGAGTCTTGTCGTGTAACGCTTAACTGGATACCGGGAGATCAGCGCTAGCATCCGGTTGAAGAGATCTCAATTTCAAAGGACAGTCACGTAGCTCTCAGGTATACTTTTATTTTCGCAACGCAAACTATGCAGTACAGGACTCGGATCGGCAAAAACTAAATTAGCCCTGACTCGGACCACTGCAGGCCATCATACGTGTCTCTGTACATAGACTCTGACGTTGAATTTCATAGCAGGCATGTACAAACGTGGCACTAGACACGATTTGCGTGAAGGAATACTGTATCTCATCATTTGGTCTGGCTGGATGAGAATAGTATCCAATGTTGTGAGGACGGAGCGCCGGTGCATGACATCCCATGCTAAAATTTCAAATAGGGTCCCCTGTATGAACGACATTCAGACATACAAGTTCAATGGTTCTTCCTACTATCTTCATTCATCCCCTTGTCACGAGAACCTGATACACGTTGAAAGCTTAAAAGCTCAACAGTAGCTGCCTCCGTCATCGAGCATCCATTGGCGGGTGCAGGTGCCTAGTCCAGGTGAATCCGTGAACATAGACCTGCGAGGCGCGCGTGACTGTTTAGGAAATGATTTAAACCCGATTGACGCCCAGTGATATCGATAATACTTCTTTCAAGTCTGAGTCTTCATCAGACTATCCCAACATCTTTCTGCGAGTGCCGCAAAATCGTGGCATCTTGAGATCAGCAGCCCATCTAGTAGAACAACTTCATCAAATATCACCATGAAGCGGGGGTTCTTGAACACCCGCAAGGCTAAACAGCGTGTCGCAGAAGCTGTAGATGCGGAATCTACTCAGGCTGGGGAACCACCACACAAGAAATCCAAAGGCGATGATGAAAAAGGAGAGCGGTATGTCGCTATCACTGATGACATTGCATACTGTAAAACTATTTGTTGTAGCCTAGATCCCAAGTCACGTAGTACACGAGCCGAATACGTGGAATTCAACACGATCGATTCCCACAAACTTCCCAAGATTATTCAACAACAAGTCGACAACGAAAAGAATTGCACTGGATATGGCAAGAATCGCGTCGTTTTCCGCGTCTGGCCTCGCGATCCCAAAGGACAGACCATCACGGTAACTTCATTGCGAGCAAAGGAAGCCGCCAATGGCATTGATTTGTGGGGCGCAACACTCTACGACTTCTACTGGGTTCTACGTGCCCCAGATGTGAAGAACTATCTCACCATCTCCACGGGCAGCAGACTTGCGAAATGGATGCGCCAACATGGTGAGCTCATAGCGGAGGATGAACTCTATTGGGCCGATAAGGAGGAGGATCCCAAGGAGGTGCCAGTAGTTGACATCGGGGAACTCATAAGGTGCCATGATGCGCGCGTCGCATCGGGCGTATTCAACAAGTTTTCCAGTCGAAAGGAAGTAAGAGAGAAAGAAAAAACAGGCTGGTCTATTTTGGGAGAAACCACAGATGAAGATTCTACCCCTCCGCCCAATGATCAGGGCGACAATATCAGGAAGGAGAAAGAAGAGAAGGCGGCACCAGTTGTCTATTCAGAGGATAAAACCGCGGGCGACAATATCAGGAAGGAGAAAGAAGAGGAGGCGGCACCAGTTGTTTATTCAGAGGATAAAACCGCGGGCGACAACATCAGGAAGGAGAAAGAAGAGGAGGCGGCACCAGTTGTTTATTCAGAGGATGCAGTATCAGTCGCCGATGACTATTCAGAGGATCAAACCGCCAGCGACAGATATATGTTGGAAACTGAAAGCGAAGCGTCATCGGAAGACAGTGCAGACCATCCCATAGGCAAACGCACCTCGCCATTACCAGGTATCGACTCACCCTTCCATCCCGACCATTATCCTTCTCCATATCCTTTCGTCCCTTTCACGCACGAGGCTCCCAAACTTCAACAACGTATTCCTTTACACCTTCTTCCCAAAAAGCTCCATGTTCATGACCCTTGGAACACATTAACCGTCGATAAGGACGATTCTAACCAAAAGCCTGAATGGCTTTCCAAAGTTGCAAAGAAAGGAGACATTGTCCGAACTTATTCCCTCTCCCTTGCACCGCAGAGTAAGGAGGTCGCGTCGAAGGCGCAGAAACTGGCTGAGGTGGCCGAAGACGAAGCAGCGAAGAAAGAGAGCGTGTCGCATATCTTCCCCAGTGACAAGGAGGGGCCGACGGAAGAGCCATTGATTGAAGTTGTACTCCCTCTGCGACCCCGGAAAAGGACGCAAGTGGAAGAAGCTCATCTCTACCTTTCACCTTGTGCAGTGGGCGTCGGCCATCATTCAATCGTGCGCAATGCGGAGTGGGAGCTTCCGCGCGACCTTTTTGTGGAGGCTCATCTGTGCAAAGCTTGTGTGGAAGAGGATGTCCGTCGACAGGTCCAGAAATTGAAGGACGAGGGAGAATGGGAAGCACTTTTGAAAGAACAGGCGGAGAAATCTGAAGAAACAACGCAGGGTAGCTCGGGAGGAGAGCCCTTGCATGCCTCTGGTCCGAAGCAAACAGCTGGTCATGTTACCATCCGGGAGCACGAGTTTCCAGAAGTGACTGGGTCATACGTTTTACGTCCACATTGGGATACTAAGCTTGGTGGTGAAAAGTCCACCGATACTGATGACGCACCGAGTTCGAACGGGGATCGCCCTGTGGACACTGTTGGTGATGCAGTGACAACAGGGGGTGCCGAAATCGATGTCAAAATAAATCCCGTAGACGGGCAGGATCTGGAACCTGCAGCCAAAATTGAGCAGGAAGAAGCTCCTGACGCTGGTATAGACGACGATGAACCGTATGTGCTGAGGTCTGCTCCAAAAGTAGACAAGGGGAAAGGGAAAATGGAACCAGAGCAGGACAATGGTAGTGAAGAAAATGACTGGGAGGAGAGTGAGGACGAGCAGAGCGAAGAATATAGTGAGGAAGAAATATTTACCCTTGAACCTCCCAGGGTCATCCGCATCGCATCCTACTCTGGGCCAGTCCTTCGCATCCACACTACAGTGAAGTGGCGAAGCCCCTCGGAAAAACAATGCGATCACGAAAGTTCATTTTTTGGCTCGGAACCTGTTCCACGCACTGCGACAGTCAGTATTGTTGCAAAACTCTCGTTCGAATACGACCCCCACCTCACTCAAGAGGCGGCAAACTATCAATCGTTCCCTGACCACTTCTTCCAGCACTGGAACGGGTACAATGTCATACCCCCAATACATGAGCCTATCCCCGTCGGGGCACTCTGCCCACAGTTCTACGGGTATTACACACCTGACAATCCAACTGGCGGTAAATATCGGGGTCGACGTCGTTACCTGAGTCCGATATTGCTCCTGGAGCACTGTGGTAGCGAGATAGATCCAGATAAGTTGTGCCAGGACGACAGGCAAGAGTGCGCGTCGCTTATCTTGCGCTTTAATCGTGCGGGGTGGTTACATGGGTCATTAGCAACGCGGAACATCATGTGGCAGCAGGGCAAGCCAACGGAATGGCCAATCGAGCGTCCGCACTCTGTCAAGAGCTTCCGCCTCATAGACTTTGGTAGATCGGCGAAAGTCAACAACAGGACTGGATTGCCAATGGGGGAGGACGAAATAGCTTTGCGGTTATTCTACTTGATGCATCACGCACATAAGAAAAAAACAAACTGAAAAGAAATAGTCGCTTACATTCTTGTCCATTCACTGCTTTGTAACTCCCGAATTGAATGTTGTTGCTTCTAGAATTTTGACGCGCATTTGGTATGTCAATCGGATCCGACCGGCCAGACTCGGAAGAGAAAGATTCTGAAAGAAATGATCAACGAAGAATTTGGCTACTAGCAATGCGCACTGCTGTGACATCCTTTCAACAGCTTCCGTTGATAAATTAGCCGTCGCGCAGTTCGTGTGCTGTGTCAGGTGAAGAACGACTCGGGTGGCACGGCCAGAAACTGTTCCGAGTCAAAGACCCCGGACGCTCAGGTTAATGGCCCTCCGAGTTCACATGCGAGTCTTATCGGTTCGTGCACCCAACAACACTGTAAACAAGTGTCTGGTCTTTCATCGCTCATTCTTCGGTGCCAGGAGGTGCCCTCTATCAATGTGAACGACAATTGAAAAGAGCCAAAGTCGACGCTTCCTATTATGGAGGACAAATTTGTATTCTGCAGATGAGAGGTGTTCATCACTCTATGATGGTACTCGCCGGGCTGCATGCATTGAGGCTGTGTTGTGAGCTTATTTGTTCGTCCTTGTCTCTACCTATCTTCTGTCTGTTGCATCATTGATCCTAGGAAGTATCACAGGCAGCTGGCCCGGACGCTCCCTGATTCTCCAGCAGTGATCATCATTTCGGAACACCTGTGCTGCACCTCTCTACGCATCTTTTTTGGTGTCTTTCCTTTACGTCTGGCTTATTCAAGCATTATTATGCTCTGAAAAGTCATTGGACCGTCGACCGACGTCAGTGTTGTAAGGGCACATGAAGTTACCCAGGCTTCACGTTCAGGCTGTCGTTGTAAGCTTTCATCCATATTGTCTCTACCTATCTCTTATTGGATTCAAGGCCGGTCAGTCCGATCACAGACCTTCTGCAATAACACGTGTGCTACACATCCTTCCTGTGGATCGTTACTTGGTACTTCAGTCTTCCTTCCTTACTTTGGTGGAAGTATGCGTTGACAATCAAATAACTTTGAGAGATACATCCAGATTGTCATCCCTTTTCCCCTCTTCTCATCATGTCATCTGAGCAAAGCGAATGATAGGGCAAAGAGTATGTCAATTTGAGGGAGGCGCGACATCTTGGACCCGAACGTAGTTCCTTCATCCAAATTTTGACGAGGCGTGTTTTCAGATACAAACTTGCAACGAGACGAAAAACAACGCGTCATAAGTACTTTAGTTATATCTTATGCAGTTAATCTCTAATTTGATGCTTTCAATGCTCGAGCAGGGTGAAATTTGTTCACGGCGACAGCCAAGCACTGAGCCTCTTATCAACGAACTGCTTACACGTTCGAGTTATGTGGTCAACCACACTGCACCAAGGCGAGGACGGAAAAACGACTCACTGTAGCTCAGCGGTTCACCCATCATTAATGGGCACTCCAAATTCAGGATTTATCGGGACACAGATAGATGCGGACTACCGTGCCGATTAGCCACAGGATCAGATGAAAACTACTCATACTTACCTGGTGAAGGCCTGTGTAGGCCACGCATATATAGTGAGGGCAGCAAGGTTGTGTAACATCGCAGGTTTCGGGACAACCGCCACTGGCACCGTCATCACTAACAGTTGGCATAGACACCGTCAACTTGAAAGCTGCAACAACGGCGAGGACGAAGGAGAGACGCATGATAGTATCTGTGAGATGTGAGATGGAACTTCAAAAACAAATCCGAAGGAGATGGTAAGAAGACAGCTTGCTTTACTGTTCTATGCACCTGAAGTACTCCTTCAGACGGATGTCATTTGTATTGCCAGCAGACTCAGGTTGCATTTGCTCTATCCTCGACATCCTCTTGGCTGATTCAGAGTCTCGTCGTGCATGGGAGAATGCTTAACTGGATACCGGGAGATCAGCGCTAGCAGCCGGCTTAGGAGATCTCAATTCCAAAGGACCTCTCAGGTATGCTCTTATTTTCGCAACGCAAACTATGCAGTACCGTCGAATCAACCTGCACTGGAGATGGGCACTCGTGTGACGAGTTTAGGGCAAGCGGGGCCCTCCAGCTCAATGCTCGGAGGACCCGCAAATCAATTTTAATACGGGGAAGTGACAGCTCGTGGGAGAAACATAAAAGTACGTATAGTATCTAGAGTAAGCACAGTCGTCGTCTCAATGAATTGCTAGTATACAAGCCACCAATTTACTGGTGACTGAGCCCCACCAAATGACTGGTGACTGGAGAAAAGTCGAGTTTGACTCGACCAAGCGCTATGGGGCTATTTCTTCTTTTTTTTGAGACCATTAAACGTTTCCGACGTACTGAGACCAATGCCCGCAGAACCACGAGACTAGTGAGACGAACCCAAGAAGACACCGAGAAAGATACAAGAGCTGTCAAGTCCCGTCAGTTACGGATTTTGAGAACCGTGGATGAGATGGTGAAGCAGATATGGGTGCTTGCGAATATATTTCTGAAATTCATGCGCCGGACTCGGATCGGCAAAAACCAATTTATCCCTGAGGCCTGAACGTTGAACCACTACAGGCCATCATACGTGTCTCTGTACATAGACTCTGACGTTGGATCTTCTTTCATAGCAGACACAGACGTGGCACTAGACACGATCTGCGTGAAGGAATGCTGTATCTCTTCATTTGGATGATAATAGTATCCATTATGGTGAGGACGGAGCACCGGCGCATGCTAAAATTTCAAACAGAGTCCCCTGTATGAACATAATAGAACTATTGTCTTCGACATTCACACATACTTCAATACGAACACTAGTAGGAGCCGCATGCTCGAGTTGTGTTGTCAACCACACTGCACCAAGGCGGCGAGAACAGAAACACGACTCACTGTAGCTCAGCGGTTCACCCATCAGTAATTGGCACTCCGAGTTTATTTTCTATACAGGCAAATCTGGGCTACCATGCCGATAAGCCACGGAATCAGATGAATACTACTCATACTCACCCAGAGAACGCCTATGTCCTCGCATTTAAGGCCATCGGGGCAGCAATATTTTGTGATCTTGCAGGTTTCGGGACAGCCTCTGGCACCGTCATCACTAACAGTTGGCATAGACACCGTCAACTTGAAAGCTGCAACAACGGCGAGGATGAAGGAGAGGCGCATGATAGTATGGAACTCCAAAAACAAACCTGAAGGAGACGGTAGGAAGACAGCCTGCGTTTATGTTCTGAAATAATGTTCTGTGCACAGACGTGGCACTAGCGTGAAGGAATGCTGTATCTCTTCATTTAGTCTGGCTGGATGAGAACAGTATCCATGGTTGTAAGGACGGAGCGCCGCCGGTGCATGACATCCCATGCTAAAATTTCAAATAGAGTCCGACATCCTTCAGGTCTGCTGCCATTACTTTTCAATCATCGGACTGATTGGTAGATGTTGTGGTGCGTCATGTATGGTGCAAGTAGGGACCGAGCATACAATGAAGGAGTACGCCACGGGCGAAATTCTACATCGACTGATTCAGGAAAGAATCCGTCCAGTCAGTGCTACGATCTGTGTAAACGTTACATATGTTAGAGTATCGTAAGTATATATAAGATGATTAGTCGATGATTAGCATATCTACATAGGGACGATAATTGTGAGTTCTACATACATTAAGCACCCATGACTGCCGGCGCGAGGAAGACTAGCTTTCTGTTCTAAACAGGAACTCCTGCATCCAGAAACTGAATTCAATACTAGCCTGCTAATAGTGAGAGGAAATCACGGATTCTACGCTGATCCTAGTGGTAAGGACAGGGAGCACAGGGCCCTCGTCCTGGACGGGAGTCGAGAGAACGCCAGTGTCGATAGTCTGATGCAGGTTAAGCATCAGCCGAGAGATGAGAGTAACGGACATGCTAGTGTTCATCTTTAGGATCGGTCCGTGTTCAGTATCGTATTGATCACTCACCAACCAGTAAATGTGGATAGACTGCCTCTGAGGTTGACCTTGCCGATAATCAGAAAACAGTCAAACTGAATACAAGGGGTGTTTGTATGCTCACTGAACCAATCTGATTTAAGCTGTGAGCGTTTGGTGATACCGTCAGTATTCATGCGGCGACTCACGTAGTACGTCAGGATGGTCAGTATATTGGACAGTGTTATCGCTCTGGAGTAATGCGGATCAGAATCACTCGAATCACGACATCCCTAGCAACCGCACCCGAAAAACATCACACCTGCGTTCGGTTGATTCAGTGTTCGCGATACAGATGCAGCGAAAGATTTACCATCGCAAAATATGATATCAATGATATTGTTCCTACTGACCAACGATAACCGCAGCAAATTTTTGGCTTTGCAGATCCTGTGCACTGTCAAGATGAAGATTATTAAATCGAAGACAGATAAGGCCACATATGCTAGCCCAATTCCTGCAAAGGCCACAATATCAAGCTATGCAAATGTGGTTTGGAATTCACTGACGGGCAGCTCTGCAACCACCTTTGAGCGGGCGCATAGAACGGGAATGAGTACAACATACATCGATTTTGAAAATGTTTCATTGCAGCCAAGCCCTGGCACGACTTCAATATCGCCTGAAAATTGTCCAAAAGTGCCCGCCTAGAAACGATCAGCAGACTTCAGGGCGTGAGATTTTAAAAACGCACGCAAGCTATTCCCGTAAGAGCAATCGTGCCGATTACCATCCAAGCAAGCAGGCGCTTGCTACAGCCGTAGAGAGCATAAGTGCGAATGACCATTATGTCTGAAGTTTTCAGTATGTAACTTTCTCACAATGAAGCTGACTTCTACTTACTACAAACGATCGCTGTTTGGAGGAAAATGGCCAGTTGTCTGTATAGCGCATATTTCGAACAGCTAAGTCTTTGTTGAGCAAACGGTACACATTCAAGAACCGGAGTACAACAAACCTCTACAGAAATAGGTTGTGAGCACATCAAACGTTGAGTACATGCATAATGAAATTGTAGAACCTCGTCTGAAACAGGTACAAAATCCTTAATTAAGCCACAGATATTGCTGAGGAGAGCGACATAGCGATTGAGCAGAAATAAAATTGCAGACAGTGTTTTCGGACGACGCCAAATAAAAGTGATTTCTTCTTGTAGGGTCACCATATGGTCGTATATCAGTATACCTAGATTTAGAATAACGTGTCATTATCTTGAGACCAAGGATAAAACTAAACTGTAGTACTGTTTCCCGCCAGGACGGCATACATGCAAAGCAACCTATAAATATTCAGGATACATGGTCAATCTATGCGTTATCACTCACGTTTGCTGCACTTCCTGATCGCTGGTATACATTGCGACAAAATTCAACTGAAGTCGAGAATGTAGGGCGATCCGTTATATATCACTGGTCGTATTTAACGACCGTTCCCGTAATCAAGTGCTATGCATGCAAGCATGCAAATCAAACACTGCCCGGAAATATGCGAGTCCAAAGACTCGAAAATGAATTTCTAGACGTAATATAGTTGGTGTGCATAGATATTTTTGAGTCAGCATCACTGATCAACGTGTTACAGGCTAGCCTTACGTGGGTGGGTGATCCATAGGCTGTGCCATTGCAATGGCGCGGTACTGACCCATTCCTTACTAGAGCACAAGGATTATGGCTACCATGACGATTATATCGTCAAAGTGAGTCATTGCGTGTTGAGCTGGATAGATTCGATAAAGTACTTCTCGTATCCATCAGATCCGTCTCGGATGTATTGGCAGCAGGCTCCGGGTCAATAGACGAAAGTCATTTATAATATAAGAAAACAAGAGAGAGGATGTATTCAACGCACAAGTTACTTCCTTGGCATGCTAGGTAGAAGACTAGAAGTGAGACCAAGAAGTCGATGAAATGTCGCGTTGAAGTCTGGGGTTCGCATGCTACCGACTTGATTCAGACTCCGACTGTACGGTAAAGGCTGGGCCGGAGGAAGTGTGCAATATTAATATTGATGGTGTGAAGGTTATCGCTTCGCCGCAGCTATAGCATGCATGCTAGCTATATCGATGGAGGCTGTTATAACTAAACGTGGTTTTTCCGGCCCCGACGTCTGAGCTATTATTCCACATAGGCGCTCAGCTGCTCTGTTTTACTGCAGCCGCTTGCTGTCAATTTCCTGTCCATTTATTATACTCAAGAGGCCGAACTGACCTGGCGTTTGGAATTCCAGTGACCCTAGGACTCGGAGATTCTCCATATTCAACACCCTCCATCTCTGTGATTCGCTCGATACCCATCAGCCCAGGTGCCGGGTCAACACGCCAATATGTTTCAGCTCCGTGCAGTGAGATGCAGTGATCCACATGTCAACACCAAATATTGGCCACCAAGCAATCGACCCCGGATACCATCTATCAAAGTTCGCACTTGATTATGTGCTATAGACATATTTATAATCTACTTACATGTCGATCAGATACCATGACCATTTCGCACCTTGTTCGAGTCGGTCCTGCTAGTTGTCTTGTACGCTTCATCTTGCATACATGTTACAAGTTTTCAACATGAGCCAGTAAATTCTTGTCGATGCGGCACATAGATCGCATCTATTATAAACAATCCTCGATGAGGTACACGAGGCAGCGTGACCCTCGTTCCCTCATCAATGAATATTTGTGCCATGTATGATGGATTCAAGGTTTGATCAGCGCCGTCTGTGGACACACAGGAGACTATGATGGAGTACTTCTAGTGTACTAACCCTCATGAATCTCGTATATCACATTGTGCAAAAGGTGAAATCAATGACATGCTTGGCAATTCGAAAGCAAACCCATAAACAGGAGCGTACACTTACAACCTCGAGAAGTCACGGGATTTTCGGACTCATCATGGAGCGTAGATGGCCAAAATTCAAATGCATAGCACGAGGGGGAGGTGGCTCTACAGAGCGACTAGTTCCTGCTCATCCTCGTAAACTACTACTGCTGGACTTCTGTAAATGGGAATCAGAATTATGAGAGGCAGATGTCATGATGTCAACCTACCGTATTTCCTCCCCCTGAAATGCACGAGTTAAACTAGCGATGCCACCAGGAAACCGATGACTCACCCCATCTTCCCAGCTGATCATAGCCTTCAACTCTGTCAACCCGAAGAGAAGAATGACTTTGATCTCCATCGAATAATACGTGGAACCTTCGGCGGAGCGCTTGAGTGTTAGTTTCTCAGCAATTTTCGATGTGTCTGCGTGGACGGTGCATAACCTGGAGAATAAACCTAGTTTATCTGGTAAACATCAGTGTGATTGGCAAAAATTTGTGCGACTACTTCGCTCCGTGTCCACCCAATCCGGTTTCTGGAGGAGACCCCTGTACGACATGATGCCGATATCGACTTGGCTACATGCAGCCTGATTATACCGTCGGATAGCGAATTTCCTGCTGAACTCTTGCTGCTCAGAGACCAGTGTTCCCTGCTGCGCCTCAGCAACGGGCCTTCCAAAACAAGTCAAAAAAGAGCTACCTTGGTCAGTATGGATACAAATGCACGAGGCAGGGCAAGAATTCCCGAGACACTTCGGAAAACTTCCTTTTGCCTAGCACGATGCTCCATATCAGATGGGTTAAATAGGGCGATAGACTCCGTGCCGTATGTGAAACGGGCCACACGAGTCGATACCAAATGATCGATGAAATATGACACAGCACCTTTTGCAACAACCCGAGCAGTGCTAAAAGCGTCCGTAAGTGCACGCGAAGATGTTTGTCAATTGTTGGCACTTACCAATGGCTGTCTGGTCGAATGAAGCTGATATTAAGCGACTGGAAGTATGCGTGCAACTCGGCGAACATCCAGTCGCTCGCAGCAAAGCCTCCGACGAAAAATACAAACTTCATGTGACACGCCGGTCAGCGCATTTTTTGATGAAGTGCAGTCATGTCAACTTACTGTGATCGGAGTGCCTGCAGCTTTTCTTTGAGTTTCGAAAGCTTCGATGATGCTGCTGATCGAGGGTTCGAAGAGTTTTGCTACGTCTTGTCTTTTTAGTAGCAACGCGTTAGATATATAGAGGTTGCGAAAGAGTAGACTACAAGACTTGCCCGCTCAATTTAAGCTGACCTGCACGGATATCGCGCTGAACATCTTTGTCACGGAGAGTACCGAACTTGATGTATGACGGATCTTCCGGGTTGCGGAACCTAACCTTGGTGGTACAATCGAAGATGTCTGTCATATGTTGGACCATATCTGATGTACCGAAACGACTGCCGGATAGTTTTTCTGTCAAGTGGAATCAATAAGAACGTAGCATAGCTCATACGAGCATGCTGGCAAACCTTGAAGAAGATCATGAGCACGACGAGTCACGAATACAGAACCCTGGAGTCGGCCTAAGGAGTGGAGAGTGAGACATAGCTCCAACAATCGCATGTCACTTACATTCTGTCGCAGCAATCTCCTTGATCAGCGTCGGGGATAAAGTCATCGAGTAAGCATTAAGATCGACTGTCCCTGCTCCTGCATTGATGACGACAACGCCTTGACTAGCCGAGATGTCATCATCTTCGCCATCTTCAGGTGCAAGTATCGGTGTCTTCGACAATGCATCTGAGGCCAGGGTATTATCGACACAGTAATGCAAACTCGCTTCTCCTTCGGTCAGCAGATGGACACGTGCCATGCCGTCTTCTGTGCCGGGAATGAGACCGCCAAGGACGGCAGCTATCCTGATCTGCGTCTGCTGCGGGCCCTCCCAGCCGTTTGGATGTGTAAGGACAAATTCGATGCGGTTCTCGAGTGACCGCCAAAGATTAGATCCGCTTGGATGAGACTCCTGGATATAGCTGCGTGCACAACGAAAAAGGTATTGCATGAAGTCGCCAAGCACCTCGACAACATTTTTGCCTCGCGGAAGTGGTGGGATATCGTTGTCGGTGATATGGTTGGCATCCAAATGCCTGGGCCGAAGGTGCAATTTCCACCTAAATGTTGAGCGTGGTCAATTAAGTAAATACGAAGTCCAGTATTTACAAAACAAACCATTCGACTTTTATCCATCCATCTTCCTCGGCACTTTCGATGATATGGTCCTGTCGTGCTTCAGCGCCGATGGCACGTGCAGTTCCGTTTGAATCATAGTAGAGTATAGAAGGGATTTTCGAATCCCCTCCGCTGTGCTCTTGGGCCGGATATCTGATATTCGTAATGATCGGCAATAAAGCAGGTATGTTGTATTACGAAAACTGACCTGGTGACAAGCTCAATCCTCGGAACATTTCCAGGATGAAGTATACAGTAGGAAATTGAACTGTATACGACGCCCACGTCGAAAGCAAGGACTAATTTGCGGACTGGTCCACGATAAGGCTGATGGAGAAGCATTTCTTGCGTAAGTGGATGGATGTCGTACGTTGCTCACATTGTCTTATACTTCATGGCAGAGGCCACATGGATACTTATCCGTTCATGACTTTCACCATTTCACCTACAACGTTTAACGGATGATATAGGGGCAGGCCGTACTGTTCGTGTCGGCCTTAAGGTCTGATGCGAGTGATTTGGCGTGGCTAAATCCTGATATAGGAAGTTCCTGAGTGTTCTAGATAGGCCGTAAAATGAACGGCCGGACGATGCCTCAAGGCCACCCTACAAGCGTAAGCAGATAGGTGCTCTAGTCACGATGCACAAACTACTTACACCCCGTTCTGGTAATGAATGTAGCATCTTGCATGCTGGCTGTTAACGTATTAAGCACGTGGTGAGTCAAAATTTTCCAAGGTTTTTCCGGACCTCGACGTCATGAGCTATTATTACACGTCGGCGCTCAGCTGCTCCGTTCTCGCCTGTGTTCTACTGCAGCTGCTCAATTGCTGTCAATATCCTGTCCATTTATTATTCAAGCAGCCGAACTGACTTGGCGTTTGGAATTCCAGTGACCCTAGGAGGTTCTGCATGTCCAACACCCTCCATGTCTGTGATTAGCTCGATACACATCAGCCCAGGAGCCGGGTCAACGCGCCAATATATTTCAGCTCCGTGCAGTGAGATGCAGTGTCAACACCAAATATTGACCACCAAGCAATCGACCCGGATACCATCTATCAAAGCTCGCACTTGAATATGTGCTATAGACATACTTGAAATCTACTTACATGACGATCAGATACCATGACCATTTCGACCTTGTTCGATTCGGTCCTGGTAGTGGTGTTGTATCCTTCATCTTGCATACATGTTATGGCATTGCCATGCCAATGATAGCTGTACAGGCTCAGCCAGGTCTTGTGCTAGCTGTAAATCCAGAATGAAGTTGTAAAACAAGACTGTAATAGGCGAACAACAATGGAAGGTAACAACAGAAGTAGCAATTGGTAGCAAGATGGCACGGGCCCATTTGGCCGCAATTCAATTGTCCTAAGAACGGCGCACAATTGTGCAATGCTTGCTTGGTCCCGTTCCACTTTCAACACAGCAACTAATTGAAACAGCTGAAACCCACCAAGACCTGAAATGGCCCATGGGTGTCCAGTGGCAAATTGGCCAAACAACTCAAAGACGCCCAAGAACAATATTTACCAGTGTGGCGGCAGTGCAGCAACACCGCAACCCACAGCTTTCCATAATGCGATAACAAAATCTAGCGCCATCTTCCACAATGGACACCCTCTCGCGCCACAAGTCCTTCCTCTTAGCGAGTGCCGTGCTGTTGCTCGCTTCTATTTTCACTCCTCAGACGAACCATACGAGGGAAAACATCGTTCCTGTAGAATCGCATATAAAACCAGAGGCAATAGTGCGTTATTTCTATAATTCACAGGACCTGTCGTACCTTTATCACACCCTACATCACCAGCTGATCTAAAAGCTTATCGTCTCCATTAGTTACCTACTACAACCTCCCATTCAATGGATACTCCCCGCGGAACTTCGAGCGCTGATACCGAGGTTATGAACGTACACGCTGGCACGCTTCCGCACGACACAAAGCTCGACCCCAGGTACGCTCCAAACCTAACATCCGTGTCATTCTCACTTAAAATATCCTCTCAGTTGCATATTCTGCAAGATCGTCAGCGGGGAAGCACCATGTTTCAAGGTGTACGAAACGAAATATAGGTACGCCACCCCATCACCCAATCACCGTTCAATCACCAATAACCACGCTTAAAAGTCTTGCCTTTCTCGCGAAGCCTCCTGTTTCTCATGGGCACACGCTCATCATACCCAAATGTGCGTACCCCGTTCGATCTAGCCAAATCTGCGTTAAACAGTTATGTCAGACCACTCCCGCACATTAACGGATCCCGGACTCCCGGATGAGTTCCTCGCAGACGTCGGTCCCATAATGAAGAAGATAGCAGTGATGAACGGCGAGGATTCATACAACGTCATCCAGGTATGTCCCTCCCCTCCTGCTCTCTCCGTTTGTGCGCTATGTTAACACGACAATCAGAACAACGGCAGGACCGCCGGGCAAAGCGTCGACCATGTGCATTTCCACGTCGTGACGAAGCCAGCGAACCAACCTAATCAGGGACTTGTCCTGACACCCCAGAGTTGGCCTTCGTACCCTACGACCGATGAAGAATACACTCAGGACGCTGATAAGATGAAGCAGATCGGTAGGAGCCATGGATTCCCGGGCGTTTCGGCTTAGAATCTGGGGTTTGAAGCATCCATCGTGGCCAGTGCTCGATGGGATGGAGATGTGCAGAAGTAATTTGTTGAGGTTGTTGTTGGGTTTATTGTCGTGCGAGGGGCATCATGGTGATCCGGTATGGTCTTTCCTTGGCTGTCTGCAATATCCGTCGTAGTAGACAGTAAATCCAGGCAGCCATGTATTCTTATTTTGCATCCTGAATCAGTCTCTTTCTTTCTTGTAGTATAGGATACCTGGAAGACATGGACTACATAAATATTGTGGAGTACGGTTTTGCCTTCATGGCTATAGATGATAAATCAATGAGGCCAATGCACTTGTAGGCGCAGGACAAAAGAACCTAGATATCCGGTAGAACGCAAACAGTCAACGGCTCAAACTTCTGTCGCTTTCAAAGACATCCCCATACCATCAATACGACATTGTTCGCTGACCAAGCTCTTTAACAGCAGCCATCAAACGATCAAGTCGAGTGAAGGCGCCGGACAAAATGTCCTAAAATAAGGGTAACAACCTCCGAAATAGAAAGGAGGTGAAAGACTCACGGGTACAAACTCTCCAACGTTTCCACGGTGAGTGTCCGTGGCAAGCCATAATCGTCTTCCGACTCTTCATGCAGTGCATTGGAAATCAGACCTGGGAATGGAACATAAGGTGACTGCGGATAAAAGAGTATGATTAGAGAGCATACTGATGACAGCAAGCATTCAGGTCCGGCGAAGGAAGGTATGAGCCCAAGCGGGTTCAAGATCACGCACCACGATCTACGGACATCAAATAACACAATTGGCACGCAGTGAAGACAACATCACTGAGGAAAACCAGCGATATTCCACTCAACACGGCCAACCGCAGATCTGCAGGCATCCAATCAGCGAAACAAAAGTCATGGGAAGTGCGTATCGCACGTACTTGTGGTGATTAAAATCTGCTACTACATCTACAGACCATCTAGGATCGTCGTCTTCTCCTTCGACGTTAGGTTCTTCCTCCGCAGGCTTGACTTGCCATATCTTAACATGTCCATCGCGACCTCCAGTAGCTATAAGGCGATATGATGGCCCACCCCGAAGGCGCCCATGTTACCGACGTCATCACAAATGATGTTGGAGCATCTCCATCCCTTGCCGGTGATGGGCCTGCCTCAGCGGGTAACTCCATCGGGTCTAAAGTAGGAGAGTCGTAGGCTGATGAGAGGCAGATAATTGTATTCAGAGTGAGCGATACCACAAAAATACAGCATAGCAATACTTTGATGGCGCCAGATATCCCACAGCTAGCCGCGATGATTTCCCCTAAATATCTATCATATTCACCACCCTCCATCTGCTTCTCAATTCCGGACCGTCCCTGGGTGGTGGGGTTTTGCAATTATTACAGAGATCGAGCGACCAGGGTTGGAGAAGCACACCAAGAGTTGCACTTGTTTGTGTTAGTGTCACCAACGCCAGGGAGTACGACGAGAACAGCGATACATATGGGAACGTTGAGACACGGACTTCTTTAGAAAGCTGCCATGTGGTTAGCGCTGATCGTTCCAAGCACTCGTAGATGCGAATGCGATTATCGGAAGGGACAGTTGCCTTAATGCAGAAGCTCTCATAAGCCTCCAACAGAGACGAACGATTGACGTACCAGCTTCAGCCCAAAATGATGAAGAGCGAATTCAACTGCGCGGACAGTGCCCTTTGCATCGACCAATATAACTCTGTCCACCCATCTTGAAGAACCACATGAAGTAACCTGAGACGACTCGGAACCAGCACCATTCGTTTGGGGATCAGCTGTTGATGCAAAGCTAGTTTGCTCCTAAATCTTGACCGTAGGGTGAGCCCAGCACTAATTGGTTGATAAGCCCAAATACGTTCCAACATGCTCGCATTCCAGTCATCCTCGACGTTCCAATTTTCATGACTCCTCGTCTACTTGCTAAACTGATTATTCGATATCAGCGTAATTCGACTTGTAGAAATACGTGTATGTAGCAAGGGAATAACGTACTTCTGATTGGGACTGCAAGTGGCCAAGCGAAGCCCATAAAAATCACAAGCTACATCTGTCAGAAGATGATCAGGCGCGCTCTCGATGAGAGCAGCTTGTATCAATCTTTCTTGTAAGAAAGGTCATAAAAACCGAGTGGGCCACAGAATTTTTAATTGCGCGTTGAGGCAGTAGCGAATCAGATTCGATTGGTCGTTCTTTCCTGGGACTCCGAGGGAGTGTTTCATTGTCAACAGGTGTGTGCAAAGTCTTTAGAATTAAACAAGAACAAACAAACGTACAGTTTCAAGTTCACTTGTCACTAAGTTGTTGTCAACGACCAAAGGACCAATTGAATATTCTTCTGTATGCGCATTGCGAGCGATGATTTTGTGCAAAGTCTCAGTGCAAACACCACGTCTCGATTCTCGAACATACTATGGTGTCCGTGGTCATAGTAATTGCGAGGTGATGCAGCCTATAGCTAATCGGCAGAGGAACGTTTTATTCCTCTCCAGGATCGACGTCTGACAGTCTCCGACTCATCGATATCTGGAAAATGACCGTCCACTGTCCAGGTACGCGTACGGTTTTTATATCCATTCCAATTCAGCACTCACAATTTCTTCCTTTTCAGACGCTGCAGCGAAGTCACTGTCTACTGCTCGCAGAAGGCTATCATATCCTACGGATACAACAGTTGATTCGTCCGGTTTATTGACCATGTTGTTGTATATGATATAGGCCACCACGAGGATTTTGATCTCGCCCATACCATGCACTTCGCATTCAACGCTATGTCCCCCAGTTCTGTCGACGTTTTGGAAATGGCTGGATCTTAGGCATACAGTCACGCATGTCTTGTAAACTAGTGAGTCTTGGCTCACACCGCAAGTCCTCATTATACTCACTGTATTCCAAAACATGCTATTTTGTACGTTCCAGACGCAGGTATTTCATCACTTACGTCAGGACGGTTGACGCTATATGAACTCAATGTTATCTCAATGCCATCGAAACACACCAGGGAGCTTGCTATGAACCGAGAAAGAGCCAGCTTGAAATGATATCACTCATCACAATAGGCACCAGGGCGGGAAGAGTCGAACAAGGACCCACTTAAATGGTGGCGCACAGAATCGGATGCCAGTGCAACTCTGGAGGATACAAGAAACCTGTCCATCCTGCTCATGGGCCAGTATTGAAGGGTAATTGGGGTCCAGTAAGACGCATGCCAGTCCTCCGAATTTACGTGTATGTCGGCCGGTACGTCTTCTTTGATACTTAACAATATATATAAAGTATAATGGACGGTCAGACCCATTCGCGGATGTGTACCAAACATGCCGCAGGCTGTCTATTAATATACAAGCTTCGCGGCCGGCCTGTCCATCAGTACTAGCCAACGTGGTCGACGTTTCAGTTCAGCCAATACGCACCGCACCTACTGCTCCGTCGCTGCTTGGTTTATACCCAGAACCACCATCTTCCGGGGGGAACTCCAAATGTACAGACCCTGTTGAGCACCATGGGACGTCACCTATTACAAAGGGTATTTCACATCCCGACATGTTCTTGTTTGCTCTCGGACGTTTCAAGGATCAATCATCTAGAAGACCCCGGAAGATCGAGCTCACCTCCATCTACAAAGACAGGTAGGGAAGAGCAAAACTCTATCATTTCCGTCGTATTCTGATTATTCACTATAGTTCATATATTTATCAGCGTTCGCATTATTCGTCATGTGTTGTGTGATCCCCGTGCTTTATCGTACTAATAATTGAACAGTGCGAGGGTATAATTAGTTGCTTCATGCAGGGAGATAGATAAGAGATAGCTAAGGCCGTACGCGTGTGTAGATGTTGTGTTGAAGCTATATATAAGAGCCCTTGCTTCGTATTCGTTCGCTATCATATCTCGCCACGAGTCACTTATTGTTTACCACAGCACGGCTTTCACGATAAACCAAATCACATCTACTTCAAGACGTACAATAATATCTCCTAATGGCGACCATCGATGCTGAGGACCTCAGAAAAATGATCAGGCGCTTGCGAGTTTTGATCATAGGGAGAGCAAACGCAGGGAAAACAACCATTCTTCAGAAGGTCTGCAACACCACAGATCAACCAGAAATCTACGATGCCAAAAGAAACAGGGTGCGGGTGATGATCTATGCCATGCACGAGTCTATCGCTGATCAATTTTGGGTAGATCGATGCTGCGGTTGTGGAATCTTCGATCAAGGTGTGTGCGACACTTGCCCTGTGAGTCTGTAGGCATACATGCGCTAACGGATGTTCAGCGTGGAAAACACGACATCACAAACGAAATGGTGTTCAAAAGTAATCCCGGTTTTGTCTTTCACGACTCTTGCGGTTTCGAAGCGGGATCTGAAGAAGAATTCGAGAATGTGAAAAAATTTATCTCAGGATGCGTACACGCGACGAAATTGGAGGAGCGAATACATGCTATCTGGCAAGTAACTCCCTTCTAACGTTCCGCGCTTGTTGATTGCCATCAGGTATTGTATCCCAATGGACGAATGTAGTCGAACATTCCAGCGGTCGGAGGAGAAGTTCTTCTTTGAGTGCGACACTGGGCACGGTGAGCTTGTCACTTCGTTGACACTTGCCATTCTCGGACTAAATGATCAATATTCAGTTCCTGTGATTGCGGTGTTCACCAAGTTCGAAGCTCTACGTCCAGTCGCATATGGAGAGATCAAGATGCATACGAAAGGTCTATCTGGAGAAGAACGCTCAAAAATGATTGCCCAACGCGTCGAAGAACTATTCAGCAAGACAGGTGTCTGTGACCAATTGTGCAACTCTGAAAACCGTACCCGTCCTAAGTTCTATGTACGCTTGGCGAGTAAGTGGTGTTATTGCCTTGTCCCATATCAAGGTTGATTCTAGTAACTGTTCTAGATCTGAACAAGCCAAATACCAACTGCAACATTCTACTGGAACAGACCACTTTTGCATTGGACAATGAAGAATTGCAGTTGTGCTTGGTATCTACACAACAATCAAACCTGGAGCTGTGCATCAAGTGTGCAATTGCGTGAGTCGCAGATTTGCAAGTCACGTATTGTTGTTCTAACGTCATCTAGAACACTCGTTGATCACGCGCATCAGCTATTCGGGCTACTTCGAATAGATTATGAAGTCTATCAGTATCACATTGTTAAGTGGTTTCTACATCTCAAAGTAAGAAAAAGAATTCAATGTGAGGATACCCGGGTGATAATGCTGACGGGATGGTAAATATTGAAGAACTGAAATTGTGGGGATTTTGATATATTTTCTTTATTGTAGATAACAGCTGGTAAGATTGTGGTGTACAAAGTTCGAACACCATGGACAACGCTGATGCCTTGTTGCTGCTCGCCTGTTGACAGTGGGTAAGTGTTTTCATTCATTCTAGTCCTCGGCCCATGCTCATCATCACCATCCCTCGTTACTGCTCTCCTGTTAACAGGATGTAAGTGCCTTGATCGTTTATAGTCCTCGGCCCGTGCTTATGATCCTCATCCCTCGCTGCTGCTTGCCTGTGAACAGGAAGTAAGTGCTTCGATGGTTTCTAGTCCTCGATCCGTGCTCATGATCTCCATCTTTCGCTACTGCTCACCTGTTGACAGGAAGTAAGTGCCTTGATTGTTTCTATTCCTCGACCCACGCTCATGATCACTATCCCTTGCTACTGCTCACCTGTTGACAGGTGGCGAGTGTCTTGATTTTTTCTAGGCGTAGAGACGTGCTCACGACCCCCATCCCTCGCTGTTGCTCGCCTGTTGACAGGAAGTAAGTGCCTTGATTGCTTCTAGGCCTTAACCCATACTCACGCAGCCCATCCTTCGCTGTTGCTCGCCTGTTGACAGAAAGTAAGTGCCTTAATTGTTTGGAACCCTCAACTCATGCTCATGATCCCCATCCCTCGCTGCTGCTCGCCTGTTGACAGTATGTAGGTGCCTTGATTGTTTCTAGTCCTCGACCCATGCTCATGATCCCCATCCCTCGCTACTGCTTGTCTGTTGACAGCCGGTAAGTACCTTGATTGTTTTCAGTCCTCGAGCTGTGCTCACGATTCCCATCCCTCACTCCTGCTCGCCTGTTGACAGGTGGTGAGTGACTTGATTGTTTCTAGTCTTTGACGCCCTCTCATCGTCCCCATCCCCCGCTGTTGCTCGCCTATTGACAGGTGGTAAGCACCTTGATTGTCTCTAGTCCTTGACCCATGTTCATCATCCCTATCCCTTGCTGCCTGCCTGTTGACAGGGCGTAAGTCCCTTGACTGTTTCTAGTCCTTGCCCCATGTTTATTATTTCTGCCCCTCGCTGCTGCTCGCCTTTCGACAGGGTGTAAGTGCCTTGATTGTTTCTAGTCCTCGACCTGTGCTCATGATCACCATCCTTCACTGATGCTCGCCTGTCGACAGAAAGTAAGTACCTCGATTATTTCTAGCCCTCGACCCATGCTTATGATCCCCATCCCTCGCTGGTGCATGCCTGTTGACAGATGGTAAGCGCCTTGACTGTTTCTCTTTGACCCGTGCTCATGATCCCAATCCCTTGTCGCTGCTTGCCTGTTGACAGATTGTAAGCGCCTTGACTGTTTCTCTTCGACCTGTGCTCATGATCCCAATCCCTTGTCGCTGCTTGCCCGTTGACAGGAAGTACGTGCCTCCATTGTTTCTAGTCCTCGACACGTGCTCATGATCATCATCCCTTGCTGCTGCTACTCGGCTGTGGACAGCGGGCAAGTGCCATGGTTGTATCTAGTCCTTGACCCATGCTCATGATCTCCATCCCATGCTGCTCGCCTGTTAACAGGTCGTAAGTGCCTTGATTGATTCTGGTCCTCGACCCATGCTCATGATTCCCATCCCTCGCTGCTGTTCACCTGTTGGTAGGCTGTAAGTTCCTGAATTGTTTCTCGACCTGTGCTCATAATGACTATCCTTCGCTCCTTGCCTGTTGACAGTTTGTCAGTGCCTTGATTGTTTCTAGTCCTCGACCCGTACTCATGATCCTCATCCGTCGCTGCTGCTTGCCTGTTGACAGTATGTAAGTGACTTGTGTTTCTAGTCCTCGACCTGTGCTGATGATTCCCATCTCTTGCTGCTCCTCACCTGTTAACAGACTGCAAGTGCCTTGATGTTTTCAATCCTCGGCCCATACTCATGATCCCCATCCCTTGCTGGTGCTCGCCTGTTGACAGAATGTAAGTGCCTTGATGTTTCCAGTCCTTGACCAGTACTCATGGTCCCCATCCCTCACTGGTGCTCGCTTGTTGACAGGGGGTACGTGCCTTCATTGGTTTTGGTCCTCGACCCTTGTTCACGATCACCACCCCATGCTGCTGCTGGCCTGTTGACAGAAAGTAAGTGCCTTAATTTTTTAGAGCCCTCAACTCATGCTCATGATCCCCATCCCTTGCTGCTGCTTGTATGTTGACAGCTGGTAAGTGCCTTGATTGTTTCTAGTCCTCGACACGTGCTCATTATCCCCATCCCTTGCTGCCACTCGCCTGTTGACAGAAAGTAAGTGCCTTAATTTTTTGGAACCCTCAACTCATGCTCATGATCCCCATCCCTTGCTGCTGCTCACCTGTTCACAGTATGTCAGTGCCTTGGTTTTTTTTCACATCCTTGTCACATGTTCATGATCCCCATCCCTCGCCGGTGCTCGCCTGTTGACAGTATGTCAGTGCCTTGATTATTTCTGGTCCTTGACACGTGCTCATGATCTCTGTCCCTCGCTGCTGCTCACCCATTGACAGGGCGCAAGTCCCTTGATTGTTTTTAGTCCTTGACATATGCTCATGATCACCATCCCTCGCTGGTGCTTGCCTGTTGACAGGATGTAAATGCCTTGATTGTTTCTGGTCCTCGACCCATGCTAATCATCCCCATCCCTCGCTGGTGCTCACCTGTTGACAGGATGTAAGTGCCTTGATTGTTTGTCGTTCTCGACCCATGTTCATGATCCCTGTCCCTCGCTGCTGCTCGCCTATTGATAGCCGGTAAGTGCCTTTATTGTTTCCACTCCTCGACATGTGCTCATGATCCTTATCCATTGCTGCTGCTTGCCTGTTGGCAGGTTGTAAGTAGCTTGATTGCTTCTAGTCCCTGACCCATACTCAGGATCCCCATCCCTCGCTGGTACTCGTCTGTTGACAGGTTGTAAGTACCTTGATTTTTTCTCATTCTTGACCTATGCTCATCATCCCTATCCTTTGTTGGTGCTCGCCTGTTAACAGGAAGTAAGTACCTTGATTGTTTCTAGTCCTCGACCTGTGCTCATGATTTCCATTTCTCACTGCTACTCGTCTATTGACAGGGTGTAAGTGCCTTGGTTTTTTCTAGTCCTCGCCACATACTCATCCCCATCCCTTGCTGTTGCTCGCCTATTGGCAGTATGTCAGTGCCTTGGCTTTTTTCCTGTCCTCGCCACATGTTCATGATCCCCATCCCTCGCTGCCACTCGCCTGTTGACAGGAAGTAAGTGCCTTGATGGTTTCTAGTCCTCGACAAATGCTCATAATTCCCATTGCTCACTGCTGCTCGCCTGTTGACAGTACGTCAGTGCCTTCATTGTTTCTAGTCCTCGACCCTTGTTCATCATCAGCATTCCACGCTGCTGCTGGCGTATTGACAGCGGGTGAGTGCCTTGATTGTTCCTCATTCTTGACCCATGCTCATGATCCCCATCCCTCGCTGCTCCTCACCTGTTTACAGCGGGTATGTGCCTTGATTATTTCTAGTTTGTGTCCCGTGCTCATGATCTCCGTCCCTCGTTGCTGCTCACCTGTTGACAGCGAGTAAGTGCCTTGATTGTTTCTAGTCCTCGACCCGTGCTTATGACCCCCATCTCTCGCTGCGGCTCGCCTATTGACAGTCCGTAAGTGCCTTGATTGTTTCTAGTCCTCGACACATGCTCATGATCACCATCCTTCGCTGCTGCTTGCCTGTTGACAGTATGTCAGTGCCTTGATTGTTTCTAGTCCTCAACCCATGCTCATGACCCCTATCCCTCGCTGCTGCTCACCTGTTGACAGGTCGTAAGTGCCTTTATTGTTTTTAGTCCTTGACCCTTGCTCATGATCTTCATCCCTCGCCACTGCTTGCCTGTTGACAGGAAGTAAGTGCCTTGGTTTTTTCTAGTTCTCGACCCCTGCTCATGATTCCCATCCCTCACTGCTGCTCGCCTGTTGATAGGTGGTAAATGCCTTCGTTGTCTCTCATTCTCGCCCCATGCTCATGATCCCCATCCCTCACTGCTGCTTGCGTGTTGACAGGATGTAAGTTCTTTTGATGATCTCTCATCCTTATTATTCTGATGCATTGTTGCTGCCCACCTGTTGACAGAATGTATGTACCTTTCATTGTTCTTCATCCTCAACCCGCGCTGACAATCATTACTACTCATTTGTTCACTATAGGAGGTAAGTGCCTCGATATGGTTTTCTGTCTGCCACCCATGTGCACATGTCTCTAATCTTATTATTATTATTATTATTGGCAGGTGGTATGTGTCTTGATTATATCTGGTATTGAAATGATACTCAATAATATGATGATGGCAACTCATTTTCATAGCCTGATGTAAGCATTTTCTATTCTATCAGATCAGTCAGATCATCATTACAGCAGTTTGCATAACTAATGGCGCAACCACATAAGTCACAACATATAACAACTCTTGAAAGACTTGGAAAATTTCGAGTGACGGAGTAGTAACACAGGCAAACACATCAAGTCTAGAACACAACTATGGATAATAGAAAGATTTCACCTGACCTCAAGCTCGCTGCCATCCGCCTTCACGAGCGGGGAATTCTCTGTCGAGATGCGAGAGTTCCGAGGTGTCGAAGGCCGATGAAACCGACGTATGAGGAACGAGCGCATGCCAAAGCGGAAACGGACGAGCGCGCATTGACAGCGGCTCGTGCCCTCCCTTATTTTTCCAGTCTCTGATTAATATATGATCCTACTCGTTTTACCTTATAGTTCGAGTCAGATAGATAGACGCATCTCAGTCTTGTCCCAAGTACTGAGATGTGAGTACCATTAGTTGCACGACACGACGAACATGTAGCTAACGTTTCTCGTAGCGTTTTCGTTATTAGGTACATATACCAAATATACAACGAGTCTTGTCCCAAGTACTGAGATCGTTTTCGTTATTAGCTCCCTCCGACTCGTCCGCTCGCCTCTAAGTTTTACAGGTTATGAGCCCTGAACCGGCAATGGACACCACGCTCCCCACCACCAATTCGAACCTATTCAACATACCAAAGTTAGCCGAGGACGGCACTAATTGGATAAC